TGCCTTTCTGCCAAGTGTGATCCAAGGCTCTGTGCTGGCCGACAGCTGAGCTTTCACTGGTAGACAACTGGCACTTATGCACCCTGCATCCACAATGTAGACTGTGGAGTCACATTTATGATCAACATTAAAGAAAAAAGGTATGGCGCACAGCGTGAGCAAACTGGACAGAATATAAAAGTAGATGAGAATACTTTTGCACTATTGTGCAAATGTTCAAGTAAAAAACCCAGCGTTGAATATTTGATCAAAATTTATGAACATTATGACAGTATAAAAGTATAACAAGAGGACAGAGTGTAATAGATGGACAAAGACAAGTTAGTTTTGCAGGGCTATAAAATCTGCAGAGGGATGTGAGTGTGCCATACTGATCATTTGTCTCCATGTTGCCCTTCACTCCTCCTGTGCCCCTGAAACCCTCATCCACACATTTGTTATGTTCTGATTACTGCAATAGCTTTATGGTTCACCCTCCAAAGTCAACAATAAGTTGTGGCACATCCAGAATTCACTCACCTGTCTTTTGATCCAATCACGCACCACAGACCACATCACGCCTGTCCAGAAGATCTCAAAACGATACTCCTGTGAACGCAAGGAGGCAAAACCTTAAATTGTAACAAAATGAGCAGTGTTCTTTTCTTAACTTGTAAGTGGTTTTATTGTAATGGCTGTTCTGTGGATCCTGTCGTTTATATGTACGAATTCAGTGCAGTTCATCTGAAACCAATAGCTATAATGAACACGCTAAGCCATGCTGGTTTTGGAAAGGAAACTGCAGATCACCAGTATGAGTCAAAGTCAAATCCATGATCCCACAGCTACTTTAAAAAATAAGGCACAATCATAAAGGCATGCAAAAGGTTTATAACTAAATCGAATTCTTCTTCTTCTTATTATTATTATAAATGATGAATTAATGAAAGTGTCATGCACATGCAAGCATGCGGCCCACTGTTGTCTGTCCACTAGGACATTGCTTTGAATGGATATCTCAGATGTTTGTCTTTGGTTGACTTTGATTCAGTCTGTTATTTTCACTGCACAGCCATACGATGCGTGTTTCCTACTCACTGAACATCTCACCTCTGTTGCATGTTACATTCAGCGGTGAGTAAAAGAAGCAAGAGGCAACAACAGATGTTTATCATGGTATTAGATGTCATTAAACACAGCGGTTTAAACAAAACAAGTCATTATCAATGGATAATTTTCAACCAAGGAGACGGAATATCTATAAAGTTGCAGGAAAACAAACATAATTATCCATGTATAACATTTGTTTCAGATTATGTTTTACAGTTTGATGTTAAACTGAACCAGATGTAGTGATCTGGTGTGTTTATGAAGAATCATTGTAATTTCCTCTTGAGGGCCTGTAGGCACTCTGTGAAGGTATCAAAAATTGAGGTGCTTGTTCCATCAGTGGGACGAATAGTGAAAGGGGGCTTTTCTCTGTGAGTGACGAGACTCTTCATCATACTCCATGTGGTGCTGATTCCTTCAGCTTAGTCATGTTTCTCCACCTAACAAACGAATATTTATTAGAGTCACTCAAGTATTCAGCGTGGCAGACGTATGACACCCAGTGTGTGAAGTGCACTTACGCATAAAGGAACTCTCCACGATGGATCTATTTCCAGAGACCATTATCTTCACAACTCAGTCTGTGTGAGCCAGAGGAGGGTGACAGAGGATGTGGTGACACATCTGCAGATATCCAGAAACAATACAGCTTCTGTCTGCCATATCTTGTCTGAGATGTCATGTCTAATTATGTCAGTATATCAGAAAAATCTGCCACCACAGATAAGTCACATGAAATCAGACTAGTTTGGTTAAATTGGGAAAAACACACATCTTACTTTCACAAGTAGTGAAGAAGAACATTCAAATATTTTTTCTTTAATAATTTGTATTGATCAGATAAAATGTATTTTCCTTGTAGTAGACATCCATTTCATTCCTTACCATAATAGGTTTCTGACTTGAAACAATTAGGTTTGATTTCTAACCTTCACAAATAGAAGTCACAGGCGAAACGCAACAAGGAAAAGAAAAATAGGTGTTTACATGTAGTGTTTAGATGTTACCATGGCTACCAGTAAACTTGACATCCATGTTCATGACTGTCAGAGATTAAAAATAAAACATTTTAACCCTAACCGTGATATTTTTTATCTCTCTAATTAAATAAATAAAACATGCTATTGCCCAAAATACAACTGGGAAGTGGCTAAAATGTTTTAGCGACAGCTTGTGGTGCTCTTAACTGAGCAAAACTTAAGAGCTCAGAACCGGTGTCATGAACACATGAATGATTAAAAGCATTGCCTCTTACTGGGCCATCCAGTGACCACTTGTACCTCCTTATGGGGACTTTGTGGCTTGTAAAAAGGAAACACTTGAGAATGACATCTGCTCTAATGCTAAAACACTGGTATGAGTCGTAATTCGTCGGCGCTGCTTGTCAGAGTCCTGTTTTACAGGATGCCATTACGGGTCACATGCAAGCATATGTACAAGGAGCTTATTCCATCTTATCAATTAAGCACTTCAGATAAATCCTTTCATTTAAATAAGCTTGAGAGAAATGAACACCTCTGCCCAAGGTCCTCAAATTTCCTCCTATGTTTGACCAGCTGTCCAAAATGTTAGATCTAATAAGTGTTAGAACGCCATCACATGTTCTAGTTCACGTTCAGGCGTAGAGGAATACTGGCAAGTCTTTAAATCCACACCCCCGACCTCTTTTTCTTTTTAGAGTAGCATCCTTTTTTGCATGTGAACATGTACTTTACCCTGGTGTTCATGCATTTGGTTTAATAGACACTATTTATTTTGGATTTGAACACGTGTCTCTGGGTTTATTTACAAACTATACTGGTGGAAACTATACTTTTATTTTAGCTCATACATACAGTATGATATGTGTCCTGTTTTCTGAACATCTGCATTTTTTCTTCAAGGAACAAATACAGATTAGTTTGTTTAGTTTAGAAAACAGCTTTTCTTCTGTCAATGTTCTAAAAAACTTCACCTCAAACTCTTAACAATTTTGTAATACAGTACGGTGGTGCACCAAATGCTATCGCACAATGATGTTGATACATGCTACTCATTTCTTGATAATATGCAGTAGGAAACGGTTAATAATAAATACTGCAGCCCTCCTGTGAGGATTAAACAAAACACATAAGCATAAACTAATAAAAATGTCTAGACAGTCCTCTGAATGTACAGTATGGGTGATTAGAAAGTTGCCTGAAGATTAAGAGGAATGTTCCTGTTCCACATAATGGTATTTAGCGTTTGATTGTCTCACTAAACTGTTGGAGTTGAACTTTGAATCACCTTGAAATTGTGCACATCAGGTGCCTGCGTCTGCTGTAAGATGGCTCAGTCTGTCATTGTTATCTTCTGAATGGCAGTGCACAATTCTTTCATGTGGAGTCTGTGAAATGACTTTCTTTCATTCAATCTCATTACCTGCTTATTCCTGTTTGGGACAGTGAGCCTTTCAGCTACTCTGGTGCTAACTGACGGGCTAACAATAGCAAGGCTCAATATTCCTGTTGAACAAGACAATTAGTAGATTATTCCTTCAATTTCAATCACGACAGCAGCTCGGGGTGATTGTTGGGCAGGAAAAAGGAATTTCTGGAATCGAAACCCTAAACAGGAACCGTTTTGTGTGTATGTTATATCGTGTGGTCAATTGTGACAGATGATCTAATTGTTGTTAGGGCTTACAGTAATACTAAAGAATAAAAAAATACCACACAAAGAAGGAATTAAAGCCAAACAACTACATGGTAGTGATAACAAAACATGAAGCCACTCAGAATACAAGAAATTGTCATCTAAACAGCTGAGGGCTGTTGAATGTCTATGCCATGGGCTTAAATAAAAAAAAACACAACTAATAATATGATTGTAGAGTGTTTTAGCTGTAGAACTGAACTGTTAGCAGCTGTCACTTCATACAATGAAACCATGTGAGGACATGACAGAGAGGAATCCATACAGTGAGAACCTGGCGGGGTATCACACAGACGCAGGGATGGGCAGGGCGCAGGCAAACGCCTAAAAGGAAACGTGTAATAACAGGACGTTTCAGATCCAAAGCAAACAAGTGTAAGCCTTAATACAACTGAGTAACAGGTAAGTCACCGCGGATTTAAGATGTCAGTGAGAGGATTTCTATCCCTTTATTCCACAGGTCTCCTTAGCAGCTTTGCATGAGTTAAATTGAAACCAGAGTGTTTCTTGGACACGCAACTGCTAAGTTGCTGTTGGAGCCAGCCTCCTGGCAAATCAACACAAAATGAGCTTAGTTGTTAAAGGACGCTGCAATTGATGGAATTCGCTCTTACAGAAGAGATGGAAGGCAGGCGCGGCTTGTAAATCGCGAAAGGAGACGGAGAGGCTTTCCTAGGTGCCACAGGCGCATTGTGCTCTCTGAGGAGACTCAGTCTGACCAGAACCTGGTCAGCCAGTGACCACCGCGATGCTCCGGGGAACCGCATCTCCTCGTGCTGAATCTGCGAACGCCTGCATATTTGACATACCCTAACAACGTGTCCACGGTTCCTTAAAAGTTTGCAAATATGTCCCCTAGTAAATAGCAAGTGAAGCGCGACTCCCGCATTTGAGACGTGTGAAGCCATGAGACGGAACTCGACACCGCGGCTCACAGAGCGCACAGATCAGGTTAGAAACATGCACCGCAACAGAACATCTCCAAATCGCATTCCGCATACTGAAATCTAAGCCGGGGACATCAGGATGTGTGACATAATCCTCAAGACATCTGAAAACCGCTCTCCTCCAAACAAGGCTCCAGGGGTTGGTTTGAGGAGATATGCGGACCTCTGTTACACACTGTTTGCTCTCGCAGGGATCTATAAAAGAGGGGCGGACACCAACTGCCCCAAAACGTCAGAGCGCACTTAACTATAAAACTCTCCAAACAGCCCTCTGCGCGCGGCGCGGTGCTGTGCGCAGACAACTGTCCGGCTTCACTCCGAAATGTGGACAACGCGCGTGGAGACCATTTGAGCAGTCTGGCCAGGAGAATTTGGACAATGGTTACTCTGATCTCATTTGTTTACTATGAAAATATTTTTGAACCTGTAACGCTTTCTGGATATTTTTAACCCGGTGTACTCCGAAAGAAAATATTTAGCCCCTTTTTTCTCAGACGCTGATGTCTTCATTGGACTCCCCTCATGTGGAGATAGTGGGTCTCTCTCGGATTTCCAACGTGGAGACGTAGCATTCAGTCCATCAGGGACTGCGACAGAACCCTGAGAGGCACAGGGGCTCTTGGCCCGCTTCCTCCAACCCTGAGCCCTGGACTCCTGAGACAAGAGAGGCGCAAGGTTTGTTTGGTGCGCTGGGTCAGAATATGAAAAACGCAGCTGGCGCGCGATAGCAGCCTTTTTTCTCCTTTCTTTTTCTTTTTGGACTAAAACCGAACATTTTTCTCGACGGGTTTTTTTCCCCCTGTCATGATTTATGCAGACAAGTCAGCTGAGGACACTGAATGAGTTGTGTTTTCTATTTGGATTTTATCACCAACAGCCAAGCAAGTTTTAGGTCTGCATGGGCCATAATTAAGGTAAGAATCCCCACGTGTCTTATGGTTTCAGGGTGTCAAATATACACTCAACTGATTATCTGAATTGGAACAAAATAGAAGCTTCTTTTTTTTTTGGAAAGTCAGAAAGTAAATCAGAAATGGGGGGGGGGGTGAATTGTTCTTATGTAAAGGCTGTTGTGGACTCTATCCACACATAACTGTTACGGTTTGTTGTAGAATTAACATGCCATTAGACAGAGTCACGTAAGCTTTGGGGATCGCCATCTGGCCAACTCACACCATTATTTAGACTATCAGTGCAAAAGTCTACGGCGCGTGCTTTATAACGCATTTTTTCCTGTGAGGCGCACCCTCCGTGCCTCATCACAAGTGCTAAAAGCTTGCCTGATATCGCAGCAGCGTCACCTCAGACCGTCAGTGTTGATTTAATATACATGCTTTTGAATAATCGGAAATACCGTGGGGAGCGTTTGACTCTTACGCACAGTTTTACGCATTGTTTTGCATTTCTGTTGGAAGATTTTGGCATTGCATAGAGGTTCTGCGCCATTGCAGCAATATGTTTTTGTTTATGTCCACAGCATACACGAGACAAAAGTGAAGACAAGAGCCTCTTGACATGATGACACAGTTATTAATGCAGAATGAGTCAGGGTGAGTCTGGCCACAACACTCTCACACACTTTTCTGGCTTGAAGATAATTCTTTTTTTCCTGATCATATTTTAGATAAATAAAAATATAGTTATCTGCGACCAGGTCATATATTGATAAACATTTTCATTTTCACAGCTTTCTTCATAGGAACTGAGTCTAAAATGAAGTTATGGGATGTTTTGGCTACGTGTTTGTTGCTCCTGAGCTCTGTTGCCACAAGGCCTCTCTACCCAAACACTCACCCAGCCAAGAGGACGTACTTCCCCAGAAGCTACCCTGATTCTGTGTCCCTGTCCGTGGAAGAGCCGTTGTACCAGCGTGAAGACCGCAACCTGAAGGAGATCTCCATGGAGGATCAGTGTAAGGCACACAGAGTGACAGTCTGGTGTATGGTTGATCACATACTAGCTGTGCAAAGAGCGATTTAAACATGATTACATCATATCATTTTGTATGTATGTCATCCAACTGCTTTGACGACTCAGTGACTTTGCGTGTCCCTAGCTAATCATCCTTAAGCAGCCACATGTAAAGTCATATCCAGAGGGTGGATAGTCCTTATTGATAAGGCTGTTATAGACGGTGAGGTTATCAGGTGGAAGATCTAAATTTGCGTTTTATTGTTGAGTTTGGTTACATCACTCAGGTCTAAACAAACCAGCAGCACAAATAAGACTGTGAACCGTTTCCAGTCCCAAGCAGCCTTCACTCTTCTCACATTTTCCCGCCTCTCTTTGTTTATACTCACCTCTGCTTCTATGCTGCTCGGAGACCCCGTGACCTCAACCCATCTGCCAAAACTCAGAAATCATGGGATGTTTTAGAGGAGGCGCTCTGAACTGGGTCACAGAAATTGTTAAAAGAGAGTGTGGATTACTCCGGAAAGTCTGAAGCCCGAGTGAGAGTTCTGTGTTTATCTTGGTTTTAGCGGAGACAGTGGGCAGGAATTTATTTTGTTTGGATTGTTGTGACATTGTATCATCATCACATAGAAGTAAACACTGCATGGAACTAGATAAGGAATGGAACGTTTGGGCAAGTGCTTGTCCTGCCACTTAATTCTCTGTTTGGCTCGCAGTGACATCATCGATTTTTTTGTGTTACCCCAAACTATGAACTATTCACTAATAGTGTAAACAGAAGTTGTCATGCGAGGAGAAGATGTGCATAGTGGTTGTCTTGTGCAGTGTGTCAAAGAAAATAGATAGTTTTTGCTTTATTGTTAAAAAAATCTGCAAAAGACAAGCCTCTAAAGACTCAGATATTTACTCCTTAAAAACACACTGAACGAAAACCTAGGATTATGGTGCATGGAGCAAAACCCCCCTGGTGTTTCCCTTTGGTTACCATAAACTTAAACATTACTACTACAAGAATATCAAGCCGAAATTTGCAGCAACCATAAGTTATTGGATTGGCCTCGGGCAGTCTAGTCTGTCAGCAGGTGTGCACTGTGGCCAACCTGTCTGCCGGTGACTCACAATAGAAGGTGTCTAAATCAAAGGGTAGGTGTATCCAAACAGATTGGCCTTCGCTCATCTGATACACTGGTGGCAGCCTAATCAGCTGTGGAGCTCAGGCAGATCAGATGGCCAAGGTAAAAGAGAGGAGAGATAGTTGACACTGCTGTATAGAGGCTATGTTAACCACAATACCACCTGCCAGATATCTCACCCGGCTGAATGTGACTTCTTGATGCACGTACAACATGGCTGCACCCCATGTGAGCACCAGCACACCCACACACAGACACACAGACTCTTCACAGGGGATGTAACAAGCTTTCAGGTCAGCTAAATACGTTTGTACGATCCAGTTCATTTTTGTCGGACCTGTGCGCGCTAAAGTAGAAGACACGTCACTCCTTAATAGAATCAACATGTTATTATTGAGGGTGGAAGACTTCGACTTTATCCCTATTACTCTCGTAGCAGATGGGGAAGAGCTGTGTTCATGCATGTTTTTAGTTTGCAGCAGACTACAATCTGCTTCATTACAATAAGTGAAAGCATATGGTTTCCTTGTATTGGGCCTTTCATGTCTTGGTGTCCTGAAATTACATCCATCAGAGATCTAAATGCATCTTGCTCGGTGGTGTGATAGTTCTCTGCCTACTGTATCAGCACAGGCAGTTCCTGTGTGAAAGCTCGCTGAGTTAACCGAGGCCCGGCAGATTAACCTTTAATGAATCAGGTTCTGTGTGACAGGAACTTGACACTTATTATTTATCCACACACAAGGCAGCACAACCCACCATTTTTCTTCCTCTGTGACTAAAACAAATCTTGAAATGAAACTGAAATCTCACCTCTGACCTTCCTCTCCAACTGATCCCGCAGCAGCCATCTTGAAAGGACACAAAGCCGGACAGACATAGGAGAAGGAGTTATCTAAGCTTCTGTGTCCTTTTTTGTCAGATATTTTGCAACATGTCATTTGTATAAGAGCGTTCAATCGTAAAGCACGTTCTTTTTTTCTCCACAAATATCTGCTGATCCATTTGACCAAACAGTGGGGCATTTATCTGGTTTTCATCTTTACATTTGTGTGTTTACTATTTGACGGTAAGGGAAATTAACTCATTGGTGACCACGTTCTCACATCTGTTTGTTAAATGAAAGGCTCAGTTTAAACTGAAATCAGACAGAGCATTTTCTGGGCAAGCAGAGGAAACTCCAGGAACTTGCGTTGTCTGGCCAAGAATTTATCTGCCCCATGAAGCCAAGTTCAGTGGAAAATGGTCATTTTTATAAAGAATGATTTTGTTATTTTCTGTAGATTAACCTGGCAGTGAAAAGAAAAACAGGCCAGCTCATTTACAAGTTAAATCTACCAATCACGTCCTTTTACCCACGAACAGTGAACTACGGTCTATTCCTCTTTACCCTGTGCCCGTATCTCTCCTGTTTCTTGGTATTTTTCTTGGTTACAATGCAGGGATTTAGAGATTTTAAATAATTTAATAGTGTTTTAGCTTGATAAATAAGCAGTTTCCCCTCTGATTTACTGCTATAACTGTCAAAGACGTTCAACTTTACAACAAAAGTTAAGACGGATAAACTGTGTGTTTCCTACCGTGTGTCTCATATTCTTTTAACCTCATTGTTATCCAAAAATGTGAATAAACTTTCAAAGGGCCGTAGGTAGTTATGGGTTGAGAATGCTACAGGCATAAAAAACAAAAATCTTCCACCCATGACCTGAAAGTCTGCAGAAAGCATTTACAAGCTGTGATAATTGCTAATCAGACAGTTGCTTTTTGTGCCTATTAGGCAGGGTGAGTGAAATTCACTTTAGACTGTTTGCTTTTCCATATGTAGTCACTTGTTGTAATGTAGATTTGCCGTGCTTTTGCGTTTTATCAGGATCCTTCATTTTTAATTCAGTCATTTCGGTGTTTGCTGTCATTCTGGGATGACACATTTTCCAACATGAGCTTCTCTTTTGGATTTTTTTGTTTGAAAATCCCCCACAGAGTAGATGATTTTCACACTCTACTTGCTACCACAACTCTTCTTTAGTTTTTTTATCCCCACAATGACATTTAACGTTTTGAATGACCTGCAAATGCAATTCTATCCAGCTGATATCTAAAACCGTTCAGTGTAAATCCAGCTTCCTGAAGGTTTTTCTTTCTTTTTTTTTCTTACCTTGCAGATGATTCCGCAGGTCCCTATCCGGAGCAGTTTGAGGACGTCATGGACTTTATTGAGGCCACCATTGGCAGACTCAGACGATCATCTGACCCCAGTGGCGGCTCCAGGGGGCAGAGGGAGCAGAGGCAGCGAGGAGCGGCAAACACAGAGGGCCTGAGAGGCGAAGGGAGAGGGCAGGGGGGCAAGAGGCGGAATCGGGGCCGAGGCGGCAAAAGGGGCAAGGGCGAGAAGGGGAAGGAGAGGATATCGGTGCAGAGTCGAGGCTGCCTGCTAAAGGAGGTGCATCTCAACGTGACGGATTTGGGGCTGGGATACCAGACAAAAGAGGAGTTAATCTTCCGCTACTGCAGCGGCCCCTGCGTGGAGGCGGAGACCAACTACGACAAGATCTTGAACAACCTCACACACAACAAAAAGTTGGACAAGGACACGCCCTCCCGCACCTGCTGTCGACCGATCGCGTTCGACGATGACTTATCTTTTTTGGACGACAACGTGATGTATCACACGCTGAAGAAGCACTCGGCTCGGAAATGCGGCTGCGTCTGAGGTCACGTGAGCGTGGCGACATAACCGACAAAGTGTCACCTCCACACACTGATGTGGCAAAGGGATTACTGTTGGACATGTGTGGATGAGCTCAAAGGAGTGTATTCTCCCATCATTTTCTCTGTTGTCATCAAGAAGGGATACAGTTAAGTATATTGTGACAGCTTTGTGAGACACCCTAGAACAGTTGTCAATTGGAAACTGCAAGTCTAACATTATTGGTCCACATGCGCTCATCCAGATCCAGTGACGAATATTTGTTCATGTACATGCAAACGGGAATGAGATGCGCACCATTTTTACAAAAGATTTAGTTCTGCCGAACCTCCCGATTTTCTAACTTTGTTGTCGAAAAAAGGTGATAGTTTAGAAGGATAGAGTTTTCACAGGAGGAATTCATTTCTCAGGAGCTCGGTTTTTCCATAGCTGGCTGACTCCAGATGAATCCAGAGATTTAAGGAGCTTTCTTGGTTGCAGTTTGAATCACTCCCACGACGGAGTCTGAATGCTGACACTTACATTCAGAGCCAAGAAACTATATTGGGTGCAGAAAGGACTGTTGTGATGCATCTATAGAAAATCCAGGCATCATATATTTGTATGTGGGTGTATACATATATATATATATATATATATATATATATATATATGTATGTGTACGCAAACATAAATGGTTTGTAAGAGGTATATTTATTAAGATGGAATTAACTTATTCTTATTTATTTCAGTCAATTTTATGAGAGATATTGTCTACTTATTTATTTATAGCTTTGTTTGTCCTGGATGGTGCCAAAGTGGAGCATTCTCTCATGAAAAATATTTTATGGTGACCCACAACTGCTTATCACTCCGATACATCCTCGCCATGCTTTTCCATGACATTTAGATTCCAGGGATTCCCTTATTAGACATCCAAAAATGATCTTTAGCCGTTCGAGTAAAGGTAGGATAGAAAGAGATGCAGAGGAGGGGACCAAAAGAAGAATTTTGAATGAACCGATCTGTTGTGTTGAATAAATTAAATATAGTACACCTCATATTTCACTAATGCGACCACTCAGAGTCAGGGGGATGCTGTAGCCCACGCCTGACTCCTAAAGAACTGTCCATTCATTACACTATGTTTACACATACGCAAACAAATCTTTATATTAAGGACTTTGCTTTTTCTGTTACTCCAACTAGAAGACATTACATTTTTGAGGCTAAATCTATGTGGGAGAGGTGGTCTCCATAGGATCCATCCCTTGAGTCGCACAGGACAGAAGCAACTAGAATGCTACGCTATCACATGCCATCGGAAACCCCATCCTGGCTTTGCACCAGGTCTGAGCGGGGCTTTGCGGCGGCCATCGTCCCAGTTGGCTTTGACGTTCACGAGGCTGCCTGTTCTTCTGTCTGCGCTCTGACTGACAGGTCTTATTCCTTCAAAGGGGATTTGAAAAGCGATCCTCTAACATGAGTCTTAACCAAATATTCCCACTGGCAAAGGCAGTTAGAGGATGATCTAGCTACTGTAGCGGCTGTCATTGAGCAACCGCTGTAAATATCTGAGGGCTAGACATTTCGACAAAAGAGAGTGTTTTGGAATAGCTGAGTGCAGACAATGGGCTGGCTCGACATGCTTTCTACATGTAACAACATGTTCACCCCAATTTATTCCCAAAGTTAAAACAGAAATGATCTTAAAGGAAGGCAAAAGGCTCCTTTAAGGGCATGTAGCTTTTCCCTGCGAGGGGGTCGTTTTAAGTGGAGCTAAAAGAGCCCTCGTTTAGGTCTTGATGTTAGCATGGATTAGGGACCAAGGTATCTGTGCCCACCCAGCAGCAAGCAAGCCAGCTTTACTGTGTAATCCCCTGCACAGAACAAATCCACTGCATCAAGCTGAATTTAGGCCAAACACTCCACACAGCGTAAAAATGACTCCCGTTTTTATCACAGCATACCTCATCAATTGAATCATCTTCCCTTTGTTTTTAACAACTGATTGGCCTATAAGCCTTTCCAGATGAAAATGTGCAGTTAAAAGACTTCCCAGAAGATATAAGACACTAAAGCTGGTGACCTGCGGCAGCCTCTCATCTTCATTAGCGACCGCTCGTCCGTTCGTCTGCGATTTGCCTCTCAGTCAGATAGATGCAAAGACAGTCTCAGTGCTAATGTCAGAAGTCTTTTACCACCACGTTAACACCTTTGTCATGTTGTCTCATGTTTTTTTTTTGTGTTACAGAACCAAAGCTCTCTGCAAACTTTATTTTTGTACAATATCCATTTTATAACTTTTTACAGAATTAAACTTGTTTCTATGAATCAATGTGTCTCCTGGTATTGTGCCATGTACAATAATCCAACTGGTACCATATGGTGCAAATTCACTGGGGTATGTTTACAGAGGAGTCCTGTAAAATGGAGGATGAAAATTTGGGGTTGAACAGATAATTGTGGGGACCATTTGTGAGGTGGCGTCCATAGAACGGTGTCTCCTTCTGTTCGGCATTCTTGAACGAGAGCCCAGGGTTGTACAGTAAACAAAAGCCCGCAGTAAAGCACCACTGTGTTGTAATTCAAGGCACAAACTTTCGACTTTGCAGGACCTAATGGCAGAAATAGCAGAGGCGCAGAAAGTGAGTCTGAAAGTGTTCAGAAACTGAGCTGTTTTGGGAGAAGGCCATGTCTAATCTCATGAAAAAAGTTTCAAGTCCCAAGCTTTCTGAATTTAATCCTCATGTTTTTTCTGGTCATTCGAGTAGCATATCATCTAAATATTTTATTTCTAGGAAGCAGATTACTGAAGCTGACTGATTAAGTATTTTATTTGGCCAGAGCAGACTTTTTTTATAAAGTTCAGAGATTTGAAGATTTTGTTTTTCTCCTAACGTCTGAGGCTGAAGTTTAACAATAGTTTATTTGTTCATTTACTAGTTCAAGTTAGTTTACCAGAGTGTGTTAACATGTTTTAATGATGAATTGAGTCATTTTTTTCCCTCGTTGCTGCTGATCTTTGTGACATGCACAAAATATCCATCTTTTGCCTCAGCTGCTTGCTGCTCAGATTGATTCGTCATTTCTAAAATTAGTTAACTAAAGGCTTATTTGCACTGATGCCAAGCTAAGCATTGAGCAGTCATTAGCTGAACTTGTGAAAGTATAAAAACAAAAAAAATTCTGTAAAAACTAAACTAAACTTAAACGGTATAGGTCATCCTTCACACTGCTGGGGCAGCTCCGACCCATCATAGCAAGCACACAGGAGGTCTTTTCCTGGAATGAGGGCAGCGACCCCTTTGGGCCCTGCGGGGCCTCTGGGGACTGGCTGTGTTAAAAAACATTCGCTATTGACTGGATAAGTTTTGGATCTGGAGTTTGGGTCAAAGCCTTTGTTTTGAGGAGTTTATGAGATGTGACTCAATGTATTGTCGTACTAGGGAAGCTTGCCAGACCCCTGAATCGCTTAGCACAACTTTACAACAATATGTGGAGGGTTATTTACTCGTCACTGGTAGTGATTTGGGACTATCAGTCCTATCTATGTCCAAAACATCTGTCATGTCTACAACACATTAATGCAAAAAGCTCCTTCCTTGTTGACATGAACAACGTTTGCAAGAGTCATCTTCCTGTTGGGCATCAAATCTTTAAAAAAAACTGTCTGTTTGACAAATTTAAGTCCTAAAGCATCAATTCCGATGTTTTCTTTCCTCACTGGTTCCAGACTGCAATAGCAACGGGCTAAATCAAAGCCTTTAAATGTCACAGCCGCACAAATGGCAGAGACAGGGGAAACACAAGCAGCAGCGAGAGAGGGATTCATTGCGATTTGGGAAAACTCAGGCCTTTTATCAGTGTGTATGTGAATGCTTCTACCTTCATACCAGTTTCCACTCCACACACATGCTCTCCTTTCCATGCGTCAGCTGCTCGGTGGCCCGGTGCTGGAAAAACAGGATTGATGAACAACAGGAGGATGTCTTCACCTCCTGCTGCTGCTGGATGCATCAGCTCTGGAAGAACCCCGCTCCATGAAGCCAACCTGCCACACTCCCCACTTAAGCCGCTTTAAATATTCCACCCATTGTTTCAGTTCTTCCATATTTGTTCTGGTAACATCTTTGTCTTGGTTTCATTTTACAGGCTGCAGAGCTTTTGCCAGGACACAGACCATTTAATAGTCCTCCTGTTGTTTCCATTGGCAAGGAAAGCCTGGTCTTTTGTCTGCTGCCCCCCCACCACCAAACACACACACACACACACACACACACACACATATAAGTCACTGACTAGAAACACCAGCTAAATGACAGTTAGGGCATGCAAGACTGTGAGTTCTCATAAATAAGGCATCATCTCATGTCAATGGACATTTCACATAAACTAGGGCAACGACAATATTTTGCTTCTTCACCAAGGAAGTGTGTGATTATTTGTCAGCAGGGACACACACATTTACTAATCTGAATCCAAATAGAATTGGTAGAGGGGGTGATTTGGGGTAAAAGAAAAACCCATATAACATTTGGTAAAATCAATAGAATTAGCCACTGGCCTTGATGGAAATGTGCAATCTAATGAGGCCCAGCCCAGTTCGTTCCAAACTAGTTAGATTTGGAAAAATAAATCTGTGTTGCGGGTGCCTGTGTCAGTATTTTAGAACACTACCTCGACCATTAAGGTATTTCTTTATTTTCAAAGATAAGACAGGAAATAAGACCAGGAGTTAAAGGCCACCAGACCTCCCTAAAACACTACAAAACTGGTGCTAGGAACATTTAAGTTTATCACTCATTTTCTGAACAACTTTTAGCTCATAAGCCTCTCCAGATAATCTCTCTAATGACAGAATTGAGATATTTTTTTAATTATAATAATAGGGTAAAGAAAACCACAATAAACCACTGTGATGATTAGATGCATTTGCAGGAAAATTTTATTCATTTCGGATTTAATTTGCAAAAATGTTTTAAAGCAGTAGGTACAGATTGCAGCTTGGAGAGAAATGGACTGTAGAGCGTGTCTTTATGTTAGAGCTGATGCCTCAGAGGAAAGGCATTCCTTTGATCAGCAGGTAAAACCAATCTGACTGCACTGCCCTTTGGATGAAATATGTTGAGCCTTACAGAGAGGATACCAATTCCTTTATTAGCATTGTTGGTGGAATAAAATGGGTAAAAAAAAAAAAACTTTTGAAAAAAAGGCTAAGTAAATTTGTTCACCACAGCTTCTAAAAAGAACAGCATTAAAACGATTGAGCCTTAAAAACGTTTCCCACGTAGAAGATGTCTGAAAATTTATTGCATCTTTGCGATTTACTGTTCGCAGGCTTTTCTTCATGGTGATGAACAGCACCAGACCACAAAATCTGGAGCCGATTTGTGAGGCATTAGCAAACTCTGGAGTCGTGGAGTGAGACGACAATAGAAATGATGAAAATAAACTCCACAATCAAAACAGACATAAAAAGTCCACTTCTTCCAGTGGTTTATAAATTGGAACGAGGGGAACACAAAGATATAAAGTTATATTCTGTTTTCATGGTGAGATTGGATTCATATATTTCCCCTCATTACTGAGCCACATAAATTAAAGCCTTGGTGTTTGTGGAGAAAAGCACAGGACTGTATACTGTGAGCACTTCCTGAGTGTTACCGGGCTGTTACAGGGCTGCTGGCTGCCTGATACTAAGGGAGCTGCTGTTGGAGTCTCAGATTTTGCGTTTCTTCCACTCTGGTTCTTTGTCGGCCTCCTCGTCTTCCTCTGACTCCTCTGCGAACAAAGGCTCTGGCTGGGTCCTACAGGGATTCACCAAGAAGAATAGCGATTAATTGCTTTCTTACTTTTTTTCTTCACTCAACTTGAGAGAAAAACAATTAATTGTAACACAAGGGACGGATCCAGCTGCGAGGCAATGAATTAAATGAGATATTTGAAATTTCAAGTGTCAGATGGAGCATTTCTGGTTTACATATAAAGCTTAATGAAGTTCAGACTGTAATAAAGTTGCACTGAGCAGAATACAGCGCAGTGATTAAGACGGCTCATATGTAGGCACATCATTGTTTTGTCCTGATTAACCGAGGCTGTAAATGGCCTCATCTGCAGCATTACATCATGCTTCATCTCTTTGAGGTGGTCATTTTAAAATACAGGTTTGTTCCACACCTCCATTCCTTCATCTAAAATTGATCTGAAGCGTTTAGCTGTAAAACTGGTTCATCGATGATCACAACACAATAAGGAGCAGTGCTGATTTCTGACAGGTTTCTGCTGGAATCAGTCATGTGACCTGGCCGATGTCGCTGTGGACGGAGGGAGGAAACCTCCGGGTGTGCCGGGCCCATGCTCCAGTCCCTGTGGTGGATCATTTGTTCTCGATGTTGACTTTTAGCTGCTTGAATAATGATTTTGTCAGATGAGCGTGAAGTTATAAAATCATGAATTTACTGCAGTACAGCAACAGTCTGGAAATGCTTTAAATAACCACAAGTTGACGTTTCGTCTTACTGGGCTGATTTTCAGACATTTCTGATGTGTTTAACCGTCTGCCAAAGAAGCAGGAAAATATGGGAGCAGCTTTATTGGGAATTTGGCTGTGTTGATATGCACTTACATTTAGCAGTTATGACTAAAAGATTCATGTACAGAGCAGACCTTGGCTCATTTTACTCTAGCTGGGTGTGCACATGCAAAAGGTATTCCATCCAAAACTGTACAACTTGGGTGTTAGTCAGTTTGAGAAGATTTAGAATGATTTCAGTCAGACTAACGTGTGCGTCTGTATTTCACAAGTCTTGTGTAGTCTGCCTTACGTATTATGTGTTTTCGAAAGTTAGGAAAGCAGACAGATGGAGACACAGTTGTTTTCTCTTACTGTTTGTATGCTGGAGCGACCCAGTACGGGTTTTCTGAAGCCTCCTTGGCGTGACGCAGGATGGCCTCTCGTGGGTTACTGTCATCGGTTTTGTCTAAAGCGATGTTCTTCACAATGAATGAAGACAGAGTTCCCCCGTGAGCGGCCACTCTGCCTCCTCGTCCTGTGAGGGCAGATGATTACTGGATTAGTTACACTTAAGGCTTAAAGATACGAATAAAAGAAAGACGAAATTACACACAAAAATTCATCTGAGGTCACATCTTCTTAGAAAGTGAAAAACCAATTAATCCTACAAAGGCATTAATCCCGTGCGGGATCAGTGGAGAGAATGTGACCTTGGGTAGTGCTACGGGTTCAGCCGTGGCTCCAGATGAAGATATTCACCATAATCTACCGCACTCTACAGACGGTGACATGACCTGGGATCAAAGATTTGCAGATAGCAGATGTATGGTTTACATTGTGTGCTATTTTCACCAGTGAATATCGTCATAAAACATGAAATCCAGGATGTATCAAAATATCTTAAAATACAAGTTCCATCAGAAAGAAAAAGCATAGGGGTGCCCCTAGTATGAATTTTTAGGAGAAGGGGCCTTTGTGTAGAACTTTACATCAGTAAATCATTATGAAAAAAAACTTCATAGCAAAATTTAGATGAATCTGTTATGAGTCAAATGACTCCATCTAACAGCCTTTCAGTGTTAATAATGAGAGATGCTAATCAATTTGTGATCAGTCTAAAATAATGCTGTACTTTTTTCAAGAAAGCAAGGCCATTTGAAAACATGCTCTTATGCACTTATGTCCTCGATTTTAAATGACTCAGTGGAACTTTCAGGGATATTTTCCAACTTCCTACCCAAGACATCTTAAACCATAGAGGATGAAACATGCACATCTCCTTAAAAGACACAAAGACTTGCTGCCGAAGCTGAACAGTGGGGTTGTTTGGAGATGGAGAGGCTCATCTTTCCATTGCTTGTAAGCATTCAGACAACCACCAAGCATTACCTTGCACTTATATGAAGTCCCTTCACACACAGGATAAACAATAGACAAACAGCCTGCAATCTAAAAACCACCGGTTAGCCCAACTTATTTTCGTGAAAAGGACCTGCATTTTAATTCTGTGCTCTTCTGTCAACCTCAATGAAACAGTAGTTACAGATTTACACACAGGAGCAGCTGACTCAGCAAAACTTTGGCTTGGTTTTACTAATATCTGGTTATTATCAACACATTGCTCACTTAGTTTATGCATGTTCAAAATGATTGTTTTGCTTTAAAGTAGACGTTGCAAATGATCTAAATATCCTTGTTGTTGTTGTCGTCATGGCTACTATTTGGATGTTTTTTACTTGTACACTTTATAGATGTTTGTTTTTGTTTTTTTACCTGAGGACACATTTGCACTGTGGAGCCATTACATTGTTACAAGTACAGAGAGCTGAAAGGGAAAGTGAAAAAACAGGGAAAGTGGAGAAACAGAACTAAACTTGACAGCAGCGAGCCAGCTGGGTTCATGGTGACATGGGAAATGTTGTCTGGCACCTGTGCTTTTTGGAACTGAGCACAAGACTGTATTTATAATTAAGGATAGGTGTGGCATTTATGGAAGTACTATGGTAAGAATAAGAAGCCATCAGAGACTGGTTTCAGACCAAAGCCCACTGTGTATCATCATGTCCGACGGTTAAAAGGCAACGGCAGGTTGCAGCGAGCCCCTGAGAGGCAAAGCGGGAGCCCCGTTACAGCTCTGCATCAGCTGGACAGCAGAAGACTGAGCACACCAACAACTGTGGACTCGCACATCTGCCCATATCGCTTCTGCCCAGTTACTTGACTCCCCGTACAACAACAAAAACAGCTGCGGGACTAAGGCCATACGTCATTACCGTGTCTCACAGTACTAGAAATGCTGTTTTCTTTTTGCTCATAAGTTGTTTCCCAGGCACACTGGCTATTGGAATACACAAAAAAATAAAAAGATTTTTTCTTTTTTCTTTTTTTAAATGAAATGAAAAGGCACATTACCTGGTCCAGACACAGGAGGCTCAGGTTTGTGGGATTTCTTGGGGTCAAGTCTATCCTTCTCCAGCTGTTTTCTTGTACTCCTCTGTCGTGCCTCTCTGAACATGGGCAAGGCATGAGCTACAAACACACAACACACACACACATTAATCAAATGCTGGTAAACAAGATCTTTACACGTTGTTTGTTTTTTGTTTTCTTTTGTTTACAAGCAATCTATAACACATTGCATAATATACCCAACTTCTAAAATATTGTCATGTGTGTCCTATTTGTGAAGTTCTGCAGCGCCTTCCGAGCTTCTGGGGGGTTTGATTCTCTGCAGGAGGTCTGGAGAGATTTCTGCAAGCCTCTGTATCCAGATCATCTAAAGAACGCTTTCTGAGCATGGATGAAAACTTCTGGCGAAAGGGAAACGCTCAGTCCAACTGGGAGATTGCATGCAGCACTAGGAGGGTTTCAGCCAGTCATATTTGAACCAGCTGATCTCTGCCAGTGTTTCTCATCTTATCTTCTCCTTTTTCTTTTTCAAATGTATACAAACAATGCCTGCGCCATTCTATTCAGACAATCACGCCACCGATTTTTACACTTTTGTGAACACAGTGACAACAAAGGCTCCACACATTCAAATCCGCGAATGTGAGAGAGAACGGGTGCGTGATTAAGTGTGAATGAGTGCCCTCGAAGTAGTGTCAGGGAGTCTGCGTGTGTGTGTGAGAGAGACCATATGTGTTAGAAAGTGTGTATGCTCTGCTCTTATCCTCAGGGGTTACAAAGAGACACTTTAGTAAAGAGCTAGACAAAGTGATTTTCCATTCAGGAGCGCTGTCGCTGTTCAGTGTTAATTCTCCTCCTGCATGCTACATTAAGCAAAAAGGTTACTGTTAACAGATTCCCTCGCTTTTCTCAATGGGCCATCACTTGCTTCCTGTCCCTTCTAATTTTCCAGTGTCAGGGCTATCAAGTGCGTCACTCACCACTTGCAGCAGTGAAATGTCTGACTACTTCACACCCTGTTGGCATGGCAATGGCATCACATGACGCCTCTGAAAAGGCTGCGACGGCCCAAACAATAACCGGCATCTGAATTTGGCCCTGGCAGCCAATCGGCGGCTTGGAGCCGGCAGCTGCTCTGATCCTGCACAACCATAACTTCACTCTGGGGGCAAAGGTTTGTGAGGCACGCGCGAAAGAGATGACGGCCTCATGCGCCGGTTAGATGATCGGCGAGGGGTGCAGTTTGGTGTCTGCGTGGTCGGCTCGGCGGGAGATCACGCCAGCAGAAGTGGGAGAAGAGGTTGTCCCTTGCGTGACTCCAGCGTGACAGGAGACCAAATGGCTGTCGCGTGGCACAGAGCCCTACGGCTGTCGATTCAATAATCCACAGCCCCACTCCATCAGCTAATGGGCCTGTGAACACCCTGAACAAACCCTCATTCCATACAAAGCCCCTAGCATGACACGGAGTCTGTCTGATCATTCATCAGTGTGTGTGTGTGTGTGTGTGTGTGTGCGTGTGTGAGATAAATAGAGCAGCCAGAGAGAAGCTGCGTGTAAAGAAGGGCAGGTCTGAGAAGAAACATGCTCCACTTCTCACATCCAACACAGTGAAGCTGACAGCATCTTTCTTCATGTTTAACAAACATCATCTATCTTATGAAGGGCAGAGTGCTTACGAGGAAGCTTAGGGGACTCAGTGTGGACAAAACTCCTAGAGGACTCTGAGAGAGGCACTTCACTTTGATCCTGTCAGTAATATGTGAAAATGCACGCTGGGAATTCATCATACAGCAAAGTAATTATTCATTGAAAGGGGCGGTGGAGGGGTTAACGGGGGAACTTACGCGTGATGATATAATCTTGTGTGAGAGCCTCCGCTTGTCTCTCTTTCCGCTTGCTCTTCACCACACACAGCTTCGCCCCTCTGGAAGACAGACGATGAGATACAGAAAACAGAGGACTGAGCAGTTGCATCATCATTTACGGCACCTCAGCTGAAGTTATTACTTTTTATATATTCTCTGGCCACATCCTCATCTTCGTCCCAGAAAACAGAACTTGTTGCTGCACAAGCAACATTACAAACACAACTCAATGTAGGCGGTTATACATTTACCTTACAGAACTCCTCTGGTTCTTGATTAGAAACCAGAGAAAAATGGACAGATTCTTTTACTCTTAGGGAATGACCAACTTTGGTCTGTTATGGTGATGCTGTAGTTGTAGCAATTTAGCTTTTTAAGCCTTTTTTTGTCCTGAACTGCAGGTCATAAACCTCCACATGTTTAAATAGGTGACAAGCCTGGACTTCATTCAGGCCAGTTTAGCACCAACAGCTCTGCTACCCTCACTACAGAACCATGCTGCTGTAATTTATGATGTGTTCATATGGCATCAGAGGTGCCTTCCCTGATGAGCAAGTCCCCCATACCAGGTGGATTGCGCCGGCTTCATGGCAACATGTATGCAGACTTTAAACTGTGGCTAAAACTGATCTGGGTGGTGCTTTTTTTAACATTGAGGATTAAGTGTGCATTATTTTCTAAAAAAATTCAGCACTTAGGACATGGGACATTTTCTTTAGTTCATCCTAAATTAAGAATGTGAACAAGTACGTGTTCCTGACCCGTTGCTTGTCATTAAACCTGATTAGTATTCAAATGTTCCACCAGATCTTTTTCTGTTTCTCATGGCCTTTGTCAAACACATTGATGACAGATTCTGAATGAATTCATGGTTAATAAAGCAAAAACATGGTAGCATTTTACATTTGCAGCAGTAGATTTGCCATGCGACTAAAGTGAGCTAATTACAGCTTTTTTGCTGATATTCCACTTCCATTCTCTAGAAAACCCAAAAAACATTTTATATCTATTAATAACAGAGTAATGGTCTCCCCTAATAGTGTTATAGGAACGTACCTGTGACTTTTAACTGGATCATAGTACACCCGGACCATTCCATTTGCAGTACCCACCATTATCTGGTTAAGTTTTGGATGCCACAGGGAGCGGACAACACTCTGGGAAACAGACAAAGACAAAAATTTTATGACTCACTGAATATAGAAAAATGTGTGATACGTTATGAATAACGCCTAATTTTGTGAGTCAAATTTGCAACAAAACCACACACAGGTAATGTTATTTTATTTTTTTCATCCAAATACTGTGAATATGTCCCCGGGTCAGTTGTGCAGGTAGAGTAGGAAAAGGTCCTGGAGTGCTCTGCTGCTGTAGTTGACTATATTTGGTTGCTGGGATAAGGTCTGGATCTCTCAGTTTGTGTGTGACAGATGGCTCAGTGCCAATGGGCAAAGGACCACATTTATCCAGGGATGGATATGTACGTGGGGGTGTGTGTGAGACTGAGAAGAATAGAAGAAGAAAGCTATGGAAACCAGTTAAATTCTTAGACATTAAAGAAGAACCTCTGTTCAGTCTGCGTTTCATGAGCTGCACAAGAAACCCCAAGCAGGAGCACATCCTCTCTCCACACACTTTAATATCCCAGCCTTCTGATGGGGTCTAGACCAGTGGTGGGATTGGGGGTGGGTAGGACTATGGGAAAACCAGAATCTGTGATAATAAAAGCTGCTTAATGCCCAGCTGTCCAGCCTACAACCATGATACCAGCAGAGGGAATATCACACACAATCACAAATGCAAACACACTCACATGAAGAACCATTATACACAAATGACTTCAATTTTTAACCAAAAAAAAAAACACCATGAAAATGAGAAAACGCACAATAAGTCATTAAATAAAATAGCAAACTAAACTGGTGTTCTATAGCAAATAAATTCCATCCAAACAGAGATGATTACTTGTTCCCCAGCCCTCTGTGTGAGCTTACTACGAATTAAAAAATCATTCATAATCGGACAAAAATGATAGTCTTATCTCATGGATGTGTCACGGCTGTCAGATCAGCAAATCAGTGTGGGAGCGCCGCAGACAGATAAAGGTTAATCTGCTCCACCAGATGTGCCAACTGTGGTTCAATAAAATTAAAAGAAATCTAAAAACGCATAAACTGGATGTTCTTCATTAGAGTTTCAAAAATTCTACTCTTTACAGCATGAAAGAGTTTTTACATGAATCTTGATCTGATGTAACGATATGTGCAGATGCAAAGATGTTTTATTTCCACCTAATGTACAGAATAACGTCAACATTAAAATTGATTCAAGATGAATTCTAAACTCTCTGCACCAAGGTTGCGCCTTTCAACAACTTGAGTCCAAATAATGGCGAACATGGTCCAGTGGAATTGTCTCATGGGTAATAGGTTTGCCCGTCATGGTTGCCATAGCAGCGGTGACAGACTCATCATGCAAGGAAAGGCAAAGACAATTGTTTGGAATTTTGTTCCGCTCCACAGGGGGCTGTCGAAGCTTTTAGGTTAGCAACACAGACACACACACACACACACACACAGCAGCCCATGCTGACAGTCACCAACCAGCCAGGTACTGTCACCGTTGTTCAGTTGAGTTCACAAAACAACCTAAATGAATCAGGCTGTCAACAGTGGGACGCTGGGCAGCCAGAGCGGCCCGGCTGAGAGGGCCCCACTGCGCCCGCATGGACTGAGAGGCCCACGGCCGAGCCCCGCTCAGCGCAGTCCAACAGTTGGACTGTTTTCCAGATATTCTGTGCGGTGTGTTTATACTCAAGGAATCCCTGTTTACACTCCCCTTAGACAAAACTACATTACATCATGAGGAGGAAGGTGTAATCAGTCAGTTCTTCAGTAGCAAGCTTCTTTTTTCCATCGGAGTAACATACCAATGGCAGAGCTCGGATAAATAAGTTCACAGCCAGTTGATCAGTACACATGTTGATTATCAAATTAAAATAAGCAACGCTGACAAGACTCCGCTGTCAGTTGAGTTCCTTTGGAGGAGATCCAACTGTACGCTGCTGTGTCAGGGTGAGCTCCATGGGTGGAGTGTGTGCAGCAGGGAAAAGGACGATGTGTGGGCTACTTCTCAACAAGTCTGTAAATGCAATGAGCTACCTCACTGTAAGATGTGGCTTTTAGATCAGGCAGGAAGAAAGTCGAGACCTCCCGTCTACCTTTACCCATGGCTCCCCTTGGAAAAGATTAAAGAGCTGTCGTTTGTATCAAAGCCCACCTCATAAAGCTGAGAGCAGCTCGCTGCCTCAGAGGTATCGAGCAGCAAATATTTTTTGTTGTAAATACACACACTCACACAACAGAAACACACGGCATCTGGTGGAAACACCACAGCAGGTGACTTATTAGCAGAAACAGAAGGATGCATGCATTTCAAATCAAAGCTGGGCACCTAAAAAATACACATTTACATGAAGCACATGAGGTCTGCGGGTGTTTGTAGATTTTCATCTGAATGCCACAAAAAATTTGATTCCGATGCTTTCCCCTAGAACTCACCTGGATTTTGCCTCTCCTGATGAAGTAAGATAAGCTTGAGGATGTCTGAAGTATTTACCAAACAAGCCTGAAACAGCCTCTGCTCCTGAACACATCCGTAAATCCAGGTCTGGGGTTATGTAGACTGTTTAGGTAGAAATGATTGGTGGTCCCCTACTCTCAACTGCTTGGCATGCCACTTTATAAAACACTGCACTTAAATTCTTAGGCCATCCGAGCAGGAGACGGCTGATGTAAACACAGTACGCAGCGCATTCATTCGGTTCACTGAGTCTGTTCAAATCAGAATCAACCAATCTGTACAATTCTGACATGATCGTATTGGGGCTTTGTCCCAGCATGATCTGGGCAATGCTTTTTTTTTTTTTTTTTTTTTTACAAGGTAGTCACATTCCTGTTGGTGGGTTCGAGGGACAGATAGGGGGAAGAAATTAATAAAATATGAAATTTCATCTTCTAAAAATAAACTTTTCAAAATGGCCCATTTTTCCATATCTGGTTAATATTAAGATACTAAAAGAATGAATAATTAATTATGGACAAAGCGCAACGGTCGGGTTGCATTTAAATACACTGCCATTGGATAAATGGTGACACATTTACAGGTTTTAGTAACTCTGTGAAAGCTCCCATTTGGACCTCAGCTATCAAGATATACATCGCAATTACTTGAATAAATGTCTTTAACATGGTTTTTTCTATGACTGTGTCATCTTTTGCCAATCTCTTAAAAATCTATTAAAAAAACAAACTCATATTTAGATATGTAAATTAGATCAAATGACATTTCCATAAACTTGGTTGAAGTTTCTTTTGGAGGAAAAAAGTACAATTAAAATACAGTAATCTAGATTACGCATATATAAAATAAGGGAAATTTGGGTAATTTTCACAAATTAAAACATTGCCAAGTTGGCTGCCAGCCTGCGTCTTTTCTCTGGAGTCTCGGCTTCGTTATTTTGTGTGGCAGCGAGCTGGATATTGTGGGAAATCTGCAGGATTTTTTCGCAGAACCGAGGGTAAACTTACAGGAAGAGGTGGAACAAGTGAAAGGCCAATGGAAAAATCACTTCCAAATGTTTACCCTCTCCTCAGTAGAGTGAAAGAGAAGACAAATGTCCATGGACAGATGCATGGGAGGAGGGTTGTTAAGTTCTAAATAGACTCTTCAGCCCAACACGTCCCTTTGATTATGTCTATTGTCAAAGTGGGTGCAAAGACGGTTAGGAACATAAATACAGGACACTATGATGTCAGCTACTTAAGCTAAACGGGCCAATAGCCACACAAATGTGGGCTGTGTTTTCAGCAGTTTAATAACGCCACCCAATGTCTTTGACTGACGCCATTATCACAGGGCATTCAAAAGTCAAGTGAACTTTAACTGTGCACAGTGTAAAGATGTTTGTGGACCGTCAGCTCCTAACTACCACCAGACAGGAGCTCCGGCTTTCAAGAGGAGAGAGGACAATTACAGAGGCAAGGCTTTCAACATAATGCAGAAAATGTGGGCTCAATTTTCAGTAACAGACTAGCATAAACAATAGAGGAGGATGGGAACAAAAGGATTTTTTTCTTCTTAGCATTTGCATTTATGTTTGAAAGAGACACCTTTCCTAGGGCTGACGGTCATGTGTGTTTAAACAAGTCTTTTTTTATTTATTTAAGTCGGGAAAAGACAATTAATTTTTTCTTTCTCTGGAAATGAGTGCGACCAATACACGGACAGTCCTCTTACAGTTTGGTGCTTGGTTACCGCACCTCGTCCATTCACTGACTGACCTGGCCACGCTGGACGGCATTAGCCAGTGGCCTGAAGCACGTCGAATGCCATAGCTCTGTGGACTGTGTGGCGAAACATTCAAGGCCTTTGTGTCAAAACCTTTCACCTCACAGATGCTGACTTTAAATGACTTCAGTGGTGATTTTATTAAAAGCTTTTCTAAGTTACATTTTAGGTGCCTCTGACAATCTCCCACTTCTGAGGAAGGAAAGACGGGATGAGAAGTAAGACCAGGAGATTTAATATATTTTAAGTGTTTCTTCCACAGCCAGAACCTCTGGCAGGTTCAAATAGATTTCTGAGAAAGCAGGATTAGTATAAAGCACATCGAAAGCTAAGTTTGTGTCTTTAGATAATTCAATTTGGAACAGGGCTAAAAGGCAGTGCATAGAAAAGTGTCATAATTGTTCTGCCAACAGTTTGCAGACTAAGAGAACATTGCATTACGCCTCTTTCTCCTTTTTTTGAACAACTTTCAATGCCTTTTCTATGCCTTTGCTCTCCTTGCTCACCCCTCTCCTCTTTCTCTGATTTTCCTTTTATCATGTATCTAGTATCTCAAAGTGAGGACAGAGAAAATACAGCTGTGTGGCTGCATTACCAGTAGCTAGAGACAAATTAATCTTCTGAAAATGATTATATGTGTCAGATGATCAGATTGTTAGGTGAATACAGGAGAAGAAAAATGTGTTTTTCTTTTGGAGAACATTTTTTCACAAAGTTGGGGGATGTTTTAGGTAATTTCTTAAAAATGAAAATTTACCCCCGTTTAACCAATCTCTTATTACATTAATGTTTTAATAATTTTCACTTTGTTTGGATAACAATCTGTGTATGGTCAATAAAGCCCTAGAATCCTGTTATTGAGATTACTGTTATTGATTTGAGGCAGAAAAATAAAGTGACAACCAAAAGTGTGCAGCAGACATTCTCATCGATGTCTTCATATTTTTGGTGAAAGTAACATTCTGTGAAGCAGCATTAATGCTGGGGACTGAGGCAGGACTTACAGCATTGGTGACTTCCACCTCATACACCTTCTGAAAGGAAACCCGGTCAAAGAACACCAGCTTCCCATTTCCCTCCTCTTTCTTCATCGAGGTCCCTGTCACTATGAGCTTGTCGTCGGGGCTGAAACAGCAGTCGGTCCTGAAATGGAGTGTCAAACGCATAACCTCAGATCTCAATTCACATGACATACGACAGAAAACAGGCGCATTTGTAAGATGACAGCTGGAAAAGAATCTCACATGGAAAAGAAGTTGACCAGCCCGCTGGCTTCATTTACAGGCTTTTTGAAGTTCCGGATGTCCCACATCTTCAGAGTGTCATCACCTAGATAAGAACAGATTTGACAAAAAAAAATAAACAGTAGTTTTCTAGCAGCCTTGCGACATTTTTCCCGGACCATAAGAATCTAACTTTATTTTTCATTTCCATTCCTGTAAGATCCTGTTCAGTTAAATACTCTTATTCAGATTTGCTTCTGTTTTCCTTTGAAATCTAACTATTGGCTCAATTTCATACCATGAGGAAACTGAGTATATGTTGTGAATATGTTCTACATCTCTTGAGAGTTTCTATTTGCATGTTCATACACCAAGATCTAATCATCATCTAAAATCTGTCAGTTCACATCAGAGATTTTGAATTGGACATAAAAACTAGATGATCTGATTTAAGCGACTGAATCTTTGACATGTCAGACAGTTGGCTCTGGGGTTCGGGGGGTCACTTTGTACCTCCACGGGATGCGAGAGTCATGCCATCATAAGAAAAACAGAGGGAAGAGGTGTCTGATCCTGGGGAGTGGGCTTGTCGACAGTGGAACTTTGTGTGAACCTGGAAAAAAAATAGAAAAAAAACAACATTGATTAAATCAGTGTCTAAATCTTCAGGCTTCTTTTGCAATGTTTTGAACTTAGCATTTAAGTAGATTTTTCAACAATCTATCATATTAATTCCAGCGTATGAAACAGGCAGCACCCTGCATCAGTAGCTACTGTGGTAACAAAAAGAACTTTTCATTTTCGATGTACTCAAAACAACACACGGTTTTCATTTCCATCATGAACACCAAACTCCATAACTATGAAGCCTACTAGAACCTATGAAATACTATCAACTTAACACACTGTAACAAAACCACAGACCACAGACGTTTATCTTGGCAAACCTTTAGGTTCCTGCCTAACAGATGTTACTTAGAGGTTTTTTCAACCTGAATTACTATTACATTCTTATTTTTATTATCATTATTGCTTGCTGTTTACTGTTAACGTTTGTAGACACAGACCTTTCAATTATTTTGATATACTAAGCCAGACTTAAACAAGTTTATGTCACCCAGCATCAACATGTTGTAAGAAAATGACCACAACTTGAGAACAAGTGAAAAATAGAGAATCCTTTTTGGCAGCAGCAGAGTGGAGATTGAGGAAAAAAGAAAAATAAAAACAGGGGAAAAAGCATTTCTCAAAGTCACATTTAATTTATTTGAGCTGCAAAGTAAAAAAAAAAAAGAAAATCAAGAAATAATAAGAGTTGTAGCCTGAAAAAATGAAAATGGCAGCTTTGATTAATAGTCAGAAGCATTTTCACGATACTCTGAAGGTTACATTTTACAGTATTTAAACTGTCTGTAGTTGTTGGTCAGGTCATTGTTGGTTAAATCAGCGCAAACAACAACGGACAGATAAACTCGTCTTTCCTCTGCGTCCTCCCACACTCACCGTGCAGTGCCTTAGCCTTAGCCTTAGCTTTAGCCTTACCTGGGCTGAGGGCAGCCGGGGATGGATCATTACAGATGCTGGTGGTGCAATAGTCTGGGAAGTAGGCTTGCTAACACTCAAACAAACATAAGCCTAGTTTACACAGCTTCATTGTCATTAATTCTAAACGGAATGCAAATAAATCAGTGAAAAGGGAATTGCAGCAATGACCTAAAAAAACGTGGCCGAGGAATTTGAAGGGAGCACACAGTGTGGAAGACAGATAAGATACAGCAATACGCAGAAAAGCTGGAAAGAAACTGCTGGAGAGAGTGGAGCGAAAGCTGAATGAGTGATGTGCCCCCGTGATAACAGAAAGAAATGGGGCCATACTTAACCTCTAAAGTAAGTGAAGGGAAGTTATTAACTTCCCTGAGACAGATAACATTACCTTGCACTGCGGATAACACAGATTATGGGCCTGGTCTCCGTGTGAATCATTTTTGGCTTCCCATCACCCTTTGGTGCAGATTACATTTGACTCAATGCGATTCTTATCACTCGGTTCTCTCTGAATATCTGACCGGTCTTTCATTTTTCTTGTTACAGTTTAATTAAGTAGGTCAATGTATCCAAACTGCTCCATAAATCAAAGCGCGGGCCAGTTCAGGTCAAATGAGTCACAGTGAAGGAAAGATGTGCTACGTGTGGATCCACTGGGGAACCATTTCAGCAGCATCCAAACTGCTGTGGAAATGGATGTAAAAGTGGAAAACGTAGCCTACATTTCAGGGTGTTTCCTGTGGTGTGCAATAAAATGAGAGCTATAGAGTCAGAGGGTGAAAAAATACACAACGTCTAAATATTTAGCAACGACTGAGAACCACTTCACACAAGCTCTGAGGAAACTGTGCAGATGTTTGTTCTGTTTTTTTGTTTGTTTTGTTTCCTTTCTTGCTCAAAATGAACCTGCTCCAACCTATTTATGTTTTCTTCACATAGTCCAAAGTTTTTCTCGCACCATCTTAACAGAAAAGTTCAGGGCCCTTGTTAAACCTGCGATGAATAATTACGCTGGGCTTTTTTCCTCCCCGTCCTTTTTCATCTGACATCTTTCTTAGATTAACATCATCTGCTGTTAGCACATACTGTGTGTAGACTGCTTTCTAAGTTATTTTGTTTGCTACACTATGTTGAGACTTTGTGTTTTAATCTCGTCTTCTAAATCATGGTCTCTTCCTGATGGTTAAATACAAGGAGTATGTAAAATCAAACATTGACTGACTAAATAACATTAAATCAAAAGAAACACAGTAAGTAAAAATACAAAAAATAATAACGAAAAATGCATACATCATTAAAGAAAAGTGACTAATAATCTCCATCCATCGAGAAAGGTGGCACTGGGTTTTTTCTGCTTATTCTAGCTGCATGTTGCAAACGCACACCTTCTTCAGCTATTTCTAGATCATACGCTGCTGTTGTGAAAGCTTAAGTGTTTATTTACTATCCTGATGTTGGCTGGCGATGCTAGATGCCATGGTGTTTGCTTCCTGTCATAATCTACAGCCCGCCTGTGAAACCAGATTCTCCTACACTGTTTAAAACCTCTCACACGCCTTGTGACATCGTCTGTGAGCTGCGGCCTTTTCTCAGAAACAATAGTCTGCAAAATAAACAAGATCTTTATTCAGTGAGTTTTTTTTTTCTTTTAAACTTGTCAGTAATGTAAGATCACTTCGTGCACACACACACACACACAGCTCTAATCCACATCTACACACTTTCAGCAGCAGGAGTTGATAAATAGCAGGAGGACGGCAGCATTGGGTTTCATTCTGGGCAGACTAAGATAACAATCTACCACAGCGCCAACTGTTCCGAATCAAGCTATCTGAGCTTGAATAGAGACAGCTCGGCTCTACATCTCCGCTTCTTCCATATTTTTACAACTGCACACCTGAAAGACAAAGATGCCCTCTGTAGCGCCCGTTTAAAGGCTCACTCTGACCTCTGTTAGCGCCCGAGGATCAAGTGGCCAAACCACAGGCCTGAACAGCTGCTGTGATCTTTCACGGAAATCAACAAGTTGTGATGGTGAGGTGTGTGTGCGTGCGTGCGTGTGTGTGTTTGGGAGTCGTTCTGGAAAGGAGTGCCAGACAATCCTAATAAAATTAGCTATAACACAGAAACTTTGTCTCAGTTGCTTACGAAAGCAGAAAAAAGAGAATATTTGTATTCTTTGATTCTATAGGATCTTTCAAACTCAATCAAAAATCAAACTGTGATTGACATGACAGAAACCATGTGAAAGCAACATCGAAAGGACTGAGAAGTGGTGAAGATCAACAGTTTAGGTATCTCTCGATAACCTTGTTGATCAGAGGGACTGCCTGTAACACCATTTCTTAACATATTCTTTGGACTTTTCTCCAGAATAGTCTTGTATTTGTTTTCCATTTAAAGAAGGAACCCCTCCACAACATTTATTTTGTGCCACTTAAACACTCTCAAAACTTCCATTTAGTTTCAAAAGATTCAGATACCTTAGAGCCGCCTTATCAAGTCTAGACTGTAGAGGTCTACAACTGAATGATCTTCTGCCAAAACACCAACGTAAGACATCACTAAACATCCCCAGACATGCACAAACAATCCGAAGCAGAGCTCTTTCATGAGGACAATTTTAGCCAGTTGTTTGAAAAGTTGACCTTGATTAGATCCATCTTGCACAGTCGGTTCTGACGGCCACCATCCCTCCACCTCTTTCTCTCTGATATCGTTATTTGTGACAGGGTGACTGTTCATAACTCCATCCATCTATTCCATCTAAGCCATCCAATCCAAGAGATTAAGACTTGGCATTATGCTTCGATGGAGCTGCTGCTTCTCTTTGTGAGCTTAGGTTAAAGAAAGAAAAAAAAACGCCAGGCTCTGAATGGTGCTGTGCTGAAGGTTCACGGGACTGGACACAGAAACGGTTTAAACTACTTGTGACAACTCCCAACATTAAATTTTTTACAGCAGCTTAATGTGCTTTTAGCTAGCCTTATTCATCTACACTTTGCCTCACAAATCCACTTTTATGGCCTCCTCTCACTTTTTGCAGTCTATGTTTTTAAGCTCGTGGCCAAAGAAGAGGACATTACTCCACACTTTACCTTCAGAAAATCTTCCTTCTCGTACGTTGCCAATCACTGTGACTTGCGTCCCCTAACAAAGTAGTTAAGAGTAGTTATGAGATACTTCACCAAAAGTCCAATAAAAATAAAACTGATTAACTATTGTTATGCCAAATGTGACAAGAAAGGAAATGGTGTTGACAGGGATACAATAGATCCAGGAATTCAACTTCATTTTATGAAGAACAAGGTGTGATAACAGCCTTTTTTTTATTGCTACTGGAACTTTATCGTGTAAACCTCACTGGTGTGAGTGGAATACAAGTTTTAATTAATTGCTGGGAAACTGCCTCTTCAGGCCAATAATAAGAGAAAGCCATCTGATTATTACAATCTGCAACGACTGATCTATTACAACCACCTCGTCTTTTTTATTCCCACTTTAAAGCCTGAAAACATGAAAGCTCACCGATGACATCATGGCATTCCTTGACCCTCTGTGGTAATAATTTCGGAATGAAGGCCTGCGTCCTGAATGCACCTCCTATCAAAAGGTGCACATGACCTGGCAACCACTTTAATGCGGTCTGGTAATTGTGGTCAGAAAATGAACATGCAATCACTCTCTGTGGCAGCCGGAGCGACCCGTTTGACTCCCGTTATTGGATCAATCAGCTCGTGTCATGACTCGAGAACCCGATGTGTCATCTTCAATAGCTTCTCTTTGGGGTGAGCAACAGATCAAGGTCGTGTACGTGATTGACCGTGATTGATCTGGCTGCATAGTATGACCATGAGTAATAGTAGCGACGCAACAGAGCATGGGCCTCATTTGAGTGAGGGAGGGAGCAAGCAGCAATAAAAGCATCGGGAGGCCAACTCCTTTTTAGGCTTGTGGCTGAAATTGAGTCAGCGGCCCAGGTTGCTGATTAGGGCAGAGGGCACCAACTAAAATTCTTGAGCCATTCAGACAGGACAAGCTCCAGTGATCAGCTAACAGACATGACTATTGTAAGCTGCTATGGGACGCAGGGTAAATATTTAGCTTGGAGAGGGTGGGGTAATAAATTTCGAGGGGCTTCAACCCAATCACTGGGGGCTTGCTGTAATGTGGAGCACAGGGGTGGGATGACGGGTGATGGGTAAAAAGGTGGGAGTTTATGGAGGGACAGGCACAAAAGGAGAGCAGTTGCTCTGCAAAAACAACAATAAAAAGCTATTGTCTGTGTCTTCTTACTATGGAGTTGCCTCTTGGAGTAATTATTGTCAGGCCAAATTCCAATTTCACTAATCTGGATAAGCTTCCGTTTCCAATCAAGCTGTTCCAACCCACCGAATGTATCGTAATTGTTTTTTATCTCTGCTCGCAAATGGGGGGAGAAAAAAAAAAAGTCATCCAACTACATCCACACACTATCGGGTTGGACGGATGACACTGAGATTCAACAAACAAACGAAAGTAGTTAAAGCCATAAGCAACTTGTCAATCTCCAGACTCACAAGCTGATATACTGCCCCGATAAAAAGCTGTGTTTGGCAAAGTGTCTGTGTAGTTCTCCATTAATTTCATGTACTCTTCCAAAATGAGGCTTTATAGCATTTTGTGACTCAAGCGTGACCATAAAGTATCTTACATGCTGTGGAAAAAAGCCCGTAAATTAATGCTTGAAACTCAGAAAAAAAATTATGTAACTAGACCAAACTTCAAAATCCATTTCCTGAAAATACCTCATTTTTAGCATCACAGGTCCAGCAAACCGCTGTTCAACAGACTGGACCTCTCTGTTCTGCATCTGTTTGGTGGATGTGGATGTTGTCCATGACAGGAAAAGTCAGCAAAAACAGCTCTTTATCAACTAGAACCAGAAGCTGGTGGTGTCCTTTAGTGGCTCTGACACTAAACACAGGATTGCATCTCCCTGTGCCAGACAACTTCTGCGAAGTTTGAGGAGACACAATCTCAAGCAATAAACAGAGTTCTTTTTTATTCACGGTGAAGATCGCTAAAATTACTTGAGTGAAAACAGCCAATGAGGTGAACGCTATGTTCTCCAGGAGCCAAGATCAACTATTACCTCAACTACGTGAATCCTGAAGAAAGGAATGTAAGCTTTGATCACTTAATTGTCTAATTAACTAACAGTGGAAAATAAGCGGAGGGAAACTGTGATTGCCCCCCTCTCCTGCAACCCTTATGTTCCCCAACTCAGTCATGACAAGGCAGTTAATTCAGTTACATAACCAGCTATTTTGAGTCATAACATCAGTGTGGCTGTACAGATAGTAGCGTTTGTCTTCAGGCACTGTTTTGGTTTGTCAAAAAAAATAAAATGTCTTTAACGTTACGCAGGATTCATGCAGGTTCCACTGACTCTTTCTATTACACGGTCTTTGTGTGGTTTTCAGTAAAATGCTTAAATGAGTTTAACTTTACTCTGGTGCCTCGAAGTGAAGGACATGCATATATTCTCAGAATGGTGCCCCTTCCCTTCAGCACAATCATGGGATTAGATTTCAACCTGAGCAGTTTTTATCATAACTATTTTCGGTTTGAAAGGCAAACATTTTGAATGCTTTCGGACCTGGCACTTTGTTGAACTCTGACCTCTTTGGCCTGTGACCACATGACCCTGAATTTCATGACTCTGTACCCAAAGCCATAACGAAACAGACACCCCGCGTTTACAACCGACTGCACGCCGTGGTGTTTTTTGGTATGTGCTTCCAGACTCACGCTAAGATTTCTGTCCCAGATCTGGATGGTGCCATCCTGGCAGCCCGCTGCGATGAGCTTCCCGTCGCGGCTGTAGGTGCAGCACGTGGGGATGACCTTCTTCCCCTGGTAGGAGCGAGGTTTGAACACAGACTTGTGCTTCTTCTCCGACTTCACGTCCCATGTGCGGACGGTGCTGTGGACAGAGAGAATTCCATTTATCCTTTTCCAACTGTTGTGAATCAGTCATGAAATACCTGTCCTTAAAAACCTATTTGATCATTTTCACCACCCACCGCTGTAACAAATCATGAAGGACAGATACCGAGTGCCCAGGTCGTTCTCAGGAACACAAGGTAGGGCAATTCTGTTGCAGGGTGAGGGGTTTTGCAAACAGCAGACCAGTAGATCAGTCTGACAGGTTTGTCTGAAGGTTCCATGAAATCCTGATTCACTTTCCTACATCTGTTGAACACATTACACAACTGGGAGAACTAGGAATGGGGTTTAAATGCAAACTTTTCATATATGTGGCGATATAATCAAATCAAGTCATAAAGAGTCCAACAGAGAGGCCTTATGGATATAACTTTATTACTATGCTACATGCCAAGTACTGAACAAATTGGACCGAGTTTAAAGGTGTCATAAAAAGAGAAAAAAAAACACACGTTGGCACTTAATATTGAAAGATACCACAAAAAGTCTTCTGCCAGTCAAAGAAGGAAAATGAATGGATCTTTGTCAGGTGTGACTTGGTGAAATATTTTCACCGAGGCGTTTTGTTCATTCAAGGCATTTGGAAAAGCTGTTAGGGGGAGCATAGTGTTTCTGCACACTCAAAAACAGACTGAAACAAGGTGGAACATTTCACCTTTTGACCCTTTCGGTTTAACTGCCTTTCCTGAGGATTTGCTGCACAAAACTTCTTCTAACCCAATCTAAATTTAAACCTAAACAGCAACTTTTCATCCATAGCTACAGGAAGTGGGCTTCCATCAGGTTGCTCCTTTTGAATCCCTGGAAAACCTTAAATAAACAACAAAGCTAAAATGAAACATGGTTTGTAAAAACTGAAGTACTCAACCATCAGTGATACAGCTCACAGTGACTCAACCCCCCACATTTATTTATCGTAAGACAGTACCACACACGCACTCGGGACAGACAGAGAGCATCCAAATGTGTCTGTGACCCACTGCTTGACTTAGTGTGCATCTTGACCTTTGGGTCATGGGGTCAGGAGAGGGGTATAAACACACAGGCAGAGCTGCTACTAACAGCCAGGCAAGGATTCTTTGCACCGACGGCTCCAAAACCCCACACACACACACACGCGCACGCACAACACACATACACTCAACCGTGTTTGGATAAGTCTAACAATGTGATACAGCTGCCATATGGAGACGTATGGTTTAAGTGAGAACTGCTCGGGGTCTAATGAAAACTCAGTTTGATGTATAGTTTTGTTTAAATCAACTTAATCCAAAACTGCCCACAAATTTTGGGGGGAAGACACTGATGATGGAAAATGATTTTAAAAGCCACTCGGAGGCATCTGCATTTTTAAGGAAGCGGAAGGCAATTGAATGAGTCTTTTCATTTTCTTTTTCAGTGAAAGCTGTGGACAAGATGACAACCGAGTCCACCTGCTGCCTCACACAGACGTCTCTCTTTTGTTTGGAGAGGACTGCGGGCGGCTGTCAGGCCCATACAGACAACATAACCTTTTGCGCCGTACACAAAACCAGGAATGCTATTTATCGTAGGGTTTTTTTTCCAAAACATGGCACCGCTGGCTTTCAGCGGAACAGAGCGGAGTTGGAGCCCACCAGGGTGGAGCCAGCCATGAGCGACCATGACACTTGTGGGGGCAGGAGAGCTGAAAAGTGTCGGCTCCAATGCATGGTGCCGTACTCTGAGGTGGCCCGTCTACATCAGAACTCTTTGTAAGAAGACACAATTTCGATTAGCAATGACAAAGTGGGATTTATTTACATGTGCAGAATTTAAAAAAACAGGTTTCCCCTCCACCATCTTCCCTTCAATCAGTGGCCGGCTTTCCTGAACAGACGCTTCAGCGTCAGAGCGCTGAATGTAACAAAATGAGAGCCATACAACCTCAGCCATGCATGCACACTTTACAAGGTAGCGCTGTCGTTCACACCTCGGCCGAGGAGTGATAAGTCCCTCTGTCCCAGATTTTATCTGTCCATCAGGTTATAGACCCGGGGTGATGGTTGCTAGGATCCCTTTCCCAGATAAAGAGATAAGAAAGAGATGTACATCTTGTATAGGGCTGTTTATTGGTTGAATTCCGGTGGTAGCTGGTTGACTGACTAACTGGGGGGCTTTGTTATGAGAAAGGAGGATTAAGGGGGGCATGCTCTATCTTCCTTCACAGCTGAAGAAGATAGAATGGGAAAATAACCGAAGGATTTAGGAGGAGGCACACACACACACAACGGCACCCAAGCAGGAAAGCAAAAGAGGAAACAATGAGGCCTCAGCACAGATGGACTGTGGGCACAATCCACCAATTTGTGAGGCTACTTCACCAAGTTTCAAAACAGTCTGTCTGCCTTAAGACAGAAGAGCACCAGCCTTAAAATACTTCGAAACAGCAAGCGAGACTGCAAACTATGTGAGCAGAAAATGACAGGACAGTTTTTGAGTTTGAATCAAGTGGCCGTGCGATAAAGTGCTTTCACACCAACGAGGATGTAGCCTGAAGAAACAAATATTTTACACACGAAGACTTAAAGGTTACTGTATGTCAGAAAAAGCAGCCACTGTTGTAGGTTGAACAAGAAGGATAAATGCCCTCCTTTAAGGATCAGTATGTGCATTCTTGGGCAGGATATGGAAGAGTTGCGCTGTAAGGTGGGGAGCAGTCGGAGCTCTGCTGGACTGTGGATGACCCTGATGTGTCCAACAGGGGGAATAGTCCCAGCATGCTCACACACACTTTGTGGTGTCTGTCTTCACTTTTCATCCCAGCACTGTCACGCAGATAACACTTAACAACCCAGGTGTAAAGCCGTTTTCCTCAAAAATCTAAACAGGAGCTATTGGCACACATTAGGCTGAGGCACTGAAAAACAGACAACTGACCTACCTGAACCTCAGTGATCATAAAAAAGCTCAAAATCATACAAATTTATGGATGGAAAACACTTTTAGTGTAGGTGCTGATGCAAACAGCTCATTTCCAACACAGGGGCCAAACAGGAGAAGAGAAATCAACCTCTGTTCGTTAGCTAGAGAAGGACCTGCTGCTTTGGGTCTCCTTGCTTACAGCAACATATCCAAGACCAGCTGCAGCCCTGACAGCAGGCCAGCACGAAGGGAATCCCTGGCATTCGAACCTCCTGGAAACATTCCTCAAACTGTGTGTTTTTTCACACACTCGAGTGCGCCTCAAAACTCGAAAGAAGAAACATGTGGGCCCAATTAGAAAGTCGCCATTTGTCCTATCCACGGCTCTACTGGCTGAAATTTCAGTCACAAAATAAAATGCTTAACGGGATTCTCACAATTCTCCTGGGGACTATAAAACAGCGGGAGCGACACAGATAATCACCAACATCTTGCCTTTAAGGGCCCTGATGTAGGGCCTTCCACATTTAGTTATACTTTGGAGACTGTTTTAAGCGATATGACTTGTTCACTTAACCGAGCTTTGAAAGCTGTTGTTATACAGATAAACACACCACTGAAAAAAAAAACTCCAACAGATATTTTTGAAGTGTTCTTCTAGTTCACTATAGCCAAAGGACTTCTTCAGTCTTTCAATCATCAGACGTAGCTCAATGCAATAATGGACGCCTTTGGATCAGCTGGGGATTTGCTGTTTTACATTTTCAAACTCTTAAGACGGATCGGCAGAAGAATGGAAATGGTACAGACACACTTTTCACTGGAAAACGTTAGAGTCACAGCTCTGCTGAAGCTCCATTCAGCCCTCAGTTTGCAGGAACAATCACTACCACCCTGCTGCTGCATTATCAAACCCAACCATCAGCGAGTCCCTCTCATCCACTTCCTTTCTGGTGGAAAGGAGTCGTTGAAGGATCTGGGAGGTAGCTGCCGTGAGTGAGATTCCACACAATTGGGGGGGGGACCTTTAATTAAGGGGCTGGGTGGTCTGCTGATCGTGCATTAGAACCTATTCAAATAATCACAACAAAGATCTTGTTAACTAGACAGAAAGAGAAGCATATGTGTTGGTTTAATGTTCAGGCACACACAGCCAGCAGCCAAGACCTACATGTACTGTTGGTCTCTGTGGAAGCTATACATATTCAAAGGATGGCACTATAGTGGACAGAGCAGCATAAAACCCTGGGCGGCGGGGAACTGAAAGAAAGAGACATTCTTTGATGATCCATCCATAAGAACTGGAGCATTAATAATCCAAGTGGACTGAAAAGCCTGGTTGTCCTCAAGGTTTCAGAGTGTTACATCCGGACTCCATTGATGGAGCAGCATCTTTTTTATGCCTGCATGCAGCTGCACCAGCAGAGCACAGTTTGCATTCATGTAGATGTACTGTACATCGACCAACAGACAGCTTTTTGTTTGAGTTTTTTTTTCTCCAAAAAATGAATTCATGTTTTGGCGATGCCTAAGGTCATCCATAGGCAGCACCGTCCAGAACACAGCACAAAGGACATGGCCCCGTGTTTATGAAGGTCACTAGCGATCAATGGCGATGCAGGGGGGGGGGGGATTTCTGAAAAATAACTGAGTAAGAAGGTAATTGTTTCTAATTGTGAGCCATACATTCAGGCAAATTTTGATTTCACGCTGTAGAGGTGGTAATATGGAGAATGAGTAACAGGCCTTCTTCCAAGAGGATGCTTCGTCACTTCATTGAATCATAATTACTTTTCCTATAATGTATAATGCGCAACTTGTGGAATGTGCAGATGAACTCCAATCTTTCCTCGACCTCTTAACATCTTTCGACCAGTTCAAGAAAAAGTGTTTAATCGGATGCTGAGCAGGTTGACTTTCGTATGGTGACACTGGAGCTAAGCCGCTGAACACGGGTTTTTATTTGCCTTTGTCAATCGATTAGATACATCTTCAATTTGTTCAGTTTGAGTATAACAGGCACATATGGTGGGTTTAACTACTTGAGTCTGTTTCCAATTATTGTGATTGGGTGAACTTGAGCTAACCTACATGGAACCACTTTAACCCCAGCTGATTTTTCAGCTTCATTTAAGTCAGGTGTTGGACTTTAATTCCAGCTATTTTTAGCATGTTCTATGGAACAATGTTCCTGGAAATTAATAGAAACAAATGCATATAGAATAGAGCTCTTTTAACTGCAAATTTAGGTTTTCAACTGCAAAAATATGCTTTTCTAAATACATTAAAAATAATTTACCCAAATGTGCTGGACAACTATTCAGTCTTTCAGGATTTTAAATTATCATCGTTTTTTATCTTTTGAAAAAATGTAAAAAATGTTTTTATGGAATAAATACTTTCTAAATCAAATTCTGACAAGGACTGCACATGAATTAAAGCAATGTATCTACAACCTGTCTAAGCCAAATAAAATACATCCTGTTTAAATTGGAATGATTAAAGGATTAAGTCAGTTAAAAAAAAAAAAAGTAAAAAAGCATGTTGAGGTTGATGGTTCAAAAGACGGTGAAATGCATTATTTTAGCCAGCTGTTCGCGCCTTTATTGTAAAGCACATTATTGTTTGAAGGTGTAATAAATAATGTGCTATTCAATGTTCAAAAATTCTTTTAAATGACAAGCACCTACACCTGAAAATTTATGCAGGCAGCCTCGCTCCCTCTTTCCATCTCTGGCTCTCAGGTGGCTGTGCCGACCCCCTCGGCTGCTCAGAGTTTCCCCACGTGCAGCTGCTCTCAGCCTGTGAACGGCTCCCTGCGCGCTTCTCTCCGCTGTTCTCCTTTGCGCTGGCCAGGGGCAACACCCAGTACTAACGTGCCAGGGGAGGATTTCCAGAGACTCAATAAGAGCTAAATAAACCAAACTCCACATCTGGGAGAGCAGTAAGACTGGTAAACACTGGGCTGTGGCCTGGCCACAAAGCCAGGCCCTCATTTCCACTTAATGATGATAGCCCTGGGTTTCTGCACTGCTGCCTGTCACACTCACTTAGACTCATCACTATGCTGTAGCTCAGTCACACGTGTTCCCGCACAAATATTCCTGCACATGAAGGAGCAAAGAGTTATGGCCCCCGGAGTCATATTAGTCTAATGCTGTGCTTAAGGAGGCAGGAGAGCGCTAAAACCCAGCGATCTTATATAAAAATGATAAATATGTGTGCTTGACATCTTGTCGGCCCTTGCTGTTAATCTGCTCCAAGTCAGTCCACACAACCAAAAAGCCACATTTGGATGAAACTGTCACTGCCCGGCTACACTTCCCCGAGACAAAGTTTGGACAAGAGGACTACCTGCTGGTGACTGAGGAGACTAAAGCAAAGAAAAACATGTTTAATGACAAATCTGCTGTGGATATAAACAATTGTCTGAACCAGAAAGCGCAACAAATAAAATATCATAAAAATTAAAATACTCATTAACTGCATCTATTTTTATTGATGAATGTGCAACGTTGGTCAAATTGTCCCACTGAGAGTCTGATACGCTTTAAGGTCCACTTCTTTTCAAGACACACAATGTTGTAATACAGGTCCAATATTTTCTGATTAGGAGTTATTCTATAGTACTTAATACCATATATAAAACTTTTTAAAGCTTACCCGTCATTGGAGCAGGTCATAAACTCCTCTTTAATCTTCGGGTGCCAGCAACCACTATTCAGCATAGCTGTGTGGCCCTGAAAAATACAGAAAGTGACAGTGAACAAACAAAAGATTCTAAACAGCTTGTAAACTTTTCTGAGCAGATGTCGGAGCCACTTTGGCTTTGAGTCCTTCTGATGTGCTTCAAACATCCATGAATCATGATCATGCTGTTTAATGTGGATTAAGGCAGAAATTCAAGGATGTCATTGCCCTACAAATGTTTTAAGACTCATTTGATATTTACGAGCCGTGGAGTTTGTAGCCAATAATATCTGGTGGAAACTTTAAAAGGCTAATTTTTGCTAGCAAGAAACCGATGTATTTTGCAACTTTACATGAAAAAATCATTTTTTTTAAAAGATCAAGTTTGTTTCATTATCAAATTGGAGGCAAATATTTTGACTCAAAGCATCACAGAAGGATCTACAATGACCCTTTATTATAAGTTATTATCTAACTGTGAAAAGGAGGCTTTTAGGCGTTGATGTCTGAGCATGCAGAGTCACGGCTTCAAACAGCGAGCTCTTTGCAGAATAGCGTTAGGCCGTTTCCTCTGCTGGAGGAGTCCTGTGGAGAACTACTCATAACAAATGACTTCAAAGTGGGGATAACCCTGAGGGATGCCGCCCTGACTGCCAGGTCAGACAGGAACCCTCCAGTGTGCTGCAAGGAGCCTGCAGCCATGATGCTCTGGGATTTGACAGCACGCACCAGAAAGTGGACGGCTGCGTGAGCGGAAGGTGACTAAAAGACATCGGTATGCATGCATCAGGAAGAAATGTGTCTGTTCAATGTCAAGTACTTTAAACACACCACTTTACTAAACTATTAAGTAAAACTGCTTCGACCTGCTATTTTATGACTGAAATGGATTACAAATTGCCACGTTGTAAAGCGTTATGGTTTAATAAGCACTCACAATTTGATGAGGCCAAAGCTCATCTGGCCTGATAAAATGGGCGGTTATCCATCACCTCAGCCTCACAAATAGGTTGAACAAGCCGCTACCTTCCTGAACAAATCCCGTTTCTCTTCCTCAACAGTTTAGGACAATAAATTGCCAATGACTAAAAAGAAACAGGCTGATGTAGATACCATCAGTAAACAGAAAGCACGCTAATCGCAAGCAGAGCATAGACAAGAATCTCCTCTAACATCAAAATTGTATATCTGGGGACAATACTGGCATGCATGAGTTTGTTGTTGTAACAATGGCTATTAGTAGCAGCCAAAAGAGGTTTCTGTATTTGTTGGGTACAGCTGGACACTGGAAATAGTTTGTGGGAAAAACAAAGAAAATTTTAAATATCACTTTTCTTTCATTTTACTACAAATGTTCCTATATTTATCTTCTTTGGATTTGAAGCGATGTATGGACACAAGAGAAGAGTAAAAACACCAATGAGTCACTCTAACGCATACATATATCAGCCTATCTGTCCCAAATCTCTGATTTTGATGTCTATAAAGGGAAGTAATCGCTTGTCAACGAAGACAAAGAACAGGCTTAATTATCACTTGAGACACTTAATCGACTGGGACACTGTCAGCCGGCCACAACGTATTTTCATTGAACCAAACTCCCCCATCAGCTCCAGATGGGAGCGAGCAGGATAAGAATGGGGGACATCCAGGAAAACTACTTGCAATCAATGGGCCTTCACTTCAAGTACTTCATCTGGCTGGTATAAACCATGTCTAAACGCACAGCAGCTGGCACAGCTGGTTCCCGACCACCAATATGGCCTTCTTAAAAAACACTGCAACCCAAACATGGACACTTAATTAAGATCCGTCTTTGTAGACGGAGGCATCTGAACCACAACAGTCCTGAACGCATTTGTTGTTCCTTTCCTTTGAGAATGCTCCTGGCTGAGCACATAGCTCAGACAATTTTCCTCATTTACAAGAAACAGGCCAGGTACACCTTCCTACCAGAGAGCAAAAGAGTTTAAAATGAGCAGAAACTGTTTAGGACAGCGTTGTTATGGAAATGAAAACATATACTAATCATCCTCTTTAATAATCAGCAACTGAATGAGTAAGCAAAACATTAAAAATTCTGCCCACTATGAGCTCAGCTATCAACCATAACTGATCAACACCTTTTGAACAGTACGGATAGATATTGACAGATAGGAGCTTTTGTACATGAAGCTGAGGGCAGAGTGGTTTGACTGTATTATATTTAACACATGTTTCTCATAATACAGTAGTTGAGTGTAAGTACCTGAGACAAATTTCAGATTTATTCCAAATCATTACAGCATGGGTCTTATTTTTATAGTCCTGGACATCATGGGCCATTATGTTCCTTTTACAAAAGTACTGCATATAATTGCTGCGATGCTGGAGAGCTACAAAAAGAAGCCAAAAATGAAAACCTACTGGGGTACTGTAAAGTTATTCATTTTGTGAATAAATAACTTGGGATCAGTGGAGTGTATTTATAGTTGTATTTTTGTGCACTGATGTGTACCACTCACTGTTCACCATAACCTCAGATTGCCTCAACTAAAGCTCATTACCATGTAACTCTCTGATCTTTAGTAGCTGTCAATTTTTACAGATAAATAGATAAAAAAAGAACAAAGAAGAAACAATGTAGGTTTAAAACATCATTTTCTAAACCTAAAAAGTAGATTTAGTGATATGATACATATGGCCAGTAAAAACCTTTTGCTGACCAATAACAATTTCTGTTTACCTTCCAATTCTGGATTTATCAAAACGCTGACTGTCTTAAAGGCAAAATAAGTGTGTGTGCTATGCTTATCTGTCAATTGACACTGTTGTGAACAGTGACATTATCACACACATTGTCTTTGGTAAATCCTGATCTTTATTAGACATTTTTCCTTGAGCTTTACTTACTTTTTGACAATGTTTGTTTTAAATAATTAAATAAAGCAATGATGTTTTATCAAACAAACGCAGTCGGCCATACTGCTTTAGCATACCTTAGTGTTAGCCATATCCACAATGTATTGATCTCCTTTCACACACTCCATAACATTGAAGCCATCGCGGTCCAACACTTTGGCCTGTGAGTTTCCAGAAACCACCAGAATGACATCGCCGGTGATGCTGTACTGCAGGGACTTGATCTGATGGCTGACAAACACAAAAAAACAAAGACACTTTAACTAGCATTTTTGCGGCAATGCCTCACTGTGTCGCGCTTGCATCTGTAAGCTATCAGTGGCAAGACTTTGGCAGAAAACAAGTATTATTATAGACACTTCGCGTTTCAAATGGTTGAGGCATAAAAACAAAAATGAGATACATGGAGCAACAGGAACTGCTCAACATGTAATGTACATTTGATGATAAGTATCTTTGATGGGTGACTATCAACAAACCGTGCCACAGTGAGCAGGAGGGCATTTTAAAGCAATAATCTCTGAGACATGTACTTGAAACTATGCCACAGCCTAGAATGGTTTAGGCTTGTAGTAATGTTTTAATAAAAAAAAGGATTCATCATAACAATAACTGTTCATCTTTTGATCTAATACAGTACAAAAAAGTGACTTTCCGAGAGAGAGGGTTGAACTAAGATCCGAAGCACATTTTTAATATTATGACATCTAATTTAATTTCATTGCAAGGACACATTTGTCTGTTGAAATACAATCTTTTGGACCACAAACATGAGGCTATTCATAGTTTAAATTTGTATCTAATATCAGGTAAGATAAACAGAGCAGAGTTCAGAGACAAAAACCTCAAATCATGAAAACAAAATTAGACTAAAATCATTCCTTTTTTGACAAAGGGGGGAGTAAGAGAGTTTGGCATTTTCAATTGCTCACGAAACAGCCCTAAAGTCTTATTTTCCTCATTGTTTCAGTTAACTGAGCTCATGAGTGGCCTCTTTGGGTCAGGAAAGAGGAAAATTGGAGCTCAACAGCTCAGCTTTCTGAATGAAGCACAGCTTAGTAAACCAAACAGGCTACTAGAATCCCAATGTAATCACATTAAATGTAGCGTACATTTTTGTTAATAAGGGGAAGCCTGATCCAGCTCAGCCCACTGGTTCCCAAAACCAAAAAAGAATTTGACCTTTGATGAAAGCTTCAGTCAAACGCAGAATAAACACACACGCACAGATGAACACACACATGACTCCACCATCTGCTTCTCAAAGCCTCATTTTGCATGAAAATGGAGGATGTCACAAAGTAAGCATTAGGTTAGCTGAAGCTTAACAAACGAGCATGTGTTTGTGGATGTGTGTCCGCTTTGGCACACATAAATGAAGTCCGTGCACTTGATGTTTGCATGAAAGCAATTACACACATGTTAAGCAACTGTGTTGATGTTCTACATACCACTCACAGGGCTGCAGGGATCTGAAGGCCTGCAGGGATTGGTCCATCCCAGCAAAATCCCAGAACCTCACATCGTAATCATATCCACCAGTCACCAGACGGGCTCCAGAGGGGTCTAAAGCAAGAGCTGAGACCTGAGGAGACGGATGATTCAATCAAATTAAAAAGTGATTTTGTGAGCCTGTAATCTTCACAAGAACAACTGTAGATGCTCAAGTTTGCTCTTTCATAATAATCTAATTACTTTGAGGTACATTGTTTGAATACAGCCATCAGCCCTTTAACCTTATAACCAGACATTTTCTTACTCCTAAAGCATGTGACACAGACGCACAACTGTTAAAGATCAACACAAAGATCTAAACATTTAGATGTTTAACTTCAAGGTGTTTTCCAGTAATTCAGCTTCTGCTCCTTTTTCTTGGTAATTATAAAAAAAGAAACATTACATCATTGTTTTATAGTCTGGACCAATTACATCAAATGAGTGTTGAAAGCATAGACCTTACTGTTTTGGTGCCATGCTGAAGAGTGATCTCATGAGAGTCTGGAATCTTTTTCACTGGATTCTGAGTTGGAAAGATGACAATAGGAAAAAGACAAAGAGATTTTAAAAAGGCACGAGATGGACTTAGTTATGCAGTAATGTAAGTTGCATTTCATTGCGTCATACTTCAACAGGCTTCGTGACTTAAAGAATGTTTCTGCTCTGGATTAGTGAGTGTACAATAACAAATGTTAAAGGTAAAAATGTTATTTGCTTTGTTCTAACCCAATATGACCCTGTGAAAGAATCTCCACTGAAAAATGTTGATATGTTACAGCAGTCACTGGAATTTTGCTAGGATAATGAAACATGAGAATAACATTAAGTGAGATCTGACATAAAGTGCTTTTCTTCTTCTGCTGCCATCTTGTGGTGGGATTTTAAAAACACAGGAACATCTGGGTTTCCATCAAAATACGAAAATTAAACATTTTCAATGGTATATGAATTACTTTTGAGCTTTGAATTCAATCTAAATCTTAAATCTTAAAGGTGACAAGTAAAATACCCAGTGACTGATAAACAAAACGGAAAAGTGTTTTAATCCATATGTAGTTCCTGTCTATGCTGCTGCCATTTCGGACGTACATCATCATCGTCGTCGTCATCTTGTGTCTCCCCCTCATCTTCGTCATCACTTTGTGCTGTACTTCCCGTGTAACCAGGTGGAAGTGGTGGTCCCACAAGATCCCCGTCATCGTCCTGGGTTCCAGGTTGGGAAGGCATTTCAGAGTCTGAGTCTGAGTCAGACCCACTGCTGCCACTAGTGCTTTCACTTTTTTGTGCACTGAATAAGAAAAAGATAGAGAAAAAGAATAAAAATTCAAATGGTTAGACGTAAAAAAAAATGCATTCAAATCACAAAAATGAATGACACACACACTGTACCTTGAAGAAGCAGCTGCACCTTTCTGTTTCTGGCTGTGACCTGATGGGTTAACTGAATAGGAGCTATCCCCTTCCTCCTCCATCTGAATCTCTTTCTGTCGCTCCTCTGAGGAAACAAGGGTTACAATGATGGTGAAATAGTGAGGGCTGAAATTTGGAGGAGGATGTCAACACCACTTTACTAATTCTCTATCAAGGTCCCTTTGAATTATTGAAAAAAACTTTACACTAATTTGTAATTCAACATCAAAAGTGATGACAAACGTACCCAATATTTGCTGACTCCTCTCAATAGCTGTACGCCGAGTCTGTTCGAAAATGGCGTCAAGATCAAAAGTGCGTGCTTTCTTACCTGGAAGCATAAAAGCACTTGTAACTAATCAGTGGCTCTTCATAACGTTAATATGAATACTGTTGTGCTGAGCTTCACATACCAAACCCAGAGAATCCCATCACGGATCCGATGTCCTCATTATCATCCATCTTCCCTGATGCTGAAAAAGAATAAGTTCAGTCTTTATTATGGCCTGGTTTACTCTATGTCTCATTTGGAAATGTGAACATCGACTTCCTTTAGCAGGCATGTCTCTGTCTGTTTTTGCATATATGATTTGGAAATATTATAATTGACTTCAGATGGAATATTGATCTAGAAATAGATATACAGCATGAAAAAAATGTTCAAGTTATTAAGCTTTCACAACTAGATCAATGGTGGTCAATGAAGGATTCGGCAAACGTAGATTTTACAGTCAGAAAATGTCAATCTTCTTACGGGCATGAATTCACAATTACTGTAAATTGTACAGAAATTGCATTTAATCTTAATCTTGCATTCATTATTCAATAGTTTTGGAATATGAAAGATACTTTTACATCCAATAGACAAAGTAGAACATGAACAGAAAATGCTATGTGCAACTTGAAACTTTGTCATTTTTCGTTTTTTATGACATTATAAGTTTATAGAGGCCGTTAAAGCTGGGACAATCTTCAGCAAATTCATTTTTCAAAATGTGGTGAAAACGGGCCAAAATGTGGGTGAAAAAAACATTTTTAAGTGCAGGAAAGCTAACACAATAAAGCTAGCAAAGGTAGCCGTGGTTAATAATCAAAGAACGCTTCTATTATCATTAAGCTACAATCTGCTGATTAAAGGCAAGAGCAACATAAATCATAAACATCCATGTAAGTAATCTGCAAATATAGCGATACAGATAAGTAATATAAGGACAGAAAAAACTAAATACCTTCATTCACTTTTTTGGTGTCCATGTTTTTCAAATATGGATGTTTACCTCTGACAACCGGAAGTTCTTCTTCTTCTTCGCGGCTTTTGTGCGAAGTGCCGTAACTGTTCCGATTCGCCAGAGATTCATAGCGTTTGGAGGAATTTCATTGCAAATATTTTTCATTCATATTCGTAAACCCATTCAGTAATAAGGTTTAAAAAATTAAAAATTATATATACAAAAACGTCAAAGTACATTAAAAGATCATAACATTTTTTATTTAACTTAAAAAACAAAAGCAATTTGGCTTACAATGAAGAGGAGTTCACTTTGTCTTGTTAGAACACTGTAATCTGGCCATATGAGGGTCTTTAAAACTGACTTTTTATTTAAAAAAGCTGTGAATATACACAACTATATTTAAATAAAATACAGGTGTCATCCAGGCAATATCAAGATGTAATCTTTTTTATTGCCTTTTTTTAAGCTGTGCTGTTTTTTTCGTCATCACTCATTGACTTCTACAGATGGTGTTATTACTAGCAAAGACAGATTTCAAATTTAAATTAACTATAAAGCTAAGTAAATACAGATGACAACTGACTAATTAAATATATTGGACCACAATAATTCATTAAAAAAGTATACAAGTAAAAATAAACTATTAACAAATTTCAGCAAAAATAGATTGATATTTTTTATGTATATATACCTTTACAGTTTAAATTCTTCTGATATACAGCGTATCTAATAGGTACATAATATAAGATCTATATAATGTCCACATGGCACTGTTTTCTATTCTCAATTTATTAGACATCACTCCCCCTCAGAGGCCACCATCTTCTCAATAGCAGCCCAGTCTATTTTACTGAGACCGCTCCCTGTGCTCTCAGAGAGATTGTCCAGCCAGTCCGTCTCTGAAACACCATCCGTTCTGCCATCATCCTTCTCAACCGAAAGGCCTTCAAAAACCTGAGGAATGAGCAATTAAAAATAGCATGAAAAGTCACATCTGTCATCAACCTTCAAACAAAAACAATGTAAGAACTCCATACATCATTAAAAGAAACATACAGGCCACAATTTTGATTAAAACAGCTGAAGGACTAATATGTAAACATCAACCTGTCGGGGTTGAATTCCTTACTGAATTAGTGTCCCCCAGGCCGTGCAGCCTATCAGATTGTGAACTGTGCACCATGTCTCTCTCCACCAGTCGAGTCTGCTCCATTAGAATCCTTCCTCCGACAGCAGCATTTTCTGAAGAATTGCTCTTCAACCCCATCTTTATTTGAAATCCATCATGCGACCCCTCACTCTGACCAGCTGCATGAAGCTTAGAGTGGCTCTTCGGGTTGCTGAGCATGCCGCGTCTCGTTACCTGTGACAGACGGTCTCCTGGCAAAAAGGTTGCTAAAACCAAGAAATAAACATTACTATTATTTTTACTGAACATAAATAGAAATAGTATTATTGAAGATTTGTGCTGCAGAAGTGAGAAAGAACTGAATTTTAGAACAAAACCTGGTCGATGAAGCCCCAGTCTCCTGCAGAGATCCTCAGAAGGTCGTTGGTGAGCAGACTGTGGGAGAAGTTGGGGTGGAGCTCGTCCTTGTCGCAACTCAAGAGTTCTTTTATCACTCACAGATGCATTGTGAGCCCTGTGCAAAAAAGATTAATACCACACAAAGTCACCTACTTCTCTTTTACAAAACTGACAAAAAAAATTGAAACAAATCAAATTACATCAAGTGAAATAAGAGTCTAGTTCACCAAAGTGGGAAGTTTGTTGCAGCATTGGAAATCAACAACAAATAACAGGAAATACAGGTGGACCTGTAAAAAATCTTTCTTAGAAAAATCTTTCTTAAAGCAGCAATGTAGAATCTGGATAAGCACCTTTCATTATTTGTTCAATATGCTACAGCTGTGCTATGATTAAATAATAAGCATGTCTGTTCAGACAGTGTTCAGACATTTTGGCACTCTTGTCTGAGAAACATCCTAAAGAGAAAGAAAAGATACTGAGGCTGAGACAGTTTTATTCTCATGGTACTTATGGAATATTTTCCTGCACACATGGCAACCAACCTGCAAAGAACCTCTGCATCAGTGAACTGAGGAAATGTTTTGCTGTTAAAAGCTAATGGACTGCTTCATTTGAACTATTCAGGACATTATTTTAATTTAACATATTCTGGTTTAGAAATAAAAAATGTTTGTATTGAACATGTAAAAGAGGTATGGGACAGGAACGGTACTGTAGGTATAGGCTGATCAATAATTAAAATATCAGATGTAATACAACGTCCAAACTAAATAAAAAATGAATGAAGAACCTGGTCAAATTACTGGAGCAGAAGATACCTGTGAGCGCTGCTTGTGGGTCGAGCTGAGACTGACCGTATGGTGGACAGCGCCAGATGAGACTGGGCAAGGTCGCTGGCTAAAGAACAAGCCTCACGTGTCCTCTGGTTATACTGCTCCAGAAGGGTTAACCTATCAAGTCAAATGGAAATAAGACTTAATTCAAGCACGTTAGTAGTGTCATGAGCACAACGTTTTGTAAATCTGCACCTACTTTTCTTTCCTTAATCTTTCCTCTTTGGTTTTCTGTGTCACTGCTTGATTTCTGTTTGCCGGCTGCTTTGGTAAGATAGTTGAGACAAATGTGGGTGTCATTAGAAAAACAAAACAGCATAAAAAATAAGAGAATATTGTTTTGGGGACAAAAGCAAAAATATTTCACCCTTGTTGGAGAGGCAGAGAACGGCCTACGCTCCCTTTCTCTCAGACTCTCTCTGTGTTTTTGATAAGCAGCCAGTCTGTCCCTTTGCTTCCTCCTCATCCATATCCTCAGGTCTTTTCTCTCATCCTCAGGAAAAGCACGTTCCTGAGATGTCCAACTTTTCTGCAGCTGCTCCTGCCTGCTGCTGTGGGTCATGTTATTTGTCAGTTCAGCGATAATCGCAGTTGCTTGAGGATATTTAAAGACCGCAAATCAAAAGTGTACCTGCTATGGTGTGGAGTTTGTGAGGATGACAAATTCCAGTCAGTCGGTGATAAGTATCCATCCTTTACCAACTCCTCTAAGATTTCCATTGTATCAGATAACCCAGTCTGACCCAGATCTTCATTCGTCCACCTACACATGATGGTTAAGGAAGAGGATTTAAAAAAAGAAAAGTAGAGGGAAGCGCATAAAAAACAGAAGACCTTATAACTTTATACTTAAACTTACTCTTGGGATATCTCGTATCCTTCACTCAAGTGATCCTTCATTTCTGAAAAATGAATTAAAGAAAGCTTGTGACCACAAGAACACAGAGGTTTTCGTGCTCTAATTTCACACAAAGAATTGCTTTACGGTTTATCTGACATGAGCGAAGAATTGCAATTATTCTAAATTCAATCGATGGTGATAGATCGATCGTGATGTAATAAAACGGGTATGTCTAAGTAATCTGTTGTTGTTATGCATCTTTCATCTTTACCTGATGGGGTTTGGAGGTAAGAACAATCTGCTTTGTGACTCTGAGGATCTGTTTCAGGATTTTCTGAGTCATCAAGAACCAGCTGCTCCTCCTCTTGAAGTCTCTTTCCCTCTTTGTGGGTTTGTGTCTCAGCTAAAATGTCTTGGCCGGACCTTGGCATCCATGCTATCACAGATAATGTACAGGTAATGTTAAAAGAGTATTCAGATGTGTTTTTTAAATGTTGCGACAGTTTTACCCCATTTAGACTTTTTAATGACAGTGCAATCTAAAGTCAATTAAAAAAAATCTCAATAAATTAAATGTTTTGTTCTTCTTACCTTTCAGTGGAACTGAGAGTCTGACTGTTTTCTTTACTGCTGTGGTAATGTTGACATCAGGCACCATGTCTGAAGAGAGGTCTCCAGCATCTGAGGAGAGCTGTCCAACTGTGTTCAGTGGCTGTACATGGACACAGAAAAATGAATATGGAAACATCCACAGTAAAGCATAACCAGGCCAGGAGCATTAGTATGGAACAGCTCATATACCAGTCCTGAGTTTAAGAAGTCCATCTCCAGACGATCGGCAATATTCTGTACAGCGGCCATCTGAGCATCCAGCTCTGACAGGCGAGAGGAGAACACCACTGCAGGAAGCAAGGAGGAGGCCGTTGATGGTAAACCTCTCTGGCTCTTTATGGCACGACAGATTAGTGAGTCCGAAGGATCTACTATCACATTATCCTCTACAATGTTTCCCTCTGAAACCCTGCGAGGTTCGCGGGGGCTGAATGAGGGCGATTCCTCAAGGTAATCTAGGATATAAAGATGTTTGGGTGTTAAACAGATTAAACCAGCAATGCAGTGCTACATACCCGAAATCCATGTGTAAGTGAATGCTTTCTTATAAATACTAGCAGTGACCTGTGGGAGGGGTGGGTTTCTGTGGATTCCGTATGGTTATGGCTGAGGGCTGTGGCTCAGCAGCTGTGGCACCATTCCTGATAACAGAGGTTGCGAGAACGTGAAGCTGAGCAGAAGTAGGGGAGGAGGGAAAGATGGAGGGAACGTCCTCTGCTTCTGAGATGGAACGTGGCAGGATGTGCTCACACTGGTTTACATCTTCTAAATCTAAGACAGTTAAGAACTGGCGGCCTCCGATATCCTGTGAGACAATGGAAAAAAACAGGAAAATATTTGTTTTGCATACTGCAACAGTATGATGATAAATATGTTGTACTGTGCAGTGTCTTTGGACAGAGCTTTAGAATCCCAACACATGATTGAAAACCACTAAAAGTTGTATGGCTCCACATATGATGCTGAGGTTTGGCTGTTACCAGTATACTGGGTTCCTCTGGATTGTCCCCTTTGTCTTGAAGAGGTTTCTCCTTGCACATGATAAAATTTCCTGAACTTTGCGCTGTTTAGAGAAAACACACATTTAGACAACATTTTCCTAAAAAAAAAAAAAAGGGGGGGGGGAAATATCCAATCGGCTTACATTCTGGGCTTTTGGTCCTCGCAGAAGCTGAGAAAGACACAGATTTATCCACAAACACAGGTGGACAGGCTGAAAGAAAGGCATCAAAATTTAAACCTGAAGAGATTCTATGTTATGTGAAAAGTGTAATTAATACAATCCTGCATTGTATTAAATTCAGACAACACACATCAATTTTATAAAATCAGTTACATAATAATGTTAAATGTTTAACATTTAAAAGCATCATACTGGAGTCAGGTCAATTGTAACCCACCTGCATCTGTGTTGGTAAAAGCATCGTGGCACTCAGGGGGTCGTTTATTCATGGCAGCAAAGGCATGGAGCTGGGCTGATGTGGAAAAGACCTTGTCCAACAGTCTCTGGCCAGTCAGCAAAGAGTCAGATGATCCTGGAATTTAAAGAGCAGAAATTCATTATAAAATGAATCATTAATGTTGCCCTGCTCAAACAAACTATGACCCATTTGATCATTCCATTTTTAAAATAAAACAAGAAAAAAACAGTTCATTGATTATTTTCAAAAAATTGTTTCCACATCAAAAATAAACTGTTGGAAATTTGAGTCGAAACTTTTTATTTTCCCTCTTTTTTTCTGTCTGAGACAAGAAACATGAGTTAAGTTGTCTTTGTATTGGACTTGTGCTGAAGAGTGTAAGCAAGCTATGAAATTTGTTGTAGCCAACAGGTTGGCTCCATTTTTGTTGTGTATGCTAACTGAAGCGGAACTCTTAACTTGCAACGGAGCAGTTGATTATCAAGTTATGAAGCAACAAAAGGAAACATTGTTATTATTGTTCATGTTCATTATTATATACATGTAATGTGTCGTCTTTAGATAAAAAAGTTTTCTGTTTTTTATTTTTTATTAAATAATCAAAAACTGATTTTAAAGGATTATTCTCAAGAAGTCATAAAATTATACTGGAGATTAAGAGAAATTTCCATGACATACCAAAAGAAATGTGTGGCTGCCAAGTAAAACTTGTGGTTTTATCAATGAAATGAGATTTATATTTTCATATTTATGAAATGGGAGTGTGGTTTTGTATTTTTTTCATAAAAATAAGTCTAACAGGGAACTTATGAGGTTTTGACCTAAACTTTGTGTAGTGTAGTCACCTGTGATGTCCTGCCCAAGAGTTTTCTCTTCAGCCACCGAAGGCTCCTCACTAATCTGCACAGTCTCTGCCTTAATAGATATCTAAGCAAACATGTAAAGATGATATACAAACACAATATCTGTAAGGATAAAGCACGTCTTAGTGGATTAAGTCTTCTTCTACCTCTTGAGAAGGGATGATAGACTCATTTGGTCTGAATGTAACCTCTGTTTTTTTATGTTTAGCCTTTTCCTCTCTCCTCTTCATCCTTTAAACAAGAATGGTCAGCAAAACAATCAGTGACTAAAGAAGAAAACACCAGACACTGAAACTAAAATGTGCTTGCCTCTTGCTGGTTGAACAGCTGGAAAGGGTGGCAGGAGTTCCGGTGCCCTCATTAGGTCGGGCGACTTTGAGCAGCTGCAGCGGAGATTCCTCGGGGTGCCTGCTCACAGAGTTTGTTAACTGTTCCACTGAGAAAAGACGCGTCATTTGGGTGGAAGGAACTGCCTGGGGCACCATCTGCGACAGAGACAGATATACTGACTACAACATCACGACATTTTAATTCTACATTTAAAAATTAAAGCAACAGCAGGGCTGCTTACTATTCTGGGACCAGCTTCAATATGGAGAAGCTTGATCGTAGATGTGTGAGTCATTGGAGCTGCAATGACAGCAGGTCTGGAGTAAGATGGTAGAGGTAGTCTGGGGAAGATGACATTGGAGTGCGGAACCTGCTGCAACTGTAGAAGGCGAAGGCCTTGCACTGACATTGGTGATGGAGTTGGAAAAGCAGGAGGAAGTACGGAAAACCCCTGGCCATTCGACTGCCCTGCGGCCCAAATCTGGGGCTGGGAATTCCCTGGAGATGGATCATGTGATGCATTAAAGCTGAGGTGCTTTTTTGGAACAGAAAACACGTGTCTTTGCTCCCCTCCTTTCTTCTTCAAACCATCTTGGTCATTGTGTTTGAGCTTGTGCTGATAGGACTGAAGAGTTTCTGGATTTGAGATGTGCTGCATCTGGGATTGTTGTCCTGGTGGATAGTGAGGGGTACTGTGCCGGGACATCAGAGGATTACTAAGTTTAAGTAACCTCAGGCCCGACATCTGAGGAACTGATTCGTCCTGTGCAATGCCATTGGGAGGCAGTAACCCGGGAGAGTTTAAGTCAGCATGATCAGTGGTGGCCAGGAGCCCCTGGGAGAAAGGGGCTAACCCTCTGTTCTCTCTCTGCTGGATGCTTGTTGACTCTGCCTGGACAGTCAGTGGCTGCAAGTCCTGGACGAAGGAGAACTTGTTTGTAAGTTCTGTTTAAAAACAAAGGACAATCGTAATGAAAGAGAAAATGTCAGCCATACCTGACTTTGCAAGCCTGCAGCCATGAAACTGTAGGGTTGATTTTCTCTGGCATGGCACTGGTCAGCTGCAGAGGAGGTCTTTGCTGAGCTCTGCATCACGGGCTGCACCGCAAACCTACTTCCTGCACTCAGAGTGAACTGAGGGTCACCAGATCCGGAATTGGGCACACATGTCTGCACCTGAGGTGCTGCTGCGACCACGGCGCTAACAGGTAAGACTGTTCTTTCAGGGACAAATTTGGTGGCCGAGGATGGCGTCACATGAAGGTGGGAGCTCATATCAGGCCTGATGGCTGTGGAGTTCTGCTGGGCGAGTTGCATGCTGGAAAATGAAGCTCCCAAAACCTCACCAAGACTCATGTAGTTGATATGCTGCAAGGGAAGACCACAGAGGAATATTACGTACAGGTTATTTTCTGTCCAATCACTCACTTTTTGTCAGTCTGTTCCTACCTGAACCAGTCTAAATAATTCTTCACCCAGACACTGTCTGGATGGAGAAATGGTGGATGGCTGAGAAGGGGCAGGATGTGCAGAGGGTGCACTAGCTGTATTGGTTTGTGGCTCAGCATCTGGGGGCTTAACAGCAGTGTGTGGGAGCAGCTTGGCACTTGAATCGGACACTTCTGTATGAACTGCAATCTCAGGCTGGACAGCGGGAAGAGCTGGGGGTTCGGGATGTTCAGAGGGAAAACTGTTGCTAAAATGACAAAAAGGGACATTTATTTTCGGCAATTAGTTTGCATCTTTTTATCTAAAATTTCACCCAAAAACACAGAAATGGCTCAGCAATATTTAAAAAACTTTTGTTTTTGTAACTGATGGTTTGGAAGATTTAGACTAGATTAGTGCAACTACAGATGATATTTCATAATTGGTCACAGGTTCAAATAATAAATACATTTCAGTTTATTCTGAGTATTCAAATGTAATTGAAAAAAAATGTTTATAGGTTCATGCATTGGTAAATTATTCAGAACCAACATGGAGCAGGAAGTGGACACATCTTCAGCTTTTTCTGAGTGGTCGAGGTCTGCAAGTTTAAAACTCTGAAAAAGAAAAAAAATGATTAGTCATTGTGATGGCATACACGATACATGAAGACTGGAAATGTTAGGTGGAAACACTCACCGTTTCAGGTGGACAGATGTTTCCAGAGGTGTTACCACTGGAACCAAAAGACACTCCCACTCCCTCAGTGTCACTACCTCTGCCTGCAAGTATCAGACACGCCCATCACTTTTCCAGAGTCCACATTTCATCAACTTTAATGATTCAATAAAACCAAGTAACATACCTTCTTTTTCAGGTGTAACATCTAAGTTAGCGAGGCACAGATGTTGTGAACTGGCGTCTGTCTGTTGCACATCAGAGGTCATTTGTGACTGGTCAGAAGGGAGATTTGTTCTCTGAGAAGAAAGCTGCTCTGCTTCATCTGTAGACGACCCACTGCAAGGAAACACATTATTCTGCATAAATCCAGAGGACTCCCACATTAACTTTTAAAATTGACTGATACTTGCTGAAAATATTCATTTTAGCTGTTAAGAACTTGTTTAAATCTTATAAAATATAAAAGCAGACGTTGATAATCCACATGTGTACTGACTAAGCTATGATTGACTAAATTCGGCTTAACAACCACATTCTGATTTAAACCTTTCATTTTGTAACACAGGCTGACTTCCACTGCGCATGTACGATACCTCCAGCTGGTTCAGAGATGTACTAGCAAAGAACAAATGAGACACTCACGTATCTTGTTCTCCTTGCTGCACAGTTTGGTCAAGACCAGCGATGGGATTGTTGGCTGATCCAGGGTAGCCTGTATCAACACTGCTCTCCCTCTCCAGCCTCCTATCCACCTCAGGCTGCAGCACAGGGGCAACAGTCCATTGCATTTGGGGACTGTTGTGGTCAGTCACAGACAGAGTTGTGTACCTGCCCTCCAGCAAACTCAGAGAAGTAAGGATAGCAGGTGCTGAAGCTTTGACACGGATCATAACTCCCTCATCAGCTGGCCCTTCATCACCTTTCTTCTTTTTACCACCATGACTCCAAAGCACCCTTCTATCAGCCCAGCGAACCATCCACTCCAGCAGCCTGCCCAACTCTGGAAACTGAGCTTCTAGTTTTGGATTGAGGCCCTGTTGCAGTTCAGTCACAGCTTCCGCCAACACAGAGACATTTTCTGAAGGCTGAGCATCGGCATATCCACTCTGAATTAGGCTGGTTTCAGAACTAAGCATGTCCTCCTTCACTCTGCTGATGGGCATTTTGCTTTGCTTTCGGAGGGCAAACAAACCTTTTTGCCTCCCACCTTCCTGCCCAGGATGAAAGCTTCCAGACAGGTTTGTCCTTGATACAGGGGCTTCACTCCAGGCTGAAGACTGAGATTCAGGTCTTCTACCTTCTTTCACAGGCTTGTAGCAACAGCCAGCTCTGAAAACAGGAGGGCTACAAGCAGAGTGTGCTCTCACTGGAAGGTGTGCGTGTCTTTGACGACGTATCGTGGTGAGTACATCAAAGGTTAGAGAATGCAACTCCTTCTCCCTCAGTTCAGAGCAATAACCCTTCAGTAAGGGAAGTTCACAGGTCGACTCTCCTCCATCAGTGTCATTTTTCTCAAGCACATAACTAAGGAAGAGCTCCAGGAAACTTAGATACTCCTCATCCTCCAGCTCAAACTCCCAGGTTCCAACCACCGGCAGGGACAGCTGCTCTTTTTCCTTGGCTTTGCTTCTTTTACCTGACTCTTGCATTGAAACAGCAGTTTTCTTAGCATCTTCTCTTTTTTGTTTTCCTCTTTTGTCCCTGAAAACAGCGTAGACCACAGAATGAGATCACACGTACATGACATCTGATAATGGTGGCACTACTTTTTCACACTGCCTACCTGGTTAGGGATCTGCCATGCTTTTGAGGAGAGACAGCATGAGATGTATTCTCTGCTGGTTCTACATCGCTGCCCACAGGCTGGTCTCCAAAATCAGTCAAAGTGCTCAGTGATGGTTGCCTAATCACGGCCATCCCGTTATCTTCCTCTTCTTCTTCTTTCTCCCACAAATGGAGCACAGGAGGTGCCAAGTGTCTCCGTAAACGCGCTAAATGTTTCCTTCTCTGTCGGAATTTGTCTCGGATCAGAAGCATCATCTCATTTTCTTTGTCATTCTCTCCTGCTGGAGAACAGAAGGTTTATTAATGACATTGGAACACGTTTTTGTTCAATTCAAATGTTTTTCGAGTTATAGTGGCTTAATATGCAAATGAGGCATGCCTAATCAAACATGTACTGATTTACATAAAGTGGCAAAGTAAAGGCAAAGAAATGTGCATTACTTCCCCTTGAAACTTGAAAATGAACAGAGGAATGCATACCTTGGACCTTGCACAGCCTCAGTCTCTGCAGCAGTGAGTTATATTTTTCTCTCAAAGGCACTCTGACAGACTCTTCCTCCTCTGGGAATGCCCGCACCAGTGTGTCAGCCACCTATGAAGAAAAAAAGATGGAAAATTTATTTGCTCGCATTTAGCGATTTCATCCCATAAAATAGCATGCCTAGTTAAGTAAAGTCATGTCACCATAGACATGGGAGGTAGTTCAGAGATAAGGCTGAGCATTATATCCTGAAGGACTTCCTCGGCATTGAGGAAATGAGAAAAAGGCAGAAGACGACAGGCCCAGTGGAGAGCATCGACACAGGCTGAGATCACTTCTGAATCAGCTGACACCTAACGGACACACAAAAAAACCCATTTACATGGTAAGGGTGAGCTTACATTTACAAATCAAATATCTAAATACAAATATAATACCTCATTGTTCTGATTATTCTGTCGGGCTGCTTGATACTTCCTGCAATGAATTGAGAGCTGATCTCTGATGTGAAGCATCCAACACAGAGCACACAGCTCTCTGAAACAGACTTTAAGCAGAAAAAAAAGAAAGAAATTAAATTACTGAAAACTTAAATAGATACTGATTGTGTTCTTATCAATTACAAGTGGCACCTTACCAATGGTGTGAATGCTGTCATGGTTGAGATGACCATCTCTGTTAGGCCCCCTGAAGTATCCGGTGCGGGTGTTCAACTTCATCAGTCCATCTGGCAAAGTCTTTTCTTCCTGATCAGCAGACGGGTAAGAATACTTCTTCTTGATCTAAGAGGAAAAAAAGTTAGATATTTACTCCATTTAAGATGGGTTGTGGCCTCACAGAACATAAGCGAGCACTATTTAGAATTCCAATCATCACATTTAATCTAAAACATATTTTCCCTTTTAGGGAATGGATAAAGTATAATTGTTTCATGTTTGTAATTATTTGTTTCATGAAAAATGTTCTTTTAAGCATATTAATTGATCTTTTTATGTTTTCAATAAAACATAAAATAAATATCATTTGAAAACTTTCAGCCCACTGTTTTAGCTCTGTAATGACATACCTTGTAGAGTATGTGTCTGCCACGGGCCAGATGACTGATGTACCACTGGGCAGAAGGATGGCAACAATGACTAGATCTCAGGAGCAAAAGTAATCTTTGGAGAAAAACTGAAACTTTGTGTCGGCAGGCAACTTCTGCAAGGTGTCCCGTTGTCCCTATTTGGTCCTGAACAAGAAAAACAGTCAACATTTCACTTTATAATAGCATGTGTAGCCCTTATATGATGGCATTTTTAATAATATTACCTGTGTGTTGGGTGAAGGCTGAGGGCAATAGAGAGGTGGTGAAGGCAAGTACAATCCAGAAGGCACCAGGGCAGGTAAGGAAGAACACATGTCCTTGGCTGTGTCCAGCAGTGAAGACAAGGGTGAAGACATAACATTCACTCCTGCCATGACTGAAGCCTTCAGAATCTCCTGAATGGAAGCTTTTAACAAGTTCCAGTCTTCTCCTTCCAAAGGATCTTATAACACAGTAAAATAAAGAATCGAAATGAAGGGTTTCCATTTCTCATAATTACAGAATTAGAACAGTGAGGTCGAGGTCTCACAAACCTGTAAAGCTCTTGTCACCAAAATTAATTATGAATTCTTGAGAGTCAGCTTTAGTGGCAAGAAGACACTCGAGCTCAACCTGAAAAATGCTTTCAGGTTCTAGAAATCTTGGCAGATGGAGCTCTCTTTTCCTGAGCCTAAAAAAAAACAGTTTTATTATATACTGGAACTGGATTCAGCATTCAGTGGCATTGAAACAAAGAACAACACTACGGTCAGCTTTTGGCTTGTGTTGGGGTTTCAAACTAACCGAGTGAGGTCTAAATGTTCAGTGGAGTAACTGGTGTATGCCAGACTCAGAGACACTGCTGTTTTCCAATCTCCCATGTGATAGGCCAACCACGCAGCCTCAGGAAGCAGCCCTCCCAGCAGCAGCAGGTCCTGGGCATAGTCCACTGTCCACACCTCTGACAGATGCTGCTGTCGAACCGCTCGAGCAGCAGCCTCCTGGCACAGCGACACCAAACGCCCGGTGGAGGAGGCTGAGACATAACCCACAGGAACCATGAGGCAGCCATCACAAAAGAATAAAACAATCAGATAAACATAAAGTTTTGTAAACGCACCGCGAGGTAGATGTAGTGGAGGCAGCACAGCCACATTGTGAGCAGGCAGAATATAAAGAGGCTGGTTGGAGAAGTAAGAGGCCATGAATCTGCCAAGAGACTGAACCACTGCACAGATGGCCTCAGTGTGAAGGTCCGCCGGCAGCCACGTGCAAGGAGGAGAACCTGCTGCAGGGAGGAGTTAAGACTTTTACTTCTTCTTCTCGTTCTTAGTGTAAAACTAAATAAATTCCTTGAAGGTTTTGAAAAATGCAATATTTAGAGTGCATTCAACACCCCTAATTGATGAGTCTGAATAAGCATAAAAAATGTCAATATGTTTTGGGTCATTTTTCTCTACAATTCTTTGGACATTGAAAAAATATCTAATTCCCCCCACCCTGTATCTCTTTATTGGTTAGAACAAGGAGAAGCAAATTCCCAAGCATTTTAACAAATTGTAGTAAGGATTTGGAAATATAAAGTTTCTAATGTTCTATATCTAAAAGTAACTGACTGAGGAATAATAATGGAATTTGACCTGCTGCGTGAGGCAAACTGTCCCCCTGGTGTCCAGCCCTGAGCAGAATCAGATGTGCCATGTGGTCCCCCAACTCCTGAGCTTCTCTCAGACGGTATTGCGACAACAGACTGTACAAAAGCGCCAGACAGAGCCGCGTCTCCTGGAACACACTGCGATCAGAACCTTAAAGAAAAACATTGGACATTTTTTTCAAACTGATTGTGAATATGTAGAAGGACAATTTAAAGTTAAATCCAAGCAACACTCATTACTTTTCTTGGCCTCTTCACAGACTTGCAATCGCCAGACATCCGCACTTTTTGTGTACAAGCCACTCAGGAAAAGATGTTCACCTGATGGGACAAGGTTGCAAAACATTGACTTATCCTGACCATACAAATATTTCGAGTAATACGGCTGAAGCTTTCTCTTTAGATGGTTAAGAAAAACTTGAAGAGATCATATATCAAATAAATCAGGCATAACATGCTCCACCTGTGTCATTTTTACATAAACTAAACATTCTAATCACAGTACGGTTATTGGTTCAGTTCTTCTGCTTCACACCTGCGTAATCCAGCAGAGCGGGGCCTTCCTCTAACTTTACTCCTGTAGCCTGCAGAGCTGTTTGGATCTGGGACAAGATGACAGACAGCTGTTGCTCTTCCTCCGCCCAGCCATCGCAGCCTGTAAAGCTTTTGAGTTCTTCTGCATACTGCTGGGTGACACTGTACACCAGCTGCCACACTCCCAACAATCTGTCAAAGCAAAAACACAAAAAGACAGTCACTCTTTATAAGTGGAGTTTATGAAATTGCTTTGGGTGCCATCTGCTGGTCAATTTGCTCATAATCATTGAGGAAAAGTTCAAATAGATTATGTTTACCTGCTGGAGGGTCGCTGGGGAACTGGCTGTGCCCGATGTGGAGAACTAGATTTACCCTTCATCTCAGCCTGTAACAGAGATACATGGTACATATCCGAGGGCCACATCACTGGTGGCTGAGAGGGTGATTCCTCCTCAGAGGAGGACCAGATATTTTGGGGTTTCAAGCTATAAGACTGATCAAGACAATCAGAAACTAGTTGCAAGATATGTATGATTCCGTAAAGAGTTTGTGAAGATAAGTTAGAGGGACTGGTTTTGCTGGTGTCAGGATGAGGGGACAATAGAAGGTGTACCATCCATTTACAAAACTCCACCACCAGTTCCAAGCAGTGTGGTCCATCTGAAGGAGTGTTGTCCCAAGGAAGGAAAGACAGAAGCTCTTTAATGAGGTACAGGAGGTGAGCAGAGGTGGATTTATTCTTTTCCCCTGTGTGAACTCCAGAGTTAGGCATAAAATGCAGTAAAGCAGCAAACTGAGCCACACAGCAGAGCGTATGCCTCAGCAGATGATTTCTGTGTTTCACAGCATTTCCTAAGGACATCCCGAAAGCCCAGGCCGATAACAGCCCACTCTGGATCTTCCTCAGTTCATATTGGAGAAGAGCCCTGTTCTCTGCATCAACGGAGTCTCCGTCGCCATCCGAGCCGGAGACAAATACGCCCTCATTGTGTGTGTCCAGGGCATGGAGTGTGTCAAACATAGAGGCAAACTCCAAACGACCTCCATCTTCCTTATGGGACCCAGCAGGAAGTCCGTCTATATCAGACTCACCGTCAAAGAGAGCCTGTAAAAAACACACAAAAACAGCCAAATCAGAATCAAGCAACTGACGCATCAGGTAAGACACAATATTCCTTATTGGCATCCTACTATGTTCACACATTGAAATGAATTACCTGCATGCTTTCAAGAAGCTCCTTAGTACCGCCCCACTGGTCCTGCAGGAAAACCGGAAGTTTGGATCCATCTGTGCCCGCTGAAATGATGGAGTCTGTGTAGTTCAGCCCAAATCTGACAGTGGTGTTGAAATCTTCAAGGTTGCTGTCCTGATTTGAACAAGATACAGACTCCAGCCAAGTCTTCATATGAACCTAAAATCAGCAGATGAAAGTAAATCATCACGGCTAAATTGTTGAGAAAAAAAACAATGAACTCTGCCTCTTGTTCAAACATACTGCAGTTAATGACCTGTGTTTTATCTAGTTTGCGGGTGATCTTCACAAGAGCCTTTCTTGTATCTTGTAGAAGTGTCTTCAGTAAGAGGTCAGGAGAAGGCCTGTCCAGCACCCGCAGAACTGTAGCCATGTAGCCATCAGACACAATGAGATACAGCAGCCGTGGATGCCAGGTCACAGAGTACCGCTGCCTCAGAATATCACGGGCTGACATGCTTGAGCTGGACAGAGAGGCTTCGCCCTTCCATCCAGACATCTGTGGCCTTTAAAGAATAAAGCAGAGTTAATATATGACACACTCTACAGTGGATTTATACTTCATTCCTGAAAACTGTGTCGTAAAGCAGTCAATGAAGAAAAATACATGGCAGACAAGAAGGTAGAAACAAGAAATGACAAAACACTAGCCTAAATAAATCCATAACTTCTAAAAAAGAGCTTACAATTGAAAGTTGACAAGACCACAGAATCGAATTTACCGGTAAGTGACCAGAGGATGCAGGGGCAGAAAGTGGGCAGGACCAAACTCAACGTTGCAACCAGAAGTGGCTAGAGTGAGAAGTCCGCCGAGACGAGCCAGCATGAGAAGGGAGCCTCTCTTCAACACACAGGCTAGGAAAATGCCTCCAGGCGACCAGCTGACACTGCCCACCCAGTATGACCTGAAAGCCAACATGCATGGAGAGGTTTGCGTTGCCACATAATTTCATTATGAAAAGTACAGAAAAGATGTGGTCTCGTCTTAACAAAAAAAAAGTCATTTCAATCCTTTAATTTTGACCTTTTTTTAATTACACATACTAACCTGATATATTTAGATGGGATATCTACTTTTTTGCTTCCACATCCTCCAAGGCCACTCGATACTGAAACAAAATTTTGCGTGCTCACAAAGAGAACCTGCGTGGCCTGCATATCACAAGAAGAAAATAAAATTGTTTCAGAGTTATTTTGATCAACAAATCTGAAATAAACCTAATTCAATGTAATGAGGGTGAAGAGGTTAGATTCTGACTTTAGGCTTTCTCTGGTTCAGGACGACTGCTAACAGTCGGCCATCTGGGGAAAAGGCTGCCACCAAGGCCCCTCTGGACTTCACTGACTGGCATGGTGGAGTGAGGTAAGACATGGGGTATTTCTTTGTGGCCCACTGTATGCTGTAGCCGGGAGAACTATTAAGAAAAATGTGCACCTTTAAAAAGTGCAACACAGTATCTGTGGAGAGTGCATACAGTGACGTGAACTTTTTCACTCACCCCACCCTCGGATGGCCCTCGATCCACTGAATTTTAAGGAAGGTGATTACAAGGTGGTTCTCTGATGTGAAAACAAATGCTGTAAAGCAAGCATCCCCCATAACCTGAATTAGTTTGGAGGGAGAAAAGATGTGCTGTTAGGCCAGCAGAGCAAAGAGGAATGTCTGTAAAAAGAGTGGAATATTGCACAAATATGTCACTTATTTGTATGCAGACCTCTGACTTGACAAAGATGACATGTTGGGATGCTTCTTTATCTTGTAAGGAAGGCAACACGGTCTCATTAAGAGGAAGTATATGCGCCCAGTGTCCTTTGACTGGGCCATCTCGCAAACCGGTCAAATCTCTGGCATCCACACACTCCCACAAGAACACTTGGCCAGTTATGCTTACAAGAAGCACACGCATCCCATCCCCTGAAACCTGTAGGGACAACCTTGTGGATTTCTCTGTGAAAATGAAAAGACATTGATTTAAGATTGTATGATTTACAAAAAAAGAAAAGAAAAACGTTCTATCTGAAACCACCTCTTAGGTGACACATTTTGTAATGCTACTCTCCATGAAGTAGAAATCAAAATAAAAAAAAGAATAATACATTTGGAAAAAAAATCAGACCAGCAATTGGAAATTATTTTAAGATTTACTGTCACATTCCTGTGTGCCTTTGTATGAAACACACCTTGAGCAGCGGTGATCGCCCGGAATACATCTGTAGCTGCTTCAGCATTCTTCAACACATCTTTATCCCTGTTCCACAGAAAGAGTTCTCCAGACATCAAAAGTCCACAGAGCCACATTCCTGCAAAGCAATGACATACAAGAGAAGAGAGGTTTACCTTGTGTTGCCTTAAGAGTTGCGTTAAAAGACTAAACCCACCATTGTCTGACGCAGCCATTTTCACCACGTTGTTGAGCAAAGGATGGAGTTTGGGTGTTCTCTTCTTGGTGCGCCCAGACACCATGTTGATCTCACTAATCCGTTTGTCATCCAGGAGAAACACGGACTCCTTCTCCTGAGAAGTAAGGGCAAAACTTTACAGTCACCCCCTTCTGACAAAGATGGCCAGGTTTCCTTACTTCCGATGCTTTGTGTCAAAAAACATCGCCTCTTACCTGCCCAAGCCAGCAAAAACGAGGCCATGGTTTCTTTCGTTTGATGCTTGATGACAAAACTACCTCCAACTTCAACTCCATGTTCAAAAGCCAGCATCAGCTCTTCTTATTCGGTGGTACTGAGCAGCAAGGAGAAATGTGTGCATTTATATCTACATATCAACATAACAGTTAGTCAAACAAATGCATGAGATGTCACTTGTCGACGGTCACTCCCCTTTTAACCAAAAAAAGAAGAAGAAGAGATTAATCACCAAATAGATGTTTGATAAGCATAAAGGTACCGTTACAGTAGCATTAGCGACCTAGCTACATTTGTTTATAGGAAGCGAATTGGTTTTAAAATGCTTATCCTGACAATTTTAACTCATTTGGTGACATATCATGTCTCTACTTGTGCTACATGGTTAGAAGAATGTAACTATATCAATGTATTTAGGTGTAATTACCAAGAAAATGGTGAAACGTTTCGAAACTCCCTCCGCTTCCATAGCCAGGGTGTTTTCCCATGATACCCTGGGAGGAAGCTTCGGCGTGTTGCCGTAGGAACGTGGCTGTTGAGTTCATGGGTTGGCTCAGTTTTAGTACCAGAACACGCCGGTGCAGCTGAAGGCGGGTGGAGTTTGCACTCAATCCTGATCCACACATGTTTATTTTGATACCAGGCAGACAGTTCGAAATAGAACTGAATTAAGCGTTTTGCGTGGCACACTATCCTTGCAATACGCAAAATGAACAAATGCAAAGTGTCCCCAAGCCAAAAGGGGGTCCCAAGGCTGCATGTTGGCAAAAAATAAATAAAAATAGATCAAAGAAGCCTCACCTAATAATAATGAATTAATAAAGATGAGAGTTCCTGTGTCCTAATGGAATTCACAAAAAGGAACAATGTATAGCCATCAAATACAGTTTAAATGCGCAGACACATTTCGGAATGTGAAAACAGAAGAACAAACAGTTTAATTCAAGCTTAAATTGTTGTCTGTTTGAAAAAACCATAAAATGTTGTAGATGCAAATTTTTACATACAAAAAAAAAATACAAAGCACTCTCAATTATTCTGGTACACAGAAGGGGTAGTAGAAACCCAGTGCAACTTTTTTTCTTAACATTTGTTAGAAAAACTAGAACAGCAGGTCAACAGAAAATCCAGATTTTTTTTTTCCAATTTTGTTCCAATTCACTACCCATCGTTATCACTCTTTTTTCACTTCACAGTGTGCCTTTTTCCTAAGTTATGGTCTTTGATTTCTAGCAAATAAATAAGTATACTATTGGCATTACACATCAGACAGAACACATACTGCTCACAAGACAGTAAGCTTCTTTGCCTGTTCCTGACAAAGATCTCATTTAAAAAGTTTTAATCCTGACGCTGTTCATTATCCATGCTGTTAATGTATTTGCACACATTCATGATTGGAATGCAGTCATAGTTAGAACATCTGCGTATGATTGAACCCCCACCATCTCTCATCTGATCAGTAGAAGTGTGGTTTCTCAGATCAGTGCAAAATCCTAAAAACAGACAATAACAGTCGACAACACAGAGCTTTTACTCATACTGGTGCGCAAACGCAACGTTGCCAGCAGATGGCAACACGCTACAACCGGGATGATGCTTGAAGTGTGGCTTTCACTGCAGAACTGCTCTTCAGCTGATAGGAAAACCAGCTCTGGGTGGAGCAGGGGAGATCATTGAGGCAGATTAACAGCACCATAAAAGGCTTTTGTGCTTTCTTTCTTAGCGACTGAACATATCTCTCAACAAAAAATTTTTGGGGGGGGGGGGGGACTTTCATCCTTATTAGCAATCTGAATGTTTGTGTGCTGTAAGGGATATTTTTCACTATTAGCACGGTTTCAGTTGGGTGGACCCTTAAGCAATAAAGTTTCTAGTTGGCTTGTTACAGAGAGTTATTAGGTTTGCCCCCCGAGCCCCTGCTGGTATTTAATTACCCCTGCAGTCTCCCTGTTTCATCATTATGGTGATGACTGCTGCCATTGCCAATAGGTGAAAGAGAGGACCTCAACATACCTAATTGGTTCATTTACCTCTGCCTGCCAGGCGCAGATGGAGCTCTTTATTTCTATCACCGCCCGGTTCATTTTGCTCTGATGAGGAGAGTCTTAAGAGGGAGAGCTCGACATCCTTTGAGGGCATGATGACATGGCCAAAGCGTAATCAGTCTGAGCAATCAAACAGCCAACTATCAGACCAATGCCCGGGCTTTTATAATGTCTCTTTTGTTTTGCTTACATCCTTTTAACAGTTATTTACTATTTGTTATATTAAGTGTTGTGTATTTGCATATCTTTGTGTCTATGTGACTGTAACTAAATTTGTTCATTTATTGGCAAGTATTTTCATACATTTGCTCAATAAAGTGTTTGGTTTTGTACGTCCTGTATTCATTTTCAGATGATCTGTGTCTTGTTTTTCTGATGCTTTTTTATCACATGCTAAAATACAACTTCCCCTTCTTTCAATTTAAAAACAGATGATTGATTTGGAAACTATTTGCCATGTTTATCTTCCGTCTTCAATAGAGGGGCATCTGTTGGCATAGTAACCTCATTTAACATGTGCAGGTCTAATTCATACTAATAAATGAGACCCAGGGAGCTGACAATGAACAGTTCAGTATTCCTCAGCAACAGTGGGTCAGAGTGTGCCTGTTGTTAATCTTAGTTTTGGAGAGCTCTAGGATGTCTTTCTTTGAAGATAACAAAAGGATGTTTTTAGAGGATTTGATCTGTAGTTAGTATGGTAGTAGATTGATCTGCATACAGAGTGCTGAGTGCAGAGAGTGGATTGTGTGCTGTGAGTTGATAAATTTATAGCGTGTCAAAGTGAAGTTCAGCTTTTGTGGATGAAGTAGCTGTTGATAATTTATGTTGGGCCATCACTGATTCTAAACTTCAGATAACCATACGCTAGTCTCAGCTTTCTCATGTGGAAAACACACCAATGAACACCAGTTAAAACAGCCACTTTTGTGGTGTCAAAGATTACTTAGTTCATTTTTAACATTTAACATGAAGATACTGCACCAGTCATTGCATGCTGTTTGATACAGCTATCACTAGAAATAGATGTGTGATTGCCATCTACAGTCATATCCATTTCCACTCAATCGGTAAGACAAGAAAAGAATCTTGTGCGAAATCCTGACCTGTTTTTGTCAGAGGAGAGGTAGCTGCCGCTCATCCATCACAAACCTGAAGCAAAATGTGCCATTTAGAGTTGTCATAAAGGCCCAGCAGCCAGCCATGACAGCTAGAATGAATGGCTCTTTTCGAACTATGTATCACAGTAAGCCATGCAAATGTCAACCAGAGGCATTATGTTCAAGATTAGGATCATAAACATGAAACAGCTAAATCTAATAATGTTATTAAATGTTCATTTCTCCACATTTCCCTTATTTCCATCACAGGTTTCTTTCTATGGAAAAGACTTGTTGAACAGCACATCAGCGAAACGTGCACCCATGGACCCTCACACAGGTACTTTCTACTACCATTTACTACTTCAAATATAGCCACCTCATGATGTGATGCTATTATATTTAAAGCATGTTCATTTTGGAAGTATCAGGAAACTAATATTTGATTTAAGATGAGTAAGCAGTCAAGCAGGGACTGTCATTTCTATCTGCTTAGGTCGCATACTTCATGTCTTTATGGGTACTAAGACAGCAGGTTATTATGTTGATGAAGGCTCCAATTTTATGTGGTTCCACCTGATTATCCAAAGTATCTTATATAAAACACAATTTCAGCATAGAAACATTCCCTGTCACTTCTAGATATATGCATATTGAATGGTTCGACACCACAAAAGTTCAAATAGTCTGTTTTCTTTGCAAAAGGTTTCTGGAGAGAACAAAATTCCACATGAGGAAAACCAAAATGACTGAAGAAGAACTTAATTGGGATATAAAAAAAAGAACCCAGGCAGCTGAATAGTGACAACAAAAGGATGCAAAATTAAAACATAAAAGAGCAATAGAGCTGTTGAAAGGCACATGACTACAGAAAGGTGCTGAATGACAACAAAGAGACCAAAAGACAATGTTAACATACAAAAAACCACAAAGGCACAAAGTAGAGGCAAAGACATTTAAAATGGTGATGGACTTATTCAAAATTACAATAAAAAGACACAGACTGACAACAAAGAGAACGCTATCGCAGCAAAAAAAGCACCAAAATGACTACAAAGGGACTAGTTCAAACAGACAAAAAGATGGGTATGAAACTGCCACAAAGATTTAGAACAACTACACAATCCGACAAAACTCAAACATGCAAAAGACAGACAGCAGGCTTTGTCTCCCAGCTGGCATTGTTTCTGCCAACACTTCTTATCGTCACGGCAGGAAACGCATTTCTATTTGCAATCACATTTCCAGAGGTTTGTTTTTTTGTTTTTTCTTAAATAAAAAAATAAAAGTATTTCTTTCGGGTTAATACATCAGAATCGGTTCTCCTTTAAATAGTTCCGCTAAACGGGGGGGAAACGTGCTTTGGCCGACGGGGTAGTAGCCCCGCCCACGCTCTCAGCTGATTGGTCGACGCGTGGGAATATTCAAATAAAGCCTTGATTGATTGGCCCGGGGCCGGTTTCAACAGTGCGGAAAACTCGCTTCCCATTCCGACGTCGCTCTCCGCCGCTCACACTCTGTCGGCCGCCTCGCGGGGATGCTGCACGAGCGGCCGCACGCGGAGGAGCCCGGTCGGTGAAACCGTCTGCCACGGCGGTGTGTCGAGCACTAAGAGGGAGGGAAGCAAGCTGATGGAGCCGGCTTCTCCGAGGGATGTTTCTCCGGAGCTTTCTGGTGCTCATCAAGAAATCAGCGGCGAGGTTGCTTCTGCGAAGGAAATACGCCTTCCGAGGAGGAGAGGAGCCAATCAGCCGTGGCGAACCAAAGATAAACAAGCCTTATGATTCTAAACTCTGTAAGACGGCGAAACCGCTTATTTTTCCTTCGTTAATTTCGCAGGGCAGAGTCTGGGATTGTTTGCTCGTTGAGAATAAAAATGTTTTCAACGCGAAAAAAAAAATCAGTTAGATTGTGTGTAACATAACAATGAGGAATAAAGAGGGAGAATAGACAGGATATACTGACGCTTTTGTTTATTAGGTTTGGAAATTTGGTCGACGGTGCGTAAATGATCTAATGAGTAGCTATCTCACCTTTACGGTGTCTCATCCATCCATTGTAAATCGGTACAGGCGAGTCATTCCGTTTTACGAGATTATTGTTTGCGAAATGTATTCAACACTTCATTGTCGAGAAAAGAAAGTATGATTTATTACTAGAAGTGTTGGATAATAATAGTTTTCTCCCTGTTTTGTGTTACTATTGTGTTATTACCATGTTATAGAGCCAGTCCCTTGTGCCTTTATGTCTCTCTGAACATGTGCCCTGAATGAATGATGGCTTTGCCTCCTCTGAAAGACGCTTTATATGTCAGCGTCTCAGTGGCAGTGCTTTGAAGTATATTACTGGTCCTTCCGGCTGCCTCTGAGGGTTTCCATTTCTATTGTCTGAGAGCCGGAGGTGGGATCATTGCACCTCACTGCACCGGTGGCAGCCGGGGTTGAAGGTTAGCCGCAGCAGAGGTTCTTATAGATTATTGGCCAGGTGTGAAATTCAACCCTGTATGCCTTTCCTGCCTCTGCCAGATCCTTTATTTATCAGAGAGATGGGATGTCAGAGTTTACCACCAGAGGTAGATAAGAGAGGACTGCAATTTGGGGCCATATCTCCTTTTATTTCTGGGTCTCACGTTACAAAAACAAACAAAAAGCATTAGTATCCTTCCTTGCTCTCTTGGAAATCCGAAACCGGAATATTGGGTAGCACACTTTTACTGGTCACTGCCGGCCACAAACATGTTGCAGCTAAGAGGAATTAGCTGTTCCGTGTTTTCCCGGCTTGAAATGTGCCCCTTGTTGTCTGAGCCTGAGCGTGTGCACCAGACTTTTTTCCTCCGTGTTGTGTTTTGGGTGGTGGAGGAGCAGGTATCCCCACAGGGGTTTCCCTCTGATCTCACATCACACCCCTAGCAGTAATTCCAAACTCTGCAAAGAAAAAGGGGATTTGTCATGTGGCTGCCTGCTTCCCTTTGCTTCCTCGGGAGCGAAGCTGAGCCGTGATTTATTGTGATGTCCCCCCCCCCCCGGCTTGCTCAATCTCCAGGCCTCCCGACTGACTGAATGAAGGGAACTGCTCTCTGCGTCAGTGACCTTTTCTTGGGAGATTATTGCCCGGGCCACAGCGGAGGGGCTGATTTAAGCTTGTGCATTTGTCCGCCTGGCTTTCGGAACTGTTAAGTCTACAGTAAATTACGTGTTGCGCATCAGCTTTCTAGCCGGCAGAGTGAGTGATGAAGGGGGAAACGGACGACTGAAATGAATATGCGCCCACACTTTTCTGCCCGTCTAGTAGGATCATGTCAAAATCTCCGGCTGCCTAACAGTTGGTCCTGTCCTCCCTTTGTGATCACCTTTGTATCTGCTTGGGCTTGTCATGTGCAATTAGGAACATCTTGGCATATTTTGAAATTAGTCTAATTGGTCTTTTCATTCTTACAGGATGACTGGGTATGGGAGGGGGGGGGGGGGGGGGGTGAAGGCCTGGGTCTCTCAGGTCACTGGGGAGGGGGCAGAGCAGCCATGGTCATTACCATTATTGCTATTTGGTCTCCATGCATCTGTTTCGTGATTATGTTAAATGAATGAATGTCCTCCCGACAAATTGTACTGGATGCATCATCATTTGCCCTCGAAAGAAAGGCACTGAGATTGTGACATCATAATTTGGTCCAGAGATCAAAGACGCTTTTCTCCTCGAATGCTTTTGTTGCATCTCTGCTAGAGAGCCCATCTTTGGTTTTCTAACACACTAGATTCAGATAGGCAGCTCTTTTTTTTTTTTTTCAAACTTTTTAATGAGTTGTATGTCTGGTTTGAGATGATATAGCTCAAAGGAATCACTGACCTTAAACTAAGCAGTTAGGGGACAGGACTAGGTAGGAGTTGATGTTTGTTGAACAAAAACTCTTTTTCTCTTTGCTTCTTCTTCAATGGAACACTGGAAGAAAAAAAAAACTCTGCTTTCTGGTTTTAGTCAGTTTTGTTCGTCTCCAAAATTGAATTCTCATTTGTTCAGATCTGCTATCAAGTCGAGTCAAGGTTTTCTAGAGACCGAGCCACATGCCCTGCAGCTCTCACCCGGCGTTTCTCAGTTTGCAGAATGGGAAAGATAAGATAAGGCACTGTTTTCCCATCTAATGCTGGCTTGACTTTACCCCATGGAGTTTGTTTCTTCTGCCTTGGCATCAACGATGCAGGAGGGAAGCTTTGGGTCAGTCCAAGGCTTTGTACTACCAACCAAGGCTGTGCTCAAAGATAAGACCTATTTGTGCAGCTTTTGATCCATGGCTTCATTTGTGCACATTATCTCTGCTTGTGAGCAAATGGAATTAGTCTCTGAATAACATGTGCTCGTGGTGGGGATGTTGAAATTGAAAGCTGGGACGAAAAACGTATTCAAACAAAACAAACAAGGAGCGAACAAACAAACAAAAAGATTAACTCTTTATTAGCTCCAAAGTAGGTGATTATTTTTCAAATAGCTAAACCTGAATGGGAATGAAATCATGCTTACAGACACTGTGGCACACTTTCTAGCAGCTTCCCCTCCATGGACTTAGACACGGAAAGCTTTGAACTGAAGGACAATCGAGGAGTTAAATGTTAAATTCAGTGTGGGGAAATGACCGGCTGACCTCACTCGGGTAAAATATTGTACCTGAATAGCCTTTTGGCTGTTTGTACTTCCGCTGACTCTAGTTCAGTGGCAAATATTCAACTTTGTACTGCATAAGCGAGTCGATTAGCCTCAAGCAGATCTCAGAATAATCAAGTTAGGAAAAAAAAAATCAGTATTTATGAACGGAGCTAAATGACTTGAGGGTATTATGTTAGATTTATAATTTATTTTCAGAGACTCAACTTTATTGATTAGCAGGGGAAATTAGAACAGCTTTCGTTCTACTTTTGACAGACTTAATTCACTTTTAACGGGTTTAAAGCCCTCTGTAATGCTGGGGTTACGCATTGTTCCTTTATATCTTTTGATTTTTTTTCTTGGTGTGTTTGCAGAAGTTGGTCATTGAGAGATTGTTACAGAAGTGGAGTATTTCTGTAGCTATCGCGTACGCTCCGTTTCACGCTGATCTGCCTCCTATTCGCAGCACAGCTTTGTATTTGCATGAGCGAGACTGTAATGTTAATGTTACTCCCAGTCACCCGGCCATTAATGCTGCATGATTTACATCTAAATGAATGCTCCGGACATCTGTCTGAACATTGCCCAGAGATAAATTACATACATTTTGAGCGTGCGCTAACAATGTAAAGGAAATGCTTTCTAATGCTGTAATACCTTATACAGGAGCTAATCTCAATGGTAATGAGGCTCATTGTTCCGAGCCGCAGGCCTGGAGTGTTCTTGCCGTGCGGAGCGGTGTGACTCCGGGTTGTTTGGTTATATTCCACGTGAACCCTTGCGTCCTCTTTTGCTTTCTTTTCAAAGAAAAAAGGAAGGGGAGACGAATCTAGGTCTTTTTTGCGCGCTGTTCTCAGACCAATTATGTAAACTATGACAGAATTTAACCAGGCCAGCTCTTATCAGATAATCCAGAAGTAATAGATCCATTTAGAATGTATAGGGGATTGGGGGGGGGGGATCTATGCATTTGTGGAGTGTTGTATTGAGATGAATCCAGCAGCTGCTGCAGCCCTGCTGTCTAATTCTGTCTGTATTTAAGACTCCTTGTCTGGTCTCTATTACTGGCGGGTGCCTGCAGTGCCTGCGTTTTCTAAAAACCATACACAATACACAATTGATTATGCACAAGTGGATTGCCATTCATCGACTATATCATCCATATTAAAAGGGATGCACTCTTCTTCTTCCCCTTAACAACTAATTGCTCTTTGTTAGTCATTTATTTATTCCTAAATGCTGCAGTTTCTTTTTTTTTTTGTTGCCTTTTGTGCTCTTCTCCATTTGGCTCGTCTGTGCTTTCCTGAGTGGGAAGAAGGGAAAAGCATTTACATAGCACTCATGGCAATCCACTCAGATTGAAAAGGGGGCTCGCCTTAAACCTTTTCATTGTCACGTAATCATTAAGCGAGCGTCCTCAGATCTGCTAACAGGAGCTGAGATGCAAGAGGTCGGCAAAGGTGTCTGTGTGTGAAAGTGGCAGGGCGAGGGCGTGTGCACAGCCAGTGTGTGTCTTTTATTTGTGCATTTGGTGTTTGTCGAGAGGGAGGCTCTTTGTGCAATTTGCTTCTATCTTTCTGACCCTGGATGCAGCATGAAGTGGTAAAAACCTGACAGAAGGTCAGACAGACGCTGATGCCTGAGTGCATGTATAATTTAAAGCCTTTTCCTGCTTTGAAGGATGTTCTTGTGCTGTCACTTTATGCGGCCGAACAGGTGAAGCTATGCCCGATCCGTTTTAGATTTACCTAACATAGTGGCGAATTGTTTGGAGTGAAATGCCCACCCGGTGTTAAGAAATCAGGATATTGCACCTATTCAGATTGATTATTCTGTAAAGATGACAGTATGTCTGCAGTCTTGTTCTGTTGAAAGCTTTCCACCTACTCTGCCCGGACGAATAGAGTAAAATCTCTTCTTTTTATGTTACCACAGAGGAGAATGTCCCCAAATGCCCAGCCCCGTTCCGTCTGTGACGAAAAGCAAAAGCCTGAAGAATAACTCTGTCTGCCTAGGCATTGTTATCACGGCACCATGGGGGACAGTTAGATGGACGACAAAGTGTAAGGTCTTTATCTCCCTGGCAGGCCTTCAATGGACTACATCCCACTGCTTATCAGCCGCACGGTTGTCGCATGAGAGTGGCGAGAATTAAACGCTCTCGCAGATTAAACATCGCCTCCTCGATGTGCACGCCGGAGCCGTCCTCGGAAACGTGAACTGGAAAGACACCGGAAGTTCCAGAACGCAGGCGGCCGGGTTCGTGGCCTCCTGGAAAGTGCGATGGAGGTCAGCGAGCGGCTTCCGGGAAAAGTTGATCGAAGGAAATTTGCCTGAAGGGAGAGCAACATCGATCGCTACAGTAGTGGCAAGATGCTGGATTGTGTTTGTGAGGGACGTGTTAAGCGGAGCCAATATCTGCCGGCTCTGAGACTGCTGCTGACGACGACTGCTCAGTTGTCAGGCGCGATCCACGTCTGTGTGGTTTCAGCGTGGCTTTAGAAAGACGACGGCTTTATTGAGCAGAAACACAGAGGGCCGGGGGCTGCTCATGTCGTTCAGTCTTGTTTAACTCTGATCTCGCATCCTGCTTCATGCCAAAAGTTTACGAAGGGTAACTCTTAGGTTAGGTCTTTGAATTGGATAGTGGTATGAAAAATAATATTTCAACCGTCTGCATCGTGTTTTGCTCCCTTTCCCACTTTCTTTGAAACTCTTTCGGTTCAGCCACCGCCGGCCTCTCTTTGAATTCTAATGCCCTCCTTGATATATTTTCTCCCTGATTTCAATTATGGGAGTAATGGAAAGTACCAAATTTCCCTTCGGGGATGAACAAAGTAATCTATCCATCTATCTATCTATTCCAATTCATGTCTCATTTTCTGCTTGTGAAGGGATTTCCCTGGAGAAGCCTACTCTCTCTTGTATTCCTGCTGCTTTTTCTGTGTCTCCCTGCCGGCAAATGTGTGGTAATGGAGGGGGTTGTTGTGAAATTGCTATTATTTTCAGAATGGAATCTTGAACATTCTGAGGCTTTTAGCTCTCCTGGTGTTTGTGTTCAGATGAGACGGGTTGCACTGAGCTGTTTGAAGTGAGCCCGTCACCGAGTGGGAGACAGGAGCAGGGAAGGGAACGAAAGAGGGGAGAATATCTATTTATTTGTGTCAGTGCATGAGTGAAACAAAGTACACAAAGAAAAGGAAAAAAAAAGAAAGAAAACACAAAGTATCTTCTTTCTCTTTAAGTAAAGGTAACCATGCTTCTGCAGCCCATCACTGAACAGTTTGCTCTGTCGTTGATTCACTTAAGCTGCCCTCTGGACCCTCGGGAACAAATAAAAACAAAAAATCCAGCAAAGCTTTAAAACAGAGCAAGAAAAACACAGTCTGACAGCTGAACGCTGCAGGCTCAAATTAGCCTTGTTGGAGACCACTCTATTGTGAAGGAAAAGCAGGATTTCTATTCGGAACCGCTGGATTGATTAACTATTAATACCACAAACGAGGCCGGTGACACTTTGCTTCGGAAGCGTTCGCCTCTTAGCAGACTTCTCATCCGCATACATCAACATATAACACAGCCTGCCTTTTGAAAGTTGTGCAATGCTGGCGCTCATATATTGCTGACTCTTTCAGATAATCAAAGAGAATGCCAAACGTGATTATCACTGAACTAGTCCCTCAATGCCTGGCTTTCTCTTCCCAGTGATTATTGCCTCAATCCGCTGTGCTGTGGAGAGGAGCAGCCCTGTTCAGATACAGGCTCTCATTTCCTCTGACAGTACTTAACTCTGCAAACAGCACAGCCCGCTCTGGGGGGGGGGTGAGCTGCTTTTGGCTTTCGCCGCTGATCAATACAGCCATAAATTTGCAGAACAAGAAGCCAAGGTCTCGGGGCCGTTTAGTGTTTGAATGTGTTCTGACCGGGTGCGGCCGATGGTCATGATCTGTGTGCTCAAAACCCCCAGGGCGAGGTTAATCTCAGAAAAAAAACACCATACTAGCAAAGTAAATGAGGGAGACTGACTGATAAGTAAGTCATTCTTCTTTCTTAAAGGGTCAGTTTCTGCTCTGTGCAGATTTTTTTGTTTATGTCTGATGAAATGGAAGGAAGTGTCCTCACCTTTGTCTGTTTCATCTTCCTGATCCCTGATGTGAGAGACTGAACAGATTCTAGTTCTCCTTCTGACTGTCACCATCAGCAAGGTGCCATGATGATGTCAAAAATCAGAATATGAGAGAACTCATGTGGTAAATCCTCTGTTTAAAAGCCTTAGGTTTTAATACCTGGTGAGACGGTTTGCCTGAAACCGTTCGCATGAAACACCCTAAAAACATACCATGCTTTATTGCTTCTTTACAACCTAGTTCAGCAGAGACTTGCTATAAAAGATGGACATCAGTCATCTGAAGTCACACCCGTGAGCTAGAGCCCTACAGTAAAACGAATCATTCCTAAAGTCAAATCTCAGTGCTCTTTCGGCTCCATCAACGCGGAGATAGCCCAACGCTAATCTCAAATGATTAAAATGACAGTCCACAAATCAATGGATGAATCTTTCTTATGGTAGCTGTCCGTACACTTAACAAATCGCACACCGGCCGGCGCTGTGCGGGGTCTGACTGATTCTTTTTGCTGGGAGTTTTTCTCCCTGCTGGCCATCACACAGGATTTAGCTTGATGGGGCTTTGCAGTCAAATCATTCTTTAGACCCCCAGGCTACGTCCATCTTTTTCTATATCCCTCAAATGTGGTCAATCTACCACTGTGATCCAAACGGAGATGAAAACCGTTGAACGGTGGATGGATCTCTATCTTTGTGAAAATATTTATCGTCCCTTGAGAATGAATCCATCTCTGTGATAATGTAATGATTTCCATGAAATGCGGAGTGGTCATGTTGCCTTTAGGAGGTCGTCATATGCATCCGTCTGTTTTTCTTTCTTGCTTCATCAGCATTTTACGTGTTCATATATGGTTCAAGCCTGTTTTTTCTTCTCTATTCCAGCAGGAATACCCAGGCTGCGTGCAGCCCCACTGAACTATCATGCTCGCCTGTATCCAGAGACGGCAGAACTTCTCATCGCAGCGTTTGGCCTGCACACCCAAAAGCCTTGATGTCCCACCTCCACCCCTACTGCTGCCGGCACCCCCGCTGCAGCCATGTGCCCACAAAGGTGAGTGAGGGGGTCTGAAAAGACAGAAGGCGAACACCACACGTCCTCCATTTTATCTAAGGAGTAAGCGGCAGGTTTTCCCCACGCTAGTCTTTATCTTCAAAAGGGAATCTTCCCTCTGGCAGCGTCACCAGCCAGCTCTTTTAAAGACGCATAGGCACAGATTTAGCTTTTTGATTTTAAAACAAGACTCTAGACAAGGATGCCTGTTAATTAGGTCTGTAATCAATGCGCTCCTGCCGTGAAAATGTATGTGGGTAAAGTGGACGGCGAAATTACAGGCTTAATCAACTCTCCCACACAGGGTAACTAACGACGCTCACATTCTGTGCTCCGTGTCAGCGCTGTTTGACCTTCATCTTGACTGATTATACTGCCATTGTGGAAAGGTTGGGTGGGTATCTTCAGTCCTGGGATTTGTGATTAGATTTCTTTCAATGAAGTGATTTAAATTTGGCTTGTCAGCAGATGAAGATCGCACCGGGTCAGGCTTTCTTCCCTTTTCCCAACCTCTTTGTTGTCTGTGAAATAATCAAAACGTTATTGTCTTTTCCGACACGATGGCATGTATTCATACATGCGGGATCATTTATATGCATGACCTACACAAAAACAGCAAAAAAGCCTAATTTGCATCAGAGACGTCTGCAGAGAAAGGCAATCCTGCCAATAAATGATCTGTTTGCATGGCTTCCTGGCCCCTTCTCACAGAGGACACAATCTATTAGTGTATAGGTGAAAATGTGACTGTATAACTTTGAGTGTAAGTCTCTTTGGGAACATGGAAAGAGGACAGGACATCGTTATTTTTTGGTGTGTTTAATAACCCTGTAATTATCAGGTTTTCGAACCTTACACCTGCACATTCACACAAGTGTTTCTACTTTATTCTGCATAATTGCACTTCCCGTCTGGTTGAAGTTGAGCGGAGACATGCTGAGAGTTTACTGAGGTCATCTAAACCCATATACTGTAGTTACAAGAGCCATAAAAGCTGTTTTGATCTAACAGGTGCAACAAGTCTCACGGCACAGGCAGGTAGGTGTCTGCAAAGTACCCACAAGATTATTAGCTGCGAACAGCCCAAATGAGCGACAACGCTGCTGTTGTGAAGGACGGTGCAGTTAGTTATTCTTCCCATGTGTGGTTTCTGCTAAACCATGCATATCCAACTGTACAAAAATGTTGATGCTCCATCTACTCATCTCTTTTTTTTTTCCCCAGGCAAAAATACCTCTCTGGTATTAAATATTAATTGAGAATCAGTGGAGCACTTGTCTGCTAAATGTTAGAACAGAAGGGCCTGCTTTGCCTCAGGCAGAACCAGAGATGCATTTCTCATCCTGTTTACCTGCGGGGCCTCCACCCCTCCTCCACCTCCCTTGAGTTTTATGTACTGCGACTGTGCATAGAGCAGCACCCTCCGGCTCTACTCTGACATTTCCAGCCCTGCCCACAGGGAACAGACTCCTGATGGGAGCTCGGTCTGTGTGGTCCGGCCTCGTTCATTAAACGACTCGTCGCTGGATCCAGTTAAATGGGGACGGTCTTTAACAACCGCTGAGCCTTTGAAAGCCATTTCCATTTTTAGCTATCAATAAATGGACATGAGAGCCCTCTCAGCTGCATGAACCCGTGTGAATCATTTCTGAGAAAACCAGCGTTGTGAAGACGGGAGTAAATGAGAGCCGTTCACTTCCCCGCTATCTCGGCATGAAAGCAGGGACTGGGAGTGATTTTTTCCCACGCTGCTGGCCTCTGGTCAGGCCGGCTTTGAGAGGGGAAACTTTGCCCAAGCTGGGCCAAGCGGCACAGAAACAAATGAGGAATGACACTGGTGCAAAGAAGTACTGGCCAGAGCCTCCTCGAGCACACACAACTAAGTGTTCAACCCCGAGGTTACTCTGTTCTTTGAGGACCATTCATGTAGGGGCTGCTGACACGGAGAGAGGGAGGCAAGTGAAAATGAGGTGAATGAGTGTCTGTGTTTTTTAAGTTTTGTGTGTTTGCAGAGGAAGGTCACGAATAGAGAGGCTAGTGTGAGGAGAAACGTAAGAGCACATGCTGTGGTGTCCCAGTACAGTGTGAAACTGAGAAAAAATCACGTGTCGGATGTCTCACTTGGTTTCGCTAAGTATCGGTAGCCAACACTACGAAGAAGCTATTACACACGCAAAGCCAATAGCTCGTGGCTGTGTGTGGAAAAGGGCTTTTCTGGTCTGGTTGACCACTCAATGTGCCCTACATTCATCCATGTGCAGGTCAGCTTCCCTGGACAAGGATGCTGTGACATGTGGGCTTAAGATGGGGATTAAACCACCCACCCTCTGACCGGTGGACAATCAATGCACTTACTTAGCTGCTCTTGCACATTATCTTTTATTCCTCAACAAGGAAAAAATCCTTTTATACAACAAAATACTCCAGATCTGCCTTCTGAAAACATCCGTTTCGTAAAAAGAATTAGAATCAAACGTTAAGTCCCAAAACTAGAGATACCTGAAACAACTCCTCCTTTAGCTCCAACTTGCAAATCTGTTGACACTGTGACCCTGGTTTTGGTTGCCGGCCCTTATTGAATCCCTCCTCTGTCCTTTTAATCTCCGTTCATCGAAAGCTGGGTGTTCCACGATTGAGATTCACCGAAACAATCGTCTGCAGACATAATCACGCAAACGACTGAAAGATGCGCGGCCGAATTTTATTTTCACTTTGCGGCCTGAATTTAGTGGGAGAACTTGGCAGCTGCTAGTTTAGTTGTTTCCTCCAGCTAAGCAGCAGATAGTCGATCGCTGAGGCTCGTCTCAAATGGATGAATGAAGGCAGGACCAATTAATTACATGGTTCTAATGACTGGGCTTATTGGGCCAACTCTGCATGGGAGACGTTGTCATGGTAACAGCGAAATAGGTTTAAAAATGCATTGTGTGTGTGTGTGTGTGTGTGTGTGTGTGTGTGTGTGTGTGTGTGTGTGTGTGCTTAAGCTTGGTCCCTAGTTATTAAGGTAGGCCAGAGTATTTTAAACATGAGGATTATTGGTGTGGTAAACAAGTATTTATGCCTACTGAGAAGCACTGTTCTGTAATTAACTGCCAGTCTTCAGTGCCGTGTTCCCGCTGAGGATTTGACACAGGCAAACAAGTTATCTCACCCAAAGTGTTCGAGATAAGTCTTATAAGTCTTTAGCCTAACATCAAAGACCCGTGGACTTTTTTTTTTTTTTTGGCTGGCAGTTCCGTCATCATGTCTTATCTCATGTTGAAATCTTATCTAGCAGGCACTGTAATTGTGAAAATGCCTAACAGGCATCCTCACTATTGTTATCCTTTTTCTGTTTTCCGTACATCATTCTGCATCTAACTCCTTCCACATACTTAACCGATTCCAAAAAGCAAGGTATCTTAAGTCTGAATGTAGCTGCCATGTCTTTTGGTGTAAAAATCTTTAAAGCTTTTTAAGTGATTGAACTTTTCATTACTTTTTTCTGGGGCGGCATGGTGCTGTGGTGGTTAGCACCGTCGCCTCACAGTGAGAGGGTTCCCGGTTTGGGTCCCCCGGGGGACCGGGACCTTTCTGTGTGGAGTTTGCCGTCCAAAAAACAAGCACGTTTAGTCAACTGGACACTCCAAATTTCCCCCATGAGACTGTGAGCGTGTGTGGTAGTTTGTCTCTGCGTGGGCCTGCGATTGGACTGGGACATGTGATGTTTACATTAATCATTTCACATTTTACTAACTTTTCCTTTGTCATACAAGAACATGGTCAGGTGTTTTCTGATCCCTTCAAATCTTCCTTCTGTCTGTGTCTCTGGTCTACATTTAAGATCAAAGTTCCAAGTGTTACAGTGATTCCTTTGGCCTTTTTTTATGAGAACTTTTCATTTCTGTGTTGAAATGATCTTCACCTGTCACGGCGCAACATTCCCGTTCAGTTGGCTTATACATCACATATCAGCCTCTTCCAATAAGTCAGCAGATCTGCATTCTCGCTGCTGTTCCGTAGGAGAAGCTCTCTCTATAGCTGTTTCCTTATGTTCTCCCCGTGGGGATGAAATGGCTGGAAGCCGCTGTTTTGGAAATCCAATGAGCTTGTCCAACTCCGGCTTCAGCCCTGCCTCTGGGGCTTGTTTTTGCCCATAAATTAGTGATTAACTCAAACTGCTCCAAAACAATGAGGTCTCCGCTCTAATCTGTGGGGGGAAAAATGGCTTCAAGTGTGACCACGGGAAAAAGATTAGCCAGTTTAAAGTGGCAGAAAGCGCTGAGTGGGACTGCGTGTGGGTGGAGTGACGGCTATGTGTACCGCGGCACGATTAGAAAATGTTTACTGCTCATTTCATATTTGTATGCTAATGTATAGAAAATCTCCTACTTCGGATCACAAAGGCACATTTATCATAAATTAGGTTTATTGCGGTGATTCAGGGTTTATAGTTGGGCACCCACTCCCGGCCCTTTCTTTCCCTTCATGCCTCCCTCATGGGAAAAAGGAAATCAGGATTAGGTGTTTCCTGTGAAAGAGTGCCAGTTCTGCTGGGTGCTGTAACAGTTGAGCTCGAGAAGCAGAAACAGAGACGCACGGGTCCGTTTAAATGCATCGGCATTCCGGCTCCATCGCACTTGACCGCCACGCCGCCCGTTTTAAAGACAAATAATAACGGGATCAAGGTTCCCGCTCCTGCGTGGCCTCTCTCAGTCGGCCCTGAGGGAAATGCTAAAAGGTTAGGGGGTGTTCAAGGGCCGCGCCACGGCTTTGGCCAAGGCTGGCGCTCTGTTCCGGGCCGCCTCTGCTGGCTGTCAGCGGCGGGCAGAGAGGCAGCGTGCAGGCAGCAGGTTCAGGGTGATTAAGCGTTTAAGGTCAGACCGCTAATTATCCCCCGCCATTCCTTACCTCACTTCATCCAGCTGCCATTCCCCTGTTGTCATGTGAACAGCCTCCTATTTGTTTTCATTTCTTATCTTTATTTTACAGCGCCGAGCTCCATTGTGTCTACATTGTCTCTCAGAAGAAAAACTTGGAAAACGCGTCTCGAGGAAGTTTGGAGCTGACCGTCCATGGTGTTGAATGATTTTATATTAATGTCTTTGAATGACATGGCTGAGTTTTGCTGATGGATTTAGGGCAGTTTTGTTTTAATTTTCTTTTAAACAGAGGTCAGATCAGAGGCTTCTTCCCTCAAGTTCTTCAGAAAAGGAGAATAAAACCTTTTTCTCAGTAATAGTAAATAGTAAATGTTTGGTAATAGGTATTATCATACATTGATGTTATATTTCAGATAAAAGGTTCTCTTTACAAACATGTTAGCAGGCTAGAAAAGGCTGCGGTAGCCCCTTATCTGCTAATGAGCTCTTGGTCATCAAAACACAGTTGACAGGGTTTACCGTAAGGCTCTTGGTAAATAAGTTCCATCTGCTGACACTTCATTAGTTGTGTAAGTGGACTAAACAAGATGGCTAACTAAGCCCCACACGACCGGGAAAAAATGACACCATTAATATTTAGTTTAATGTTTTCTCCCCTACATCAGATCCTGCTGCATTACATTTGCTAACAGTTAGGAAAATACTGGTATATTTTTTAAGTTTCCATGGGTTTATACTTTTCCTTTCCTATTATGATACCCCGGAGGACGGAGAGTTTCCATATTCTCATGTGCAGTCAGCATTTTATTATATTGTAATAATATGAATCATGATATGTGACAGTCCTGATTAATATTTGACTTCTTAGGCATATAAGCCCCAGGGCCAAATTTTCTTTTTGCTTTTTTCTTTAAGTTATTGATGTAAAGACTGAAATATAACCACTACTTTGAACCAAACCAAACTAAAAACCTCTTTGGACACCTTGCTCATCAGTGAGGAAATGATCCCCACTTTGACGGTCATTGTGACTCATTTGCAACTCTTTGTGAGGTTTGTGTGTCAGAGCGACATGAATTGAATAAATCAGTTGGAACTAAATGTGGGCGTCCAGTTCTCAAACATGTGAACATGGGGAACAATTGACCGAAAGATTGTGCCTTGTGAGAGCATGTAAACATCCCGTGCGGTGCTCAGTTTACCGCAGCATGGTGCTGCAGTTCACTGCCTTTTAACACCCCCGATTGCTTTTAAACCCCTCCGCTCTGAGCTCTGGATGTAATTTCGTACAATTTTAATACTCATCATGCCCATCACAGATGTGACTGCGAGTTGACCCAGAATCGGGGTTTTTTCTGTCAGCGTAGCCTCCGCTGACTCCTGTCTTTATGTTTATACGTGTGGTATGGTGGTGGGGGCCTGGATGATAAATGCTAATACAGAGCTCCTATTTGCTAATGAGGTTTCCATGGTGCCACACTGAGGCAGCCACAGTGGGAAGTGCAGCTGTGTTGTGTCTCCATAGCTCTGACAGGGCTGTAATCTGTGGACTAACAATATCAGGCACCCTGTGAAGATGTGTTAGCATTCAAAGTGTTTGAAGTGTTTGCGAAACAGAAAGCCACTCACACCACGCGGGGCTCGGCGTTCACATTTTTTACCCACCAAGAAATAGCTAGAAACGCCACCTTTTGATTTGTTTTTTTTTGCCAAATGATCTGCCGTTGGTAACTGTTGAAATCTAACACCAGGCAGGAAAGACGGGCACCAGTCCTGGCGTGTGGCGACGCAGAGACTCATTACATTTTTAAAATGTGTCATCGCTTCTAGTCATTTAAGCTCCTTTCAGGTGGCTACGATCCTTTCCCTTCTTATCTTTACGGTCATGAATAATACATTTTCAGCCAAAAGCCAGAAATTGTTATTGCAGCTGGCTTTTTCCTGTTACCTCTTTCTTCCCATGTAGGATTATGGGAAAGCAGAGAAGAGCAAGCTCACATGTATACAGTACAAACACCTCTCCAACATCCCAGATGTCAGTGTTTTTCTATCGCAGTACTATGCTGTGATAAATAATAAGCAGTGTTTTGCTTTGTTGTATTTCTCTGCAGAATTCATTCATGCTCCTGGCGCCACGGTGCTCGTTCTTTCTGCTCCATTGGGAGATTGTTGGATGAATTGAACCCTCCAACTTACTACTTTCCTCCATTTTAAACACCCAATTTATTTCTTTCACAAGGTGGATCTTGTAGATTGACTCATTTTCACAGTCGGGAGGCTCACTGTAGGCCTGAAATGAAATGTACTCCCAAATCAATTTCAAATGGGAACAACAAGCAAGCGCTCCCCTGCATCGCTGAAATTGGTTTGGTTATTGAAAATGAAATGAAGTGTTTTGTTTTTAGCTTTTATTTTTGCCCTTTATTGCAGATTACAGCTTTGTTCTTTTGCCTGCTGTGCTTCCCGCCGACTCACAGCATGACACGGTTTAATTTCAGTGGCCTTTTGTTTTTTTCCCTCAGAAAATTCCATAAAAGTGCCACTCGAAGAAGTGGTGGTAATTTCTACCAGGTGATTTATTGTTTTTTCCAAATAAGGCACCTAGGCCACCTTTTTCTCGCAGGACTTAAGCAGCCATGAAATAGCCTGAATAACAGTGCTTAAATCCAATCTTGTCCTGTCTGCTTTCCAGCGCACATTTCAATCAGCGCTGCTCCTGATGATCCTTCTTTTTCCATCAGCGCCAGCTCGCGCTGTACAGCATGCGCTCCAGGCTTTTACAGTAGATTCGGTCCAAGACTCTAAGAGCATTAAGTAAAACGAAATTCCATTAGCCAGACCTGGTGATGCTCAGGCGATTATGGATGTCAAGGTTCAGGCCAATCGCAGAAACGTTTTAAAGTAATAGCGAAGAATGAGACCGGGGCCTCGTATTCTGCCGACCTCACCCAGTCAGGGAAAACCGGGCTTTTTCGGGGGGAGGAGCCTTTAAGAAATGAAAGAGGCAAATGCAGCGTGTTTCAGGGAGATGGTGAGGATTATGCAGAACTTTCCGGTGTGAGGGGAAAAATGCAGCGTTTACAGGATGTCACAGCGTGACAAGCTATTCCTCTGAATAAACAAACCAAGCCAAAAACCCTCCGCAGCTTTAAGTGGGCTAATGACCAGGTTCATTTCAGTTGTCAAGGTTAGCTTAATTAAGGCAAAAAGTAGCTCCAGGCTATTTTTTAAACATGACAGGAGCTGAACTCGTCTCTGCAGATATTCTAATTCACAGCTAAACACTCCATTTACCAAACTGTCTACTCCATGGATGAACTAATTCTTAGTTGTAATAATAATTTGATAAAAACTGACTGATGTAAACAGGTTTATAAACAAAATGCTCTGCTTGACTTGACGTGTTCTGATTGCCATTTCTCCCTGCTTTCTTCTCAGGAGAGCTGGCCTCCGTGATTTCTCGGTATCCGTCTCCCGCGGAGTTGGACGCTTTTGCACAGAAAACCGCCAGCAGCCCCCTGTCCATCAAAATCTTCCCCTCCGACGTGCGCGTGCCACAGCACAAGCAGCTGAGCAAGACCGTCAACGGCCTGGACACCACGGGCCAGCGCTACAGCCCCTACTCGCACCCGCACTCCGGAGGCTACCGGGGCCTACTGGCCATCGGGAAAGCCTCCGCGGTGGTCAAAGGCGTGGTGAAAACGTCCGAGGGCAGGAGGACTAAACAGGCAAACTCCCAGGCCTCCGTGGCGCCGTACAATAATCCGGCGAACGCCGGCTACAGCGTCAGACACGGGCACAAGGCCTATCCCATAAGCTCCTGTAAACCCCCGGAGGTGCCCGTGGAAACTCTTTGTTCTACTGCAGGAATGGCCCCGGGAGGCCAGAGCCTGGCCCCCCAGCCGGAGCTGGCGGGGGTTCAGGGCCTGATGAGGCGGATGAGCAGGGTCCCCCACAGCCAGGCCCCGCAGCGGGGCGGGGAGGCCGGCGCCAGCCCCTCGCTGCAGGCCGCCGCCGCCGCCGTGCCGCATTCCGACTCGGACTTCGTCCTGGGGGTGCCCCCGCAGAGCAGCCTGGCCTACGCGGGCGCCCTGCCGCCGGCCCCGGGCGCCGACGCGGCCAAGGCCGGGTACCTGGAGCGGGGAGAGTACGCGCCGTGGCAGCACGAGGCCCCCGTGCCGCCGCCGCCGCCGCAGGCTTATCAGCAGGGAGCGCTGAGGCTGTACGCTCAGGGGCGCCGGGCGCCGGAGGCCCTGCCGTTCGGCCGGCCCCCCGGGGGCGCGGGCGCCGTCCGGGACGGGGCGGGCGGCCCCTCCCTGGCGGCGGGACGCTACTTCGCGCCGCTGTGGGACGAGCCCAGCGGCGAGGGCTACTCCTCGCAGCCCGGAGAACACCCCCACTTCCACCCAGGCCGCCATCAGCACAGCCATCAGCAGCTCCACCCCCCCCTCCCCCACGCCCGGGCCTACGGCGCCGAGCCCCACCCGTGCTGCGCGCCGCCCGGCTTCAGCCTGTGCCACGCGGCGGCGCTCAGCAGCAGCCTGCAGTCTCTGGAGTGCCTCATCAACGACATCCACCCCCCCTGCATCAAAGAGCGCATGCTGGGCCGCGGATACCAAGCCATGGGGATGCCTCAGCAGCCCGAGCACCAGCAGCCTACCCACATCCAGCTCCCCGTCTACAGATAAGACCGAGCCTGCCACGCAGCGGGACAGAGGAGGGGCGAAACTTTTTTATAGACGACGGAAGAGAGTCACCGAAGACACGCGTGGGAAAGACATGCCTTTTTAGTTGGTGCATGTATTTGTAATCTTTGTGTTCGTTAATGCCCGGAAAAGGTAAATGATAATCATTCTTAGAGTACAGGTACAGGTTTATGATGTGGAGCGCTCAATGTTTTATTTTTCTTTAAATAAAGGGCCGTTAAAACACGACTGCTGTGGTTGATTTTAACGCTGAAGCTGAGCACCGGATCACGCGTGCGTTTGCATTTTCACCAGATGTTACATTAGACCTTTTGTTTTGGTTTAGCTTTTTATTTTCGTAGGCCTTTACAGAGATGGGGCCAACCACGGACACCCATCCTTATATCTAAAAAAAGGTCTTGGGTAACATTATTTGTGTGCACCTCTTGTATATTTTTACTCAAATCTGTTGAGTGGGGACATATCTTGCTTACATGAACTTTTTCTTTGTCAGCTGCTTTGTGAATTTTTTGTTGTAACCACCTCTTATTGACTTATTGACAAGTGCAGCTTGTCCTTTACGATTCAACGGTCACGGCCACTCTTAGGGTGAAATATTGCATTTAAATGTGAATATCTTTTTTTCTTCTTCTCACATACAGTTATACTTTCAAACCAAGTGGTGTAATGTAACATGTCCACTGGTTTAATCTAATCGTGCTCAGCTTGTTGAGGCTCTGGCATATCAAAATCAGCACTGTGGCATTCAGGCCACACAAGGTGTGACCTGCAGTTGTCATTTTAACTTGGTTTTTTTTCATCCTCAAAAGGTTGTGTGGATATTTTTTCTTGAATGAAGCAGTTTTTCCTCTTGAAGTTGACTGTTTTATCAGAACACTTGGCTGATGGAGGGCCATGTTGGAGAGCAGGCTGCCTGAATCATTTAGTGTCTTCTTTGTAGGGCTATATTATCTCTGATGGGTTGAGATGGGTGATTGAGTAGTTCTTTGTGTGTCTGCAGTGGTTCTGTAATACTATTTATTTATGTCAGCCTGGTGAATTATGTGGCAATCTGTTTCTATAATTATAAAGTGCAATTATTATATATGAGCATGTGAGCTCTCTCCATGAATTATGTTGATGAAATAACTGCTTTTTGCAGCGTATGACCCTAATCCTTCATCCTTTTTTGTCTCCTCTTAATAAAGATTGTCAAGTAAATTAAATTTTCTAAACCCAGCAAATACTGTGTTATTACACATCCAGATTTATTATGCGGTACATTTGCAGGCTCCTTATTTCCATGGATGATAAGCTAGTTGTTGAAAGATGAGACTCTTTTCCCCCTTTTTCTTTTTTTTAATCTTTGGATTTCAACACTCAAGCCCTCCCCCCAAACACACATTTTCATCATTTTTACATACATGCACATTTTCACTGAAGTACTCCAGCTCTGTAATGTGATGTCAGTCAATTCTTGGCTGAACACACTGGACTTGTTCCTTTATAAACGATGCAAGCTGAACGTGCTAATTTTCTTATCGCTGAATGATGTTAGACCGGATGGATGGGCTGTGCTGGAGGCAGGAGCCTTTCAATACTCCAAAATACATATGCAAATGAACGTGTGCAACCCCCGCCTTGAGATATTACATTTTGATATGAAAAATGCTTAAGAATGATGGCGTTCACATTATTTAGAATTGGAGTGACCGTTACCCCACTGCTGAATCGCTAATCGTCGGTGCTGTGTTTGACTGCTCTCCTCCTTTTGCCTCATTTGTCCTCCTAAATTGGATGTTATAGAAGCACCTAACTTGGATCGCATAAAATGCGCAGCCAGTTTAAGTAGCCTATTATAAGACAAATTATGCAAATGATGCAAGTAATGCATTAGGCACACCGTTTGGGAGTAGGATCGAAACCCCGACAGATGACCTCATTTCAGATAGCAAATACGGCCCAGTTAAAGGTCACTTGGTTTGTCATTGAGGTGTTGTTGTAAATGACTTGCAGCCTTTCCCCTCTTATGTTCTGGCTGTGTTTTTTATCCTATCAGGCATGACTGTTGATAAACCTGCAGGATTACAGACATATTCCTCTTGCTCAGGGACGATTAGCTCAGGCTCCTCTGGGAGAGGAACCAGAGCCGCTGCGGCCTCTGGGACACACTTCAGATAACCAGAGAGTGGGCAGAGGCGGAGGATGGCTGATGTGCAGCACTAAGATACATGTGAAAGGCACACATCCCTTTGATCTACTTCTCTTTGGAGAAATTAGAGAAAAACGAAAACAGCAATTAGCCTTAAATGTTCCAGAATGGCTCATCCGTCACGGGATTTTTTTTTTTTTTTACAAGAATTAGATTAAATAGAAAATAAAAGAAGCTCTTGAAGATGTCAAAAGCTGTACTTGTAATAAAATTCTAGGTAAATTCAAACAATCAGTACACATAGTTTGAAATATTCCATGAAAGGATAGCACCATTGACTTGTAGACAAAAAAAAATCGCATGCTGCCACCTGGTGTCAGATCCTGGAACTGAATTTAATTTAATTTCTTTTGCCTCACATGGAAAACTCGAATTTGAACAGAAATGATTCAGCCTATACAGCCATACTTTACCATTGAGCCGTGATTTATAAAATATGGCTCTAATTAATGCATTAAGAAATTATTAACTGTCTTTTTTAAATGAAGCACAACTTCACCCAACTTTCTACTAACATAAAGTCCAAATGAGTAAAACACACCTGAGGGAAAAATGGACACCAAAGGAAGAACTGCATACATAAAAACCTCAAATTTGCTTTGAGGATTTTCTGCCTTCAATCAGCCGCACCAAGGCACAATGTGGATTCAAGATAAATATGTTATTTTTTAAGAAAAGAGTAGTTATATAGTAAACGACTCCATAGGCAAAGTAAACAACAGAGATAGCTGCAGCTGTCAGGAAGCAGAGATGGTCCAAATGTAAGAAAACAACAGGAATCTCGTCCAGTGATAACAGCTTTACAATCTTATACTTCATGATATAAGAGGGTAAAGTCCACTCTAAAAGTCATAAAGTCCCCCCAACATCCACAAATACATCGTCCTGGCTAAGAGTGGGAGAATGTTACTTTAACAATTCTGCGCTTATTTGAAGTTAAATAAAACATAATTAATATGATTTCTTTAGATTTAAGGCATTAGCATCATTTTAAGATCTGACGTACAAATATAATATTTAGTAAGGCATAATCAAAGTAATAAATACCACACAGAGGAAAAAAATGAATCAGTCAAGTTAAAAACACCTTTTAAAAAAACTGGACAGGTGCAGCAACTCAGTGGATTGATTCCTGCAACACTGGTCCAGTTTTGGTATGACGTCAAACTGTGTAATCCAGCTCTGCGTTCAGATCTGTGTACATCTCATAGATGGCGTCCACAGTGGCAGTGTAATTTACCAGGAAGTGACGTACGTTTGCCAGACAGTCCTCCTCTTTCACTTCCTCTCCTTTAGACAGAGCTTTGAGGAAGTTTGATCTGTAGGGGGCTGCGATCAACGCCGCCTGCAAGAGACCCAGGTACACAAGACTGAGTGGACGGAAATAAAATCTACAACTTAAAATGACCAATGAATAATGATTAATAAAGAGTAAGCTATTTGGCTAAAAATGGGCACATCATTGGAAACATGAGTAAAATCAACCTTTTAAGCATATTCATATTGAAAACAATGGTAGCCAAAATCAGCCTCCTGAGAATTTTATGAGAAAATGTAACAAACTGAAATTATTAGCTCTCAAACTGCACTTGAACCCTGTTTGAGTTGAATAGATCTTTCATCATGGAACCAAACATTCAGGCACATGCAACCTTGGTGAGGGGAAGGAGGTCAAGGAAAGAGATTAGATTAACACTTAAAAGGGTAAAATGAAAAAAACTCTGTGCCAGTGGGGGTTTAGGGCACTGTAGGGTCGTCATGAAGGGCGATGACCCTGATGTGCACACCTAGGTTTGCCCAGAGGTTGTCGTGGAACAGGAGACCAAGGTTCAAGAATGGTCCTCTTAAAATCAAGAGCCTCAACAGCTACAGGTTAGAAATACTGCTTAAAAACGATGTAACTCAGATGAAGGTGAAAGTGAGCAAACAGAGACACGTGTCAATGTGTACAAAACTACAGGCATATAGACATAGAATCCTGTCTTTGCCAGTTAAGTAATTATCATGGAAATGTACTGATTCAACCTGTGCATTTTTTTCTTACGTTGAAAACCTTTTGGACAATCCAGCCATGGTACTTCTTCAGCGCTTGTTCATAGGCTTTGGTGACATTGACCTTTATCAGGTTGGGGTTATGCTCGTCTCTTTCTCCATCCGCCAAACTCTGTAGCAGCACCTGTATGAAACGGAGACCCCTGCAGAAAAAAAGAGCCGGCGTTCAGAAAACCCACGCTTGTCTGCTTCCCGCCAGAGGGTGAACATGACGTAACGGTCCCCCACGACCACTCACCTCTTCAGCCACATCAGTGCTAACGTGGCTCCAACTTTGGGCCATTCTGCCCCGTTGGCTTCTCGCTCGGCCTCCAGAATGTTCTGCAAGGTGGTGTACTTTTCCGGGTCCTTCAGATAAACTGCTCTTATTTTCTGAAGTGAGGGAGGGGGGGGAAAAGTCCCAAATTTGCTTTGTTTTTTTCCTGAACCAGCTGGCATTTACGTCCACAACAGTTGTATGAAAATACAGCAGTGGTCCAGCAGAGGCGTACAAAGGCAGAGACAGATCAGTATCTTACCGTTATATTGCCATTAATGTCTGATTTGATGACTGAAAATACTTTTGATCCCAAGCAGTCTGCAAGAGAAAAGGACATTTGAGAGCAAAGCCATAAAATATAAATGACCTGATAGAATGAGCCTCTCTCCCTCTGAGAGGAGGGTGAGTGAGAGTCGACCGTAACGAACAGAAAAGGCAAAATGCAGTGAATGCATAGTCCCCCTTTAGGTCACGATGGGGTCAGCGCGAGCCCCGTTCAGTGTGTAAACAAAGAGTTTGTGTGTGAGCGAAAACGACCCCAGCTGGAGCAGAACACCCCCCCGTTCCGCGACCCGGCAGCCCCCGTTGCCGCTAGGGCGCGAACCCCGCCACGTAGTTTCCGAAAGGAACTTTCACGTCCACGGACTAAAACATAAGCGGAGAAAGGGGTCTGCCGAGCGCGAGCCGTGTCTCGGTTCTCAGCGGGTCACCTGACGCGCGTCCCGGGCTCAGGTGGAGCGGTACTCACCGAAGAAGGGAGGGAGGTGAGAGACGTTTTCCAGGAACGTCTTCGTGTTTACAGACTTGTCGGGGGCAAGTTCTTGGAACTGGTTGTCCAATAAAAGAGACATGGTCCCGTGTCGCAGACGCCCGGCTGAAGCAGGAGGAGCGGCAGCTCTCGGCTGAGAAGAACCCGGAACTGGGATCTTGTCGGATGGGAGGGGAAGCGCCGCGAGCCCCCTATCGCGCGCGTGCGTTTCGAAACAGGTGGGAAATGATTCACAGGCGTGCCGAGGCCGCCCCATGTCACACAGAGGAGCGAAGCAAGACAGAGGCCAGGCTGAGGTATTAACGATTGTGTATTTTGTTTTCATAAAGCAGAGATTGTTTTCAACCACAGTGGCAGCAGTGAGCTATAACTTACAGGGCATTCAGTCAGGTTTGACACCAGGGAGGAGGAAACGGAATTAGCACTCTTGTGATCATCTACAGCTGTTTTTTTATTAGAAGAAAAAAAATGTAACAAATGTATTAACCTGATGACAGGATCCAAATGTCAATCGATCCTCTCAGGATGTCTATATACCTTTATTTTCCATTTTTATTTGGGAAATCAGCCTTAAACTCTTTGTTTTGAATAGTTTTCAGATTTGCATTTCAAATGGAGGAAGAGTATTTACTGTAAATTCATACAGTCCATCTGGGTTCAGATTGAAAGCGTGATATGAGCAACTGTCCATAACACAGTCTACACAATGCTTTCAGTGAAATTAAAAAGAAAAATCTCGACATTTCTGGAACTCACAAAGCATGTGTATCATTTCCATTATTTGGTTTCAAGTCAACCAAACGCACATTCAAAATTTAAATTAGGTTACTTTTTTCTTTATTTTCACAATTTATTTTATTCTTATAACACTGACCATGTCATTTGGTAATAACATGGTAAGTATTATGCACATCTAACCCAGCTTTACCTAACTGGTACTTTTGAACCCAAATCATCTGATCAGAAATCAAAATGACTGAATCATTCATGTTGACACGGTCTTCTAAAAAGGCATGTTTTAATCATCATTTTGACAGTTTATTTCAACCAGAGTTCCGTCGATTCGCAGCCAATTCTCTTTCCACCTCTGGTTCAAACCTCTCCGGCTCACAACAATGACCTACAACACTGAGGGCAGAGCTACTCTTATCACTGGCTGTAGACCACGGCGGTACATTTTTGACCACAGGAAGCATGTAAAAACACTGGAGTTACAGCACCACAACAAATACACAGAGATCACCAGTTGTCCGTAGCTAACTGCCAGCTGAGACGTCCCAAACCCCAGAACAAACGTTAGCCTGCGAGGAGCACTGTGCCGAACAAAAGCTTACGAAAATATACACAGATATTTTCCTGGAGGTAAGACATACAGTTTATAAATAGAATAGCATTTGGATTATTCTGATAAAGAATTGCATGGATACATACATTTTACATATTTGCATAATGCTTTTAGATTTGATTCAAAGTGAATTTCACGCAGGCCATTTAGACCACATATGTGAGCAACTTTGCTCACTCATACATATCTGAACACACCTGCAAGCACACATACACACGCGCACGCACACACACACACACACACACTGTAACTATGGCTGTAACATCATAACTACATGAACTACAGATATGTTACCTATGACCATATCTTCAAACTGTGAAAGGACAGAACTGTAAAAATCACCTGCTGGATGGAATGAAACGCACACTCCTGTAGGCCTGACATGGCACGTATCACACTGAAGCTGCTTGTATGATAGCTGGCTCGCTTAGCAAGAATGTGGACATTAACCAAGCTGCATCACAACAATTTAAGATACAATACTGTCTTTAAAAACAATTCAAATAAACCAACATCAGAGCAGAGGCCGATCTGTGGAGATTCTCTTGAGGTTTTTGGCTGGAGTGCTCAACCACGACCTCAGGGAGCACAACCGATGGCCTATGGTGTCCACTACAGTACCCAGGAGAAAAACTAAGTCTAAAAAGTTCAGTTAAAGTGCTTGTTGTTCTAACTGTGTTATAATTACACACACACAACACTGCACTGCAGGAAATGGAGTGGTTTGGATTTGTTTTCTCCTAAATCTTTTATGAAGTTCCTATTCATATCTACATAAAAGTCGGAAAAAAACAACAAAACAAAAACAGAACAAACAGGGAAAAAAAGAGATTGATCCATATATTTGAACGGAATCTTTTGAAAAAGATTTTCCCAACTCAAGGAATGTGTGTAAAATGCTTTACAATGATTACTATCAGAAAACAAAGAAATCAAACACTGATTAAGATAAAAACATGATATTAAAACCATATAGATGGTGTGTCCAAAATGTCTTTGGGTTTCACTCAGTTGTTGTTTTCTTTGGTTGTCACAGTAACCAGTTGCTTGGCAGCTTTGGCAATGTCATAGGCGCACTGAATGACCTGCTGAGTGACCAGCTGGATATCTGGTGGGCAAGGATTGTGCTCTGCTGCTTTCTGGCATTCTCCGTGGAGCCGGCTGGCACTGGAGGTCAGCAAATACAGAGAACTCCGTACTGTTTCAGAGGACGGCCTCTGTTGGAGGGAAGAGGAGAGATGGTGAAACCCGATAAAGGCACCAAGACAGCAGCACTCAGAAATATAGATTCATTGGTCAGTGGGCACACACTGGATGTGAGCCAGCACAAACAGAACAAAGTAATCCTGTAAATGCACAGCTACAACATCTAATAAGCAAGACCAGCCATTTTAGATTGCCCTTAGGTTGTTTTTTAGTCGAGGGATGGAACCCGAGCTGCTTACCTTTGGAAACAGAGCAGCCATCTCTGTCACGGCCATGCAGATCTTTTCAGAGCAAGGCAGAAAGCTGCGGGAGACGGAGACAAAATACAGAACGGTTAGTGAACTTCTCCTTTTGAGGTGCCATTATTACCTCCGAAAATGTTGCAAAAAAGATAAATAGAGAGGTAATACTTCCACAAACAAGGCGTTTGCTGTTTCATAATGAATTTCAGACTGACGCCCCTCTGGCATTAAAAAGGGTTCTCTTTTTATGTATTATATACATATTTATATATGTATAATCGAAACAACTTCCCATTTGGAACAGCGTGTTTCATTTCTCCAACACTGCAGGGTACTGGAGCTGCTCTGCTGGGTGTTAGACTACACAAAACTTGATGTTGCGAAATAAACAGCCTTCATTAGTCAAGGACCTTGGTCAAGGACACCCAGACACTAAGAAAAATGAATAAATGTCAAAGCTATTAGCCTGAAGCAGGATTATCTGACGTAAATGACCTTACAGAGCAAAACGTGTTGTTCACAGCATCTTGTTAACACCTAGTTTTATCAGCTTCTCTCTAGGTCATGGTAGTTTCACATACAATTCCTTATACCTCGTCTTAAGGTGGAATTAGTAGGGCTGCTGACCTTTTTTTAAATGATAACACAGGATTTAGAAGCACCATGAATATTACGGTTGATAGCCAGTTAATGTCAGTGTTGTTATATTTTCAAACAGTTATATAGATAAAGGAAATAATTTCTTACTTCATGAAAAAAGGAAATGAAAAATATAGAACTAGTGTGAGACTTTAAAAACACGGCAGACAAATCACTGGGTCAGAGGGGAATCTGGGACCCTGTGGCGCTTGTTTCCTGTCAGCTGCGTTAACCCCATCAAGAACTACCCCCAAAAGACACGTGGGTTCTGGGACACAGGAACAGACACTAGTCACTATTGGTATTTAAGACTGGAGTGGAGCTGCTTTTCAACTAAACCTGACTGATGCATCCACCTTAAAACTCTGGTGTTTACTGATTAGTCTGGCAGCATCCTGTGCTCAGAGGACAGCTGCTAAAAACATCTGGTCTAGAATCAGCAGACATTTGAAAGGCCAGACAGAAACACTGATATTAAGAGCACAACCGGAGGTTTTCAGCAATTCAGCATGAAAACAAATGCATTTTGTTGGTTTAAAATTGAGCCCAACACTGGAGGACTGAATACATGCTGTACCTCTCATGTTTGGTCTCCTGCGCTGCTCTCAGAAGCTCCTGAATGTTCTTAGTGATCTGCTCCGTCTTACAGATGACATCCTCAGTGCAAGGCAGATTTGCATTTCCTTCACCGTCCTCCTCTGTTTCCGCAGCTTCAGACGCTGAGAAAGGGCTTCTAGGATGGGAAAAATCATAAGTTGTTTTTCATACGGCTACCGTTTAAAAGGCAATACATTCTTTGTGTGGAAACCAAGAGTCAGCTGACTGGCAAGAATTGGTAGTGAGTCCTTGTTGTCAGTCTGTTTCTCAGTGCACAAACATTTAGCGGTAAAACAGGCATTACCCAGTTTCCTCCAGCTCAGAGTGGTTTGGTGTGGTGTCGTAGTCATTCTCCAGCATGGGGCTGTGTCCTCCCAGACTGCAGCCCTATGGGGATATCGGGGCACATCAAACGCTGAACGCACAAAGCATGTGATCACCCAACGCTTATCGGAGAAAACGCAAGAAGATTTTAATCAGAAACATGCAGGTCCAACTCAGACGTTTCATTTCCCATTAAATGCAAAAGAAAAAAGTAGGCCGTGGGATAAAACGTTTGGAGTGCAATGGCTGTGATTAGTAAATGCAAAGAAACTGGTTGTTCTGCCATCAGCGACCATGACTAATAAGCAGCACATTGTAATGAGCCATTCAACTTTTTTTGGACACGGCTGCAGCCTGGTCAGTCAAACAGCTTTCGGTGCAACGTTTCATCATCAGTTCATATGTTTGCTGGACAGAAGCCGGGGTTTTGGTTTAGCTCTCTGAACTGTAGCGGGGGCACTGTGGGGCATGCATGCAGGCAGGCAGTACTGATAAAAAAGCAGTTCAAGGACACAGGTCAGGAGAGAGAAGGCTGTGGGGTGAAGCAGGAGGACACTTTTCACCGTCCCCTGGCTTCCTCTGAGCCGAGGGGACTTTCAGTACTTAACCCTTCGAGATCTCTCATCCCACGACCAGGACAGGGGAGAGGGGAAGGTAGGGAGGGAGGAGGCAGCTGTCCCCAAAGGACCCCTACCAATCTAGAAAGGGGTCAAACTGAGTTGAGCATACTCTGCTGAGGTGCAGTAAAAGACTGAATGAATAAACCAAAAATGAACGCCAGCCCCGAGCCAGGCACCGTCAATCGTGAGCATGAGCACTGAAGGCTCCGCGCTTACATTGGTAGGGAAGGGTTGTAAAACGACTCCGTCGTCATGGCGAGCTGTTTCCACTCGGTGGGAGAGCTGCCTGGGTGTAGAGCCCGTCTCGTACATGGACATGGCGCGACCTCCCCGGGCTGGATGCCGGCCTAAGGGCCCCTGGGGGTGCGGTTGTCCGCTGGGGGTTTGCCATTTCAGTGTCGTGTTTTCAGTCTGCAGGGAGCTCAGCTGTGGACAACAAAACATCTTTCAGCCCCCAGCAGACAACATAGGAGCCTCCAGGTGAAAGGGGACTTCCTCCCAGTTCTGTTTTTGCTATGTTCTCACGACAAAAGAAATGCTGACAGCGTTTGTTGACAGAAACTCAAAGTGCCAGAACCTGCCACTAAGTTGCTTGCCCTTATTTACACACAAAAAGGGTGAGAAAAACAAGCCTGTCCTGTTTTCTGTGCAGGGTTTAGAAAACTGCTTTATTCAACTGATCATCATGAGCTAAAAACAGTGGAATTCAGGAACATACATGGTATGCATCATCTCGGACAGTAACCTTTAAAAACAGCATCAATGGGAAAGGAAGTCAGTGCTTTAGTTCACCATTCGGTCCCTTAATATATTGGTTTGACAAAACAATACTAGGGGTTTGTTGGCTATGTCTTTGTTGAAAACAAAATGGTAATAGGGTCAATAAACCAGCAGGAGGAGACTGTTCACTGTAGTAATAATTAGCGTGGAAGTAAAGACTATTCTGTGGAGAAATGAGAGTCATTCAGAAACCAAAGTGTTGCATGTCTGAAGTACCCACAAAGTCTTTTACATATATTTGATTAGGTGTGTATTCTGGATGAAAACCCTCAAATATTGGACTAATAACAGAGTTCACACACAAGAACTAATGATACCAAAATCTCCTGGTCTTATATATGGTTAGATTTATTCTAGGTTTTGCTTTTACAACAGCCACACTGATACTTTGAATTTCTGTGGACAGTGTCTGTTATTTGTTCATTAGTATTACAGTTCAGTCACTGAGTGTTATTGTGTGCTGACCGTAAAAATCATGTTTCAATTTCAATCAATTGCATCTTTTGTGGTTGCGTGAACTTTCTCATGTCTTCTGCACTGCTAATATCCCCATATGTGGAGGTAATAATATAATAAATACTGTTTGAAGCATTATTTAATTATAACACAAGTTAACATGCATCACCATGTCATCAGATGACTGGTAGAGGCATCTGAGGGTTTCCCAGACATGACTAATCAAATTAAATGAGTAAAGGCACTGTTGCTGGGGACACTATGGAGTCAAGCAGCCAAAGTGGGATTCTACTGCCACTGAATGAACAGTAAATAAGGACCCTTTCACCAAAAAATGCTGAGAAAGCAGAGGGATAGGTTAAAAAAAAAAAAGAAAATTAAAAAAGGAGGAATTAAAAAAATCATCAACAACAGGGTCTTTGTATTTTCCTGAATAACCCTGATTATGTTTCAGGACACAGAACGCTGCTGAGCTGAGCCGAGCCACAACAGCATTGGGATGTTGATAGGAACCTTAACAGAGGGAGATTTTCACCAGTAAGAAAAAAAAAAAAAAAAATCAAGCATCCAGTCAGTAGCTTCTCTGTTGGGGTGAATACTGCATTAGTCATCTCAGTGAGCACAGATTACTGCTCCACTGGTCGCTTTGGCTCATGATAATCATCCAGTCTGTGCTCTGTTGGACAACTACTGCTTCTGACATCTGACTTGGACCTCTACTTGAATCTTCACACAGGAAAAAGCCTGAGAACTAACTGATATTTTCTAGAATTTATATAGAGGAGGTCACTTCCTGATAACCAGCACACTGAAGGGAGTGGGACTTTTTTTTTCTTAAATTATTTTACAAGTCCTTTTGCGACTCTGGGACACTGCATGTGTGCATTTCAATACATATAACAGCAAGGGCACGGCAAAAGGTTAAAAAAGGATGTCAATTTGGGTCTTCTGTTTTAACGATGACATAAAAATGATGATTTCCTTCATTTCTCTGATGTTAGAAGTACCAAGAGTTTATCCATAAAGTCCAAATCAGCCAGCAGTGTGTTTATTTAGTTTAACAAAGATAAGATAAGTTTCTCCAGCAGAGTTTGTTTGCAACCATGATCGCACCTGTGGTTACAGCGTCACCTCAGTTTGGGGCTCATTGTTAGCTCCGTTTTCTGAACAATAAGCCATAAAAATGCTTCGAAAAATATTTTGTTATTTTTATGTTGAGATCAGTAAGAGTAATAAGACAATAGTAGAAGATAAGCACACTGTGAAATATAATGTAGTTGTCTGGTACACAGACAGATTGAAAGGAGAAATAAAAGAGCATTTTATCAGCGTCTAAGTGTTTTACTAATAAAACTAATGCAACCAAATCCATACCCATTAGAGCATTAATACAATGAGTCAAACCGCGGTGACCTTTAATTGTGATTATCTTTGAATAAATGATTAAATAATGATAATGTGTGGTGCTCATTACTGCAATTACTGTTAATCACCATGGGTTAGGTTAGGGGCTGGGCTAACTAACCTTGGTCTGCATTAGTCGCAGCTCTTCGCTGAGATGGCAGTTGACTTTGAGAAGCTGTTGTATTTTGGCTTCGGATGCAGTCAGGGCACTCTTCACCTCCATGAATTCCTGAACTGTGATTGGGCCATCAGACAGGTCTGAAGACTCTGAGCTCTGATGACCAAAGCAGATGAACAGGGTGAACAGGGGCAATATGAAAACTATGCCGAAATCTGGGAGAAAGATCTGTTCCCCTAAAGTGTTACCTTGGTTCTTCCATCGTTGCAGCTGTCCCCACATATGGCCTCTTGCATTGGGTCTTCATCCGATGCCACGCTGTCGTAATCTGGCTGGTCGTTGTCCTGGCTCTCGCTGTTGTGGCGACTGTTTATTCCCTGAAGGATCAGCTCCACATTCTCTGTTGGCACAAGACCAACGGAGCAGAGATCAAATATGACCGTAGCAACAGAGAGAGGCTCAGGTCAAAATGTTAGTCGGCAAATATTTTTCTTCTCGTGGATCCAAAATTCAACAGTTTCCACTGTTTCTGATACATACAGACACTCAGATCACAATTTGATTTGCTATTAGATGAAGGAAGCATGGTTTCCCATGATCAAACCAAATACGCCCTTTCTGCCTTTAGTTTCCAGCTACTCTCACACAGTAAGAATCATTTTTGCACTGCAACAATTCAGACTTTCTGTGTCTCCTTTACTGCAACAAAGATCAGTTTCCTCTTTATTTAGATGAAAACTTTAACTAAAGGGTAACTGACAAAAAAATACAATAAATAAACAATGATGCTATGGTTATCTCAGAACTCAACCCCTCCTCATACCTTTAGGACTTTCACAGGAATTTCCCCACTGCCGCCGTTTAGCGTCTGTTAAAATATCAATGACCAGGGTGGCAAATTCATGAGCGCTAAACCTTGCCAACTTCTGACGACCCTGAAGAGGAAAAATGCAGGAGAAACACATAGGATCAAATACCAGACATGAACTACTGCCACAGTAAAATGTGTATTTAACTCGCCTGGTTTCGGGTTGATGAATACTCAGGGTTGACAGGAAGAAAAGGCACGACTGTGGTGTCGGTTACCAGAGTGCTGTGGTTTTGAGTGGCCAGCCACACTGTCAAAAAACAGGATGAAGAGCAGCATGCAATGTGAGGAAATAAATGTTCAATCATAAAATGAAGAAGTTCTCTTAGTTGTTGTACTTCTACCTGCATCGGTTTCCCTCCTGTCCACTTCATCATAAACATCCATGGCCAGTTCCTCAAACTGATGGTTACTTAACTAAATTTAAATAAAGGATGAGTTACTGATGCAGTTTTAAAACATCTGAATATCAAGTGACTGGCAGGGAAATGATCAAGAATAATAACAAGAGAGATTCACCGATTGCAGTTTCTTCTTTGCGGCCTTTGCGAACTCTGACAGATCCAGACTGCTTCGAACAAAAATACACAAAAAAATATTAATCATCCTGTGAAAAAAATCATACCAACAAAAAGATGGCAGGAAAAAAACAAAGCTACTCACTTATTTCTTATTTGGCCAAAGCAGCATGGGGAAAAATAGAATTTTAACTATACAGTGAATATCTACTTTTCTTTACACAAAATGTAATATTCCACCAACTGACAGGGAGAATATTAGAACCCCTAGTAGGATTTCTTGGCCTTTTCTTCTATTGTACAGCCTTAGCTTTTCAAAAAATGGTACATAAATAATAATTACCTGTCTGCCATCTGCGGAATGATGAAGTGTTGCCCATTTCTGTGATCTATGACATAACAAGGGAATAGCAGTTATTTCAAGACAAGCATACGGTATAAATCAGCTTCTCTTAATGCATCCGCAGCACGTACCAGGTCTTCTGCCACAAAGGTAAAATGTTAACCTATCAGTGAGCTCATACTGGATTTCCACCAGCCGATCTGCCAGTTCCTGATGTCCAGCTTGTCTGCAAAGATTACAGGTGTAGAGAAAATGTTACAGAACAAAGGCAAAACATTTCATATAGTAACTAGTAACATATGTATTTAACATGTATGAATTGAATATGTCTTTGAAGTAATTTAGTTTTCAATCCATATGGTTCTAAACTATTAAAGTTACCATGGGCCTCCCTCTTGTGATCACTGCTGTGCAAAAGCATGTTAAAATGTGGTCAGGCCAGCTCCAAACAATGACTTTTCTAGTTATTCATTTATCTATTGGGTTTTTTCTCAGGAAGGGCAACATTCTTAATGAACTCGATAATGCAGGCATTTTGCTTCCACTGTCCCACAGTGAAGTGTTTTCTGGTCAGACAGTCAGCACAATAGTGAAAAATGTCCCCAGTGTGTTCTGTGCATTTAGGCAGCAGGCACACCACAGAATTCACCAGAAGAGGTGACCCCTCAGCTTCAATGACACACCTTAGTGTTTGAAGACAAGATGGTCCTTTTCAAAACAAAAAAGAAAATCTTTGAAAGAATAAAAGTACTAATAAAATAAACATTTTATTTTCTTAAATGCTAAGTTTCACCTTGCGTAATCAATAGGAGTCTTTCCACTTGAGTCCAGAGCTCCGGGATCGGCTCCATACACCGCCAACAGCTCCGCTTGCAGCACTTGACCTGCTTTGGCTGCTATATGTAATGGGGTGTTTCCTTTCTCCTGTTACACCCCCGCCAAAAAGATCAAATGAACTGTTTAGCTTTGGTATCACAGCAAATTAAACAGACATTTTTTCCATGACTTACAGGGTGGAAGAAATTGGCCTGTGCTCCTAAAGATAAGAGTCTGAGGCAGGTCTCCAGATTCCCCGTCCGAACGCTGGAATGGAGTTGCTGAAAGAAATTTCAAAAGTGAGTTTGCCTGGATTTGACAGTGAGGTTCATGTTTAGAGTGGCTACATGCAGTGATTCAACCTCAATGGCATTCAGGCCCGTTTTGAGCTGGATTCTGGTGGATATGGGTCTGACTAGCCTGTTTACATGCATTACATTTCTTCTTTTTTGTGTGTATTTTGTGGGAACACTCATGTTGTTGGCTTCACTAGAGACACTAACCCTAACCCTAAAATGATATCATGCATTGCAATCAATAAACAATGACAAACAATGACAACATCATCTCTCACCTTGCTGAGGTCTTTTGCGGTTACACTGTCATCATCTCGACATGGCATTCGATGGACATACGCCAACATCTGATACTTTGCCTTGATGAACTCTGTCTTGTTGGGACTGGAAATATAGACCATTTTATCTATTCTCAATTGATTCCATACATATTTTACATAATATGAATTTAAAACAAATAAAATTGCTTTATTTTACTATGCAAGTTCCAGTGAACTCATCATGTGGTCCGTCATTCCTTGTGTATAATCACTCAAGTACTATCTGCAGTTTATGTTACCTAACTAGCAAAAAAGCTAACAAAAAAAAAATTAATCTATATTATTACAAAACAAGCATCCATGTTCATATGCCTCCTCTTTGGTTTGGGTAATGGAGCAACAGCAAACCTGAGGCAGTTCTAATGACCAACAACAGTCAACCACAAAGCTACTCCAACAAAGGGCTGAATCCATCCTTCAGGAACTAATTTTAGGTTACCTCCGCCAATTGAAACCAATGCTTGGTTCCTGAGTTTCTTAAAATGTCTTCAATTCTCTGGGGAGGTTTCCTCAGTTCCTGTATGTCATTGAATGGATTTGCTCTGACTGAGGGGGACAAAACTCACTATGGTTGTGTTTATGTGTGGCAGACTGCATGTTGCTCTGATCTGAATACACACTTTAATAAATACACTTAAGAAAAGTCATTCAGAATAAAAGCACACTTATTAAACTCATAGGACTTAATGTGCATGTAATGATGCAGTCTGCATTTGCGTGTGCTCATAGTTTGCTGAAGACTTTGTCTGTATGTAATGTGATTTAGCTTTTGAGCATGCTGAGTTTTAAATTTCAATGAGTCATAGTTACGGACCAGAAGTCTGATTATACATGTTCGCTGACCTTAAATATGAAAATCAATAGTACCCCAGGAGCTTCATAGAAAGCGCAAACAGGCATACCAAAATCTGCACAGACTGAAAACAAATTTCAACCAACACTTACTGAACTCTGTCCTGAGGGTTGGCTTTGCGCTTCCCGCTCGCCGAGGAGGAAGGGTCCAGAAGGCTGTGTTCCCATATTGAGTTTGCCCCGTTTCCATACAATGTCTGGACCATCTAAAACAAAGTATGACGCGTTTAGACCCACGGTAGGAAATCCATTAACACACGCTAAAGCATTCCCTCTCACATATAAACTGAGGAAATGTGATGTTGTAACTAAATGTGGAAATTTGATTACAACTGTGGACGCCACACATTTGTTTCTGGATGAGTGGTCTGACTGGGGGTTGTGTTCCTGCTCCCCACCTGCAGCTGAGAGGGGGGCCAGGGACAATGGGTCAGATGCCGGACTTGTGAGCTGTGTCGCCCCAGACCTCGATGGATGCTGCAGCACTCATCGCAGATCAACACCCCCCTGTTAACGGAGGCCCAGCGTGGCTCTACAACACACATACAGTGTTAGGGAAAACTGTCATCTTAACTTTGTATTTAATTTAAAAAAAACACAGTAACACATCTTATAAACTGAAGCTTATATTCATTTCATACCAGACGAGGAGATTGGTTAATAACAATAGATGGTTAGATACTTCCCTACGTGAGGTAATTTCCCCTAATTGATTATTACTGATATAAATAAATAATTCCCTGTTTATCACATTATTTAGTATCATAAAGAGAAGTAAGATAATATAATCTTACGAGCTAGCTTAACGATTTGATTAAGCTAACTGGGTGTTATTTGATAACATTTCAATAATTCAGACACACAGATTTAGGATTAAACAAGTAATGCGACTACAGACACGACTTAATCTCTACTGTTTCCACAATCTTAACATTTAGAGCTATAACAATTAGCAAAATCTCTAATTGCTAAAAAAACTGCCTCTGTACCGTTAATGTTATCTCGGTTAGCTAACTGGACGTAACGATAAGTTGTGTAGTATGGGCTAGCTGGTTAGCTAGGCAGCTAACGTTAACGCTAGCTTGTTTGGCATCGTACCCGGAGCGCTGCAATCGGCGCAGACTTCTCTGCTTCGCACTCGCTTTGACATCCCTTAACAGAAATCGACAGCGTCCAGCGAGAGCAAATATGTCGGTTGCCCTTCAAGACGGACAGACAAAAACGATACAAGATATTCCGCCTCGGTTGGGAGTATTTAGCACTTCTACACCGCAAAAGAAGGGTCTGTCTGCCCTCCCACTGTTGAACAAAGCGACGTCTCATTCCAATATTCACACAACGTCCTCCGAAACTCCTCGTCTGCTTCCTCCCTTGTTTCCTTCCCAGTATAGTCTATTTTACTAAATACGGTTCATATAACCGCTGTCATATGAATATCGTTAGCTGTTAATTCAGACATTCAGACAGAGAAACATCTGAACAAAAAGAAATCACAGAGCTATTTCACTTCCTCATTTCAAACAAGATAGATAGATAGATAGATAGATAGATAGATAGATAGATAGATAGA